CGAACACAAGGCCGGCATAATGAGAGCCCCCCGCGGTCTTCACCTCCTACCTGTTCGTACGGGTAGGGCTGCCTCCGAAACTGCGATTGATGTGGACTCTCCGGGAAACAGCCCTGTGCCCGCGAGTAGTCGCAGTCCCGACGTGGTAGCTGCTACTGCAGTCGAGGTGCTTACGCCGCTGCAGTCACCAGCCCAAGGCGAGGCTGTCGCCAACGCGCGCCATGGTGAACGGTGGGGCACGCAGCTGTCAGCCCACCTCCGGCAGCTAAACGGGACGTTTCACGAACACCCTGCGGCACCCCAACGCGGGAGAGAGGACCACTGAGGAAGGAGCTTGCAACGACAAATCCTGCGGTTGTGCCGGCCGCGTGTCCTAGTGCTCCGGATGCTTGGGCGACGACTCCCACTAGTGAAGTTGCCCACAGGATCGGAGGGAGTAGCGCCGCCTCGTGTCCACCCCGTAGTGGAGGCAACATTAGGGACCCACCGCCTGGCGTACGACGTCCACCCAGCCCCCGGACACGGCCCATGCACGCAACACTTCCGGAGGGGAGTGGGACGGTTGAGGCATCACAGCCCCCTTGCGCTAAGTCTCCCACGGACTCACTTGGCTTGACGGAACCAAAATCGTATCTCCCTATGCCTCCCCATGGCCCGACGCCCATCCCCGCCAGGCCTGTGCCCGCTGTCCAAGCTCGCAAGGAAAGTCGGCCTCTCGTTTTGGACGAAGATGGCTTTCAGCATCTGGAACCACCAAAAGCCAAGCCTCGAGGGCCTAGCGAGCCCAGCGGCACCCGCGACCCCAGCGCCCCAGCCTGTGCACCAGTGGGGTATGGCTTTCTTACCACTGCGCAGTACATCGCGGATCTTTTCTCTACGGTGTCGGACTTGCCGAGTGTCATCAATGCCAGTTTTCCTGCAATGCTCAGCTACGCTGACCCAGATTATTGGCTGGGTGCACTTCTGCTCGCATTCGAATCCCACCAAAAAGGTCCCCTGGAGCGAACGGCCGGGCTGCCCATTGTTCTCGGTTTTCCTGAATCTGACAACAAAATAACTGACCTGCAGATCAATGTGCCGCCCGCAGCCATGGTGGCCTTCTTAGCTGGCCGCGCTTATCGGTGTCCCAAGTGCCCTACTACCAAATATGTGATGGACGCGCACAGTGGACTGCCACAAGTCACTGGCCAAGCCTCCCAAGAAGCCCTGCAGGCATGGGCCGCAGCTGCTCAGCACACGGACGTGGAAAAGGCCAGGCTTGCCCAGCCCAACCTGAATACGTTCCTAGGCATCACGCTGCAGGGCACAGAGACACTTGGGCAAAGGCACTATCAAGAATTTAGGCCGGATCACCCCCCTGCCCATTTCCTTGACGCCATCCGGCTTGCCCTTGCGGCCTCGGTGGCCAACCAAAACATTGAACACTTTTGGTCAGTCTATAACTTGGAATGGCCAGACACCTCTCACAGAATGGCTGTTTTTCTGCGGCGAGTGTTGCCCCTAGAGTGCTTGCTTTCCTCGCCTATGGCTGCGCCGGTGGAAGTGAACACTGCGGCAGCCTCGCCGGCGGTCGTCAGCATCTCTTTCGAAACCAACGAAGGCTCTCCCTGCCCGATGGATGACATGTCGGATGCGGAGGACGAACCCGAGGCACAGGTGAATGATTGGCGCTTCTCGGAGCTGCGAACCACTGACCTTGCAGCATTGCGAGAAGTGGATGTCTCAGCCCCTTTCCGACTGCCAGTCATCTTCGAAGCGCATTGGAAAGGGATATCAGCACCACACCCACCAAGCATGGGCCAAAACGTCCCCGAAATGAGTGGTATGATGCAGCCACTGCTCACTGGGCTGCCATTAAGGGGCTCATGCGAGCTAAGCATCCAACCAAGCAGCGACTCAACAGCTTCTGGTTTAAGATGTACTGCCATGGCACCTCCAAGGACCCTGATCCTTCGGCCCTACGTGCGGCAGTTGCATCCTTCCCCTTTCAGTATAAGGACGAAGGTGTTGTGCAGTACTGGCAAATCCAGGAAGCTGTCCGGGTGATGTGGCTCGCGGCACAAACCTCAATGACAAGATACAAAGGTATCCCCATTCCGGACGGCATCCCTGAGTGGGGGGTTGATGAGCAAGAGCTGCCTCCAATGCAGGCCATGCCCAGCCGTACGCGTTCCCATACCACCTCAGATGGCCATCGCTCCCGGCGTCCGGACTGGGATGGCCCCTGGCAATAGACAGCAAATTGTCATCTGAGGGCTCCTACTCACGCCACGCGAACGCGCCTTTGAGTCCCTCCATGGCATGCTGCCTAGCGTGATGTGAGCCCTCACATCTCCTCGCCGATACATGCCGCAAGACTACCTCGGGATATTCTTGGTTTGGCAACCCTCTCGTGGTCTATGTCACGGATTGGACCGTGCTTGTCTTCTGTGTGCTCACAGCCTGTTGCTGTGAACACCCGTCTTTGTCGGCCCCGCGGTGTGCCTATGGTGACGGGGGGCCTTTCTCTTGTGGTTGCTCCACTGGCCATCTGCACGGACTGCCCTGGACCAGTCCTGCCTGGATGTTCCAGCTCTGTCATCGGTACAACGGCCAATCGTCCTTTCCTCTGCCCCCTCTAGGGACGGCTCTCTGGTAAGGCTGCCCAGTCTTCCTCTCCTCTGCCCCTCTTTGACCGGGTAGGTGGCCGTTTTTGTGCTATGGCACTGCAAGAACCCCTCGGCTTTGAGACCCAGCTGTCGCCCACACCTGTTGCCCCATCGCTATCGTGGGACGAGACGACACTTGGATCACAGTGAGTCATGGCAATGCGACCCTCCCCTTTGTGGTATCTCGGCCGAATGACGACTCTGGAGAGGCCAATGCGGTGGTGCTGCTTCTCCCAGGTATTGGGCACTTCTACGTAGAGAATATGCACCCATTGCCCTTGCAAGGAGCCAGTGAGCACCTGTGGAGCAACCTGGCCTTCAAAAAGACCGTCACTGCCTGCGCATGGCCTGTGGCGGGACAAGCAGGCTCACCGCCTGCCTGGATGTTGCCTGACGGTGCTGACTGGACCAAGGCAGTGTATACAATGGAAGTTCTACCGCTCCTGTTGGCCGTCCAACGTGATGCGAGCCCTCGCATCTCCTCACCGACGTCTGTCGGTTTGGGCTTGGACGAACTGATTCTGGGTATTGAACCCTCAACCCTCACCGGCCAAGGAAATAGTTGCTTGGCCTTGAGTGCGAAGTTTCGACTGGGGGACTCTCCCGCTTCCTGCGGGGCAGGTGGGGTCCCCGCCTGCTTGGGTTTACCTGATGGCTCTGATTGGAACGAAGCAGTCCAGCCTGCTTTGGCCGGCGGACGAGCTCTTGTGAGTCAACAGAACGTTGCGCTTGTGCTCGGGGAGGCTCCACTGGCTGACCACCATGGAGTACTCTGGGTTGGTCCTACCCCTTTGTTCTCGCCGTTAAGTCCCCACTGGCTGACCACCATGGGGCAACTTTATACTTCCGAACACACAGGTTGACACTTACAAGGTTCCGTGCTGAGGCACGACTTTGCTCCCTCTGTGCTGGCGAAACTGTAAACCATCGCGTGAACAGCCTTGGCAGGTGCTAAATGTATTCGCATTGGTGGCTGATTGACGGTGATGTGAGCCCTCCAGTCTCCTTACCGGCGTACCTCGCGGGTTTGGGTGAAGGGACCTGATGCGTGCCGATGCGCAGGCCAGTGCTAATGTGGCGTGGCCTTGTGCGAGATGCCTGGACTGGGAGGTCCCTCGGTGTCATTAAAACCCTGTGGCGTTAAGGGTTTGATAACTCGCCGTGGACTTTCCCCGATGAATCGGTAGCTGCTGCTACTCTCGGCCCCCCTCTGACCGTGCACGGGCACCTCTGAGGGTGGGCCCTTGTGCGCCAGGTAATCGGTAGCTGATGCTACTCTCGTCCCCCCCGCTGGCCGTGCGCGGGCACCTTCGAGGGTGGGCACTTGTGCGCCAGGTTGACTGGTGAACTCTGTGCTCGGAGCTACTCCATTGGCTGACCACCATGGAGTGCCCTGGGCCGGTCTTGCCTTGTTTGTTCTTGCTGTTAAGTCCCCACTGGCTGACCACCATGGGGCATTTGCACATCTTTCATCCCCCCTAGGGAGTCTGACTTGCAACATCCTTTCGCCATTGAGTGTCGGTTGTCTGTTCTTGACAACGAGTACGTGATCCGAACCTCTTCTGATGACCTCGGTTTGAATAACCGCTGTCGCACCAATGGCTACATGATGGTGGTTTTGAGAATCTGGCAATGTCGCAATTTGCGATTCCCCCACAAGCTCCGTGCTTCCTTGTGAACCGGGACTTCATTGACGACCTCGAGTACTGAGTCCGTGGGGTATCTAGTAGTTTAGCGCGATTGCTCGCTTTGTTTCTTCGGTGTCTGTTCTTTGGTGGTTTCGTGTTGTGTCTGGTGGGTTGTGTGCGCTGACTCTGTTTCACCCTTTTCGTCGAGCCCAACAAGACCGGCCTACTGTGCTACTGATGTAGTAAAGAGGCACCAGAAGAAAAAAAAAAAAAAAGGATCGAGACCTGTCTGTGGGGTCTATCACTTCAGACAAGCCAGAGTGCCCCTTACAAAGCCGAGATCCCAACTGTGTAAGACCGCATCTTTCACTGTTCGAACATGGCAGATCAGCTTCCAGTTATTGATGACGATGATGATGATGAGCCACAAGAGAATGGAGCCGGTCCCTCGCAGCATCAAGAAAATCCTTTTTTCGCCGTCAAGCCAAGCTTAAGGATCTCCAGGTGTTCATATGTGGTGGCACTGGACACGGCCTACTCCGAGGACCTGAAGAAGATCGAACAGTTTCCGACTGCAGAGATTGGATGGATAAGCGATCCTGAAGCCTTGAAGAGAAGTTAACGCATACTGTATGCGTTGCTCTCGGGGCTGGTGCGCGGCAGGGGGCTTTAAGTGATCCAGCGTGTTCCATCGCAGAACGGCTTCGAGGCTTTGAGACAGCTGATGCAGTTCTTTCAGCCGTCGAGCCGTGCAAGATCGCTTGGAATCCTTACGGCCCTCACTCAGACGCACCCGTTTCGCACCAACGAGCCGTTTCTTGCCCAGCTGCTGGATCTTGAGAGGGTGATGGAGGAGTACGAGCGTTCATCTGGCAAGAAGCTGGAGGAGGACCTCAAAACCTCGATCCTCCTCAAGAGCATCTCAGGCGGGATGCGGAACCACCTGTCCACCGTCCTGACGGAGACCTCCTTCTACGACGAGATCAGAGAGGCAGCCCTTTCGTTTTGAGCGCATGCAGTTCAAGTGGAGCCCTTCAAACCTTTTCAGCACCGAGTCTTCGTATGCGCAGTCCCACGAGCAGGAACCGCAGCCAATGGACATCGGTCCAGTTAAGGGTGGTCCTAAAGGGTACAAAGGTGGCAAAGGTCCTAAGGGTCCTAAGGGTTCAAAAGGTGCAAAAGGCAATGACAGCAAGGGCAAGTATGGCAAGGCTGGAGGCAAAGAGTCTAAAAGTTATTCTCAGAGCTACAACAATGCCAAAGGCGACAGGAATCCAGGCAAAGGTGGCAAGGGTGATAGGAAAGGCAAGAACAATGCACCGCCACAACTGTGGCCGTCCTGGCCACTATGCAAGAGACTGCTGGCGCCCTCGTGTCAACCAGGTTGAGCAGTCCCAAGGCCAGCCTGGCCCACAGCCTTCCGGAGCTTCTGTGAGCGGCACCTCCACCAGTGCCGGCATGCACCTTTCTTGCATCCCCTTGAGCTTTGCATCTTGTGGAGTCAGTTCCCCTGGAGATTGCGTGATGCATGTGCGTGATGCTCAGGGTGGCAGCATGCAGGTGAGGGATGAGCGCATTGTCGATTTCGTTTTGCAAAGCCCAAGCCATGGACAGCCGCTGATAAGCATGGGTCGATTGATCAAGCAAGGTTGGTTTCCGTGCCAAAATGCTCAGGGCTTCTGGCTGAACCACGATGCTTCAGGAGCTGATGTTCCTATGTCATTTCGAGGCATGAGCCTTGGAGTGGATGCTGAAATCCGTCGCGTCGAGAAGGCCGAGGTCCCAGTTTCTCAGGTGCAAGCATGCGATCCACAGAGTTCCCACGTCCAGTCGAAAGGTTCTCAGGTGCAAGCATGCGATCCACAGAGTTCCCACGTCCAGTCGAAAGGTCCTCAGGTGCAAGCATGCGATCCGCAGAGTTCCCACGTCCAGTCGAAAGGTCCACAAATTCAGCCAAGTGTGCCACATGCACGAGTCCTTCAGCGTGCAGTGTTAGGTCAAGAACTGAACAGCTTGCATTTCGGCTGGCAGATCATCACTTCAGGCAATTTGTGCTGGCGGGGCAGGTCGTCACGCATGATAGATCCGTCCTTCATGGTTGATCAAAGTTGGCCGATGCGTTCTACACTGATGAGACGAAGTGAAACCTCAGCTTGGTTCTTGATCGAACACTGCGAAGCTTGGATGGAGCTGGAAGATCTTGAAGATGACATTCCCGGAGGCGGAGAGGCGGAGTTGATCGTTTGCATGCATACCGTCAAAGAGCCCAGGAGTGCGCTTGGAGTTGAGCACCTCACTGAGAGTTTGGTTGAGGATGTGATTCCATCTCCTAGAACTCCGGAGAATCCGCTTGATGAAGATGAATTGGTTGATTATGAACCGTCGCCAGTTGATGAGCCCGATGCAGGTGTAATCATTCGTGAAGAGCCTGTGTCCCGAGGTGCGTTGCCCGACATGGAAGAGCCTCTTGGCAATCCCGTTGCTGAGCCTGCTGACACGCTCACCCTTGATGGCGTTGTGCTCAACTGTGAGAGTTCGATTGGTGCCCTGAAAGCAGCCTGCGCTAAGTTGGGTTTGAGAACTTCCGGTTCTAAGACTAGACTGTTTCAGAGGATAAAGGGTTACCTTGAGAAGCAAAAGCTTTCACTTGCCTCAGACATCGCTCGAGATGCTTCAGAGGGAGCTGCTCGATTGCCCCACATGCAATCAATCCCCGATGTTCCGTCCAGAGAGCAACAGCTCATCCACGAGCTTACTCACACGCGTGGTGCAGCCACTGCATCACCATGCGATCTGTTCCGGACAGATCAGAGGCTACAAATGCCGCACCACGAGACCTCCCGAGCGTCTCTTTCGACTTCTGCTATACCGGGTTCAGTCCTTCCTCGAACGAGCTTGAGCCTGTAGCAGGTGAACCTTCTTCAAGTGCCAAGGACCTACTTTGCTGTCTGATCGCACACGATTCCGCCACTGGTGCCATCACGGCAATACCCTGTGAGAGCAAAGGCAGCACGCGATACCTTGGGGTTGAGCTGATGAGGTTCATTCAATCCTTGGGTCATGCGACCGTGGAGTTGAGGTGTGATGCTGAACCAGCTACACTTTCGTTGCAGCGTGCTGTGGTGAATGCGAGACAGAGGCTGGGATTGAAGACGGTTGAAAGGAATCCTCCTGTTGGCCACCACCAAGCCAACGGGTATGTTGAGAAAGCGGTAGACCTGATCCGAAGGTTGGCGTGCACTCTCTTGGACATGGTAAGAGCCAAAACTGGGTGCATGATCGAAGCTGGGCACCCTCTCTTCGCATGGTCCTTTGTGCATGCTGCATGGATCCGGAACAGGTTCGCTGTGGCAGGAGGACTCACGGCGTATGAACGCACTTGCAACGCTGCTTACACCGGGAAGCTTGTGGCGTATGGAGAGCCAGTGTTTGCACAAGTGCATGCAAAGAAGAAAGGAGACCCAAAATGGCTGAAGGCGATTTTCTTGACCAAGACGAGTTTGAACGACATGTATGTGGTTGCAAGCAAAGGTGGTGTTCGAGTCACTCGATCGGTGAGACGCACAGGTCACGAGCGGAAGCATGATGCTGCTTTGTATGCCGATGTTAAGGGTTTTCCTTGGAACTACAGTAGCAGGGTCATAGGAACTAAGATGGTTCCCCCGGCCAAGACAAGGAAGGCCTTGCCTGCACCAAGCAGCCCACAAGACGTTGCAGCTTCAGATCCACCTGAGACGCCAGTTCCGATGGGGTTGACTCCTGCCATGGGGTCAGACGTAGGCCCTAACCTTGGAACCCCTGCCGAAGCATTGCCTCCAACACCCGTGGGAGGTAGTGTGGACCCCGAAGCCCCTTAAAGTGCCTTTCAGTCGTCCACCACCGCCAAGCTCCAGGGTGCCCGAAAGTGTTCCAACACCGGGACCTGAGCTTCCAAATCCTTCACAAAGGCCACATGTGCCTCCTGCAACACCCGTGGAAGACCTGCTTCCACTCACAAGTCCAGTGGTGCCATCAGGCGCTGCTATGGAGACAGACGAGGCCAGCGATGTTCGTGAAGAACGTGCTTCGAAAGTCCCAAGAATCCGAACTGTTTCTTTTGGCAACAAAGACTTCGATTTGAATGACGAGCCCTTTGAGTTTGTGGATGCAGAATGGTCCGACTTCGAGTTTGTTGATCCGGACTACGACAAAAGCTCGAGCACCGAACCCGACTTGGCAGTGCAGAACGAGGCGGGGCAGAGCGTTGATGCCAGTGCTCTTTGGTTTCCAGACAGTGGATGTGAACCGAGTCTTTCAGAGTCAGAGTTGTTCGAACTTGACAGGATTGCTGATGCTGTGGAAGTGAATAGGCTTATACAGAAGGGTGTGTTGCGCCCATCGTCCGAGAAGGACAACGTTTCATCAATGAAGAGCCTCTCGACCAAAAATGGTCAGGACTTGGAGGTCAAAGAAGCGGAATGGGGTGCCTCATTATCTTCGACGTTCCAGGCTAGTGGCAAGAGAGTACCGCTGGTTGGAAGAGAAACAGGGGCTATTTTCTCCAAGTACCACGACAAACATGGTGAAACTCATTCCGATCCTTTTCCTTTTGTGGCGAGCGACGAGGCAAGAGCAATACGCAATATGTGCTATAGACGTCAAAGACGCCTATCTAGAGGTGCCTCAGGAAGAGCCCGTCGTCGCAGATCTACCCAAAGATTGCATGCTTCAAGGACAATACGTCTTTGAGAAGTGTGTGCCGGGACAGAGAGACGGCGCACAAAGATGGTTTGGATACTACGTACAGTTTCTGAGCAGCAAGTTCAATGCCCTTGAGTCGTGTGTTGAGAATCCGGCAATTATGCGTGTCCCCGAGGGCCCGATGATCATGCATGTTGACGACGGCCTCACGCTTGCTCCTCTGACATGGCTCAAACAGAAGTACATTCCTACGTTGCAATCACAATTCGAGATTTCGGTAGAGATTGCGTGCAAGAATGGAGATGTCTTTTCTTTCTTGAAGAGAAAGCACACTATTTTGGAGTCTGGGATTTTAGTGGAAACTTCGAGCAGCTACATACGACACATGGCCGAAGTACTTGATGTCAAGCATGGATCGAAGTACAACACACCATATTTCCCGGAGCTAATTCGCGAAGATGTTTCCGGTCCTCTTGATCCTGTTCGAGCAGGAAAGTTCAGGAGTGCACTGGGAATTGCGCTCTATTTGTCAAGTGATCGTATTGACATCTGCTACTCTGTCCGATTGTTGGCAGGATTCATGGCGAATCCCAGCGAACAGGCATGGAAGGGATTGATTCGACTGACGAAGTATTTGCTGAACACGGCTGAGTATGGCACACTTCTTTCACCCAAGCTTCCTGGGTCTTCAGTCTTTCGCGAGGCAAGCCACGATGATATGAACCATCGAATGGAAATCTACAGCGACTCTGACTGGAGTGGACACCGGGTTACAAGAAAGTCTTTTGGATCCGCTTCGTATGCGCTGAATGGATGTGTGTTCCATCACATTTGCAGGTCACACCGTACAGTGAGTCTTTCGTCTGCTGAAGCTGAATGGTATGCTGCAATAAGTGCTGCTTGCGAAGGAATCTTTCTGAGGGCGGTTTTCGTCTTCATGGCAGCCGCTGCAGAATGCTCATTGGATCTTAAGATTGACAACTCAGCAGCGAGACAGTTGGCATTGCGTCAGGGTGTGGGAAACAAAACTCGACACGTTGCAGGGCGTCTGCTGTGGCTTCAGCAATCAGTGCGTGAGAAAGTCTTGGATGTTGGAGCAATTGCAAGTGCTTACAACCTTGGCGACTTGTCAACAAAGATGCATAGTGCTAACAGACTCCGAGCTTTGCTATTCTTGCATGGGTTTGTCGATGCTCTGACAGGCGCAGCTGTGGGTGAAGATGATTTTGCTCGAATGGCCTTGCAGGAACAAGCAAAGCTGCAAGTCAAGAGAGTGCGTGTTGAATGGTGTGACTGGTTCCTTGAAGGGTGAAGCCGGCAAGCTCACAAAGCAGGTAGCGCTTCTTACTCTTCTTTGTTTGCCTACAACATCAGAAGCGGCAGAGGCGGGGATTCCGTACCAGAGTTATGGCATGTCGAACATGACCTGGGCCACCGTCCTGCTATGCTGCTGTTTGTGCATTTACCGGGCCTTGAGCTGGGCTAGGGATCTACATGGCTTTGACATGAACAGTCTTTTGGAGATGAGCTCACAGGACTTTGCGTCAAAAGTGATCATGGGTTGCGTTTTCCTATGTGGACTGATGCCGGAGTGTACCATGGAGCAGTACATGTGTTTCTTTCTGCTTGTGGTGGTGTGGACAATGCATCGCTACATTCTTCGACTGGAATGCGAGCTGAAGGCGACATGCACTGAGCCGGTGAATCGTGAGCCGATGGGAGCCCGTTCGAGTGTCAATGTGAAAGTTGTGATACCCCAAGAGCTCTTTGTCACGCTTCATGGTGAGTTTTTTCATCACAAAAGCTGTGGAGTCTTGAAGACTTCCAGAAATCCCTCAAAGAGGTTGAGCTTGTGCAGTCACTGCAAGGACATGCTGAAGAATGCAGAGTAGCAGACACAGAAAGTTCATGTGAGATGTGCAGTTCGAACACACTGCAATCTCAGGCGGGGTGATGAACTTTTACGTTACCCCCTAGTATACCTCATGTACAGATTTTGTAGTGCTTTGACACGTCTTTCATGTTTTGCGATATTCAGGCCCAAATTTGTGTGGAAAAGACCGTTCGTTTTTACACTTTCGCAACGACCTTGCTGATAGCCTCAGCCGCAGCTATGATCCGTCACTTCTTGGCTTCCAACCATCTCAGCGTTGTGATGCGCCCTGGGCCACCTTCCCATCATCATTCCGCACGTGCACTTACCCGCTGGAGAAGGACTTTTCTAAATACCTGGCTCCCGCTTGAAGAATGCTGGCCTGCTGTACCCTTGTCGGGTCAAGCTGAAGCCTGAAACCATTGGAGAGTCCGTCCAGCATTCTCTTATGGCCTGCCGGCCCGCCAGTTTCTGGGATATGCTTTCTCCGCGGATCTGAATCCGTGTCTGCACCAACGAGTCAAAAAGGAAGGGAGCGTGCCGCGTGCCTGCATTCCTTTTCCTTGGTACCTAACGTACATTCGTAACGGACTAGTGCTTGAAGTGAACGTGCGTGTACTTGTACAGTAGTGTTTGCTGCCAGCACGCAACGGCAGAGCATGTACGCCTGCGAGTCTGCCCGCCTGCAGTCTTGGCTCGCAGGCTAGTACTGACGGTCACTGACGCTTGTGCTAGTCCGTTACTTTCAGAAAACTTTGCCGCCACCTCCCCGCCTTCCTTCCGTCTTCCTTGCCGCACATCTGTACTCGCTGTGGCCTGCGTCAGGGCTGGATAGAAGAAAATCCACTGCCGTGGCACACGCATCGGCTGGTCCGGGATGGCTAAAGCGCTATCCCCGCCCAGCTGATACGCTCTTCACATCTGCTGCTCAAAGGTGTTCCTTTGCTCTCAGTCTCACTCTCCGTTCGTTTGCGCTTAGTTTCTGGGATATGCTTTCTCCGCGGATCTGAGTCCGTGTCTGCACCAACGAGTCAAAAAGGAAGGGAGCGTGCCTGCATTCCTTTTCCTTGGTACCTAACGTACATTCGTAACGGACTAGTGCTTGCAGTGAACTTGCGCAGTTCATCGTGAGTTTGTTTATGTACCAAAGCTAGTTTGTTTTTTACTTTCTATGGTTCAATTGATTCCGGATCTGATTGTGGCGCAGCAGAATTGCTGAGCCAAGGGACTGTGTTTGAAACATTGATCAGATCTGTTATACAGCCGCCGTGATGCGTGAGACATTGCATTGACTCTCTGACAGCATTTGGCTCAAGTTGCAAAATCATTGGAGTCTCGAGGGATTCCTGCACAGCTTGAATTGGTGCCTGTGATGGTTGTGCTCAATGATTGCAAACCTGAGATCGCACTGAACATTGATCTTGTCAAATTTCATTAAGCAGGGGCTTAAAGGGGCTTAAGGGCCTTTACCTCCCCCTCTACATGGACACCTTTTGCAGGGACCCCTTGGACTTAAGGGGGCTTGAACGGAGCTTTAAGGGGACCCTAAACCCCAAAAAGGTTACCGCCCCAGAGGTCATGCCCGCCAACATCCCCTAGTGCTGAAGTGCCGCAACATTGCTTGGACGTCGCCCTTCGGGAGATGCGTAGTTTTTGCTGTGGGAGTAAACCGTTACTCGCTGTCTTGCTACCCGCCATGCAACACCGAAAACTGAACCGGCAAAATACAAATCAAAACCGTCGCGGACCGAGAAGAAAGACCCGAGAATAGAGAATGCTCAATGGTTCTTTTTTAATGTTTTAATGTGTGAGCATGGCTGGGAACTGCGCCGGACAGGCGGACGAGCGTACACCCATTTTCTTTATAAACAGATGTTTGGTGCACGGAAATAGATACTTGTACGATCAGCTGTGCTCACGTGATTTGGTCAAGTTAACGTTTTGCGAGTTTGACGGATTAGTCAGCACTTGCACGAGCGAGTTGGCGCTGGTGGCTCGATGGTCGCCCTTGAGCGGGTGACAAAGCGACAAAGTGGAATGGAGAAAAGACCGCTTTAGCAGCTTTAGCAGCTTCCGTTGGCCAGTGTGCTCCTGGAGTTGATGACGAAGCAATCAGAAGCAACGTGAAACAATGAAATCCTTTATTGACCGAACCAAGCTGTCCAGCATGCATTCGAAGGGTGTGCGCCGCCGGTCTTGATTACTAGCTAGATCTATCTACCGTTCCTGTGCTGGGTTGGTGGTGAATCCCCTTCCCAAGCCGTACAAGTGAACCTTTGTTTCAATGTGTTGCAGTTGACAGCGTTTGTGAAAGCTGCATGGCGTGGGGTTTCACGAGGCTTTGGCTCCAACGTTTCATCTTTTGACATCCGCTCAGCGTCTCAGCGTTTAGCATGGCGTTGAACAAGTTGAGGCCAGGCATCGGAGTGACCAGCGGCTTGTCGTAGGCCTCTCATTGCGGTTCGAGAGGGGTCGCGGATGGTTGCGGAATGGGTAGTACGCAGTCTGCGCTTGTCAGCGCGCATGGTGGATCTTTGTGCGTGCCTCCCGAATGATCCTTAACGACCCCCGAGACAATGTTGCTTGATGATTGCCAATGTCTGCAATGCTTTCACGATTGGATGCTTTCCGATGGCTCGCAAAGTGCACATGCAGGTTCATGTGCGATGTTTTGACAGCTTTGGGGAGGTTAGTTTATGGACGGCCGCCCGGTCTCCCCTACGCTCCCTGCCACTGCAGGATTGATTCCGTCGATGTGGCTGGCAAGCGGGTCTTCATCCGTGTAGACTTCAACGTGCCACAGGATAAGAAGGCGCCGCTTGAATTTTTCACTTACACGATTTTGCCCGCTTTGTTCTACACTGATCTCGTTGCCCGGAGGCTTGTTATGGTTCATATCAACGCCTCGTTGCAGGATCCCAGTGTCATCACCAACACGCAGCGCATTGATGCAGCGTTGCCCACGATCAAGTATTGTCTCGACAAGGCCCCTCGGGTGTTCGGATCGGGAGGGAGAGCCAAGCCGCGGTGTGTGTGTGGGAGACAGAAAGCGAGAGAAAGCGAGAGAGAGAGAGAGAGAGTTCGGCGTGCGGGCTTTGAACTCACAGGGCTGCAAATCTGTGGTGCTTTGCTCCCACCTGGGTCGACCGGATGGCAGCGTCGTGGAGAAGTGCTTTTGGCTTTTGGGGTTACAGAAGCAGAAGTGCGCCTAAGCGTCGATGACCCCACTCATGATTGGGATCCAGGTACTCGCTGGCTCCTGTCGCAAAATGCGTCCAAGAGAAGTTGGGAAAGCCAGTGACTTTCTTGAAGGACTTGCAAAGACGTGCAGCGAGCAGATGCAAACAAGTTGCCACCCGCAAGTGTTTCTCGTTTGTCGTTTGCAGGATTGCTGCGGCCCTGAGGTGGAGGCTGCGGTGCATCACATGTGTGCTATAAATATATTCTCAGAGCATACGCTGCGCAGAGCATAGGGCTAGGTCCGGCTAGGTACGCAGTGTCGAAATTTGTGGGAATGTTCTTGGATTGTTCTTCACCAGAGTTGAAGTGTCGGAGGCTGCCTGTGCAAATCCTGCGCCGGGTTCCGTCATCCTGCTTGAGGCAGGGCTCGCTAGACTCGCCAGTGCAATCGCACAGTGCGAAACGATGTCTCGATGTTTTCTTCTGGGTTGTGAGATTGGTGATGCTGGTAGGAGGGGGCCGCAGTGCCCCCTTAGCCCTTGTGCATGTGCCCGCAGAACTGCCGCTTCCACCTCGAGGAGGAGGGCAAGGGTGTCGACAAGGCCAGGCTGCTTCCAATCCTCAGTGAAGTTGGCATCGGTTCATTGAGTTGCAAGGATGGAAACAAGGTCAAAGCAGACAAGGAGAAGACAAAGGCAGGATTTACGAGGGCTCTTTAGGATACAGCCTTGCTTTCAATGGCGGTCCAAGCTCACCTTTTCTTTTGCCTTGTGGTGCTTCTGGACTGAAGGAGTTCAGGGCTTCCATTGCCAAGTTGGCTGACATCTACTGCGCCGTCCTCACAGTGAGCAGCAGCGAACGGTGCACGCACAGAAGCTGCCGAAGGAGGAGATGTTTGTGATGTGCACTGCAGGTAGCGATGCGTTCGGCACGGCGCATCGTGCTCACAGCTCCATGGTGGGTGAGGCACGGCTAAAGTGAAGTCGTAGCCGTGAACATCTTGTCTTCTCCATAGTCGCTCCATCCCATTCTCTCAGGTTGTGGCGCACACTCGTGGCATCTCGTGACAGTCGCAAGTGACGGGGGAGAGATTTCAAGCCTCGCAGGGCTACTCCGTGAAGTGCTCGGGATTCCTGGTGGCCAAGGAGATGGCTGAGAAAGGTTTAGGTTTGTAGGTTTGTGTGTGTGTGAGGGAGGAAACCCAGACCCATAATCTGTTTCTCTCGCAGCGCCGTGCGACTCGTCCAAGAGCGCTATGCGCCCTTCGCTCCGTAAGACTGTCAGATGCCCCCATCCAGTCGTGCTCAGGAGCTGGAGGCCTTCGCGAAGGTGTTGGACAGCCCGGTGAAGCCGGTCTGTGCAATCCTAGGCGGTGCCAAGGTGGGGGCTCCCTCCTTCTCTCTCCTCGCAGAAGCAAAATAATTTGCGGGGGTTTTCCTATTCTCTTGCTCATTCCAGGTCACGGACAAGATTCAGCTCATCAAAAACATGCTGGACAAGGCCAGGCAGTCGATGGAGGGAAGGTGCTTGCATCTGCCAACCTCAGAGCTTTGCACAAATTGCATGACTTGGGATGCCGTCGCCAGCAAAGCATGCCTTGCACATCTGACACTGATTTTTTGTTGAAGATGCTACAAGAAGATTCCTGAGCCACCGTCTATTTCGGTCGCCCGAAGCGAAACGACATGCACCACAATGCACCACAATGCACCAGAATGCACCACAGGTGGATGCCATGATCATTGGAGGTGGCATGGCATTCACATTCATCAAGGCACGGCACGCTCGCGAAGTTCGTGGCCCGCAGTCTCACGCCGCTTGCAGGTCCTGCACGGTATGAACATTGGCAACTCCCTTTTCGACGAGGCCGGGGCTCTACTTTTGTTCGGAGAGGAAGTGCTTAAATGAGGAAGTGAGGAAATGAGGAAGGTGTTTCGAATGTTCGAGTCGACTTTTTCAGGAGGGTGCTAAGATCGTGCCGGAGATTATGGAAAAAGCCAAAGCCAAGGGCGTGGAGCTTCGGCGCAGCATCGGGCTTTTCCAGTGCAGTGTTGATGCCTGTGTTGCCTTTGTTGCTTTTCTTGATGTGCCTGTTGTCTCTTTTGTTGTGCTGGGTTGCTGGCTTTTGGGCCTTGCAGCTGCACATCTCCACAACACAAGAGCTGAGGACATTGTGCTACCGATCGATTTTGTGATCTCCTCCAAGTTTGGGGAGGCCTGAGCATCAAACAAATCAAAACCCGTCAAGTCGAGGCCTTTTTTTTTTTTTTACCGTCGGAGCCGAGGACGGCGAGATCAAGACGGCCACGCTGGCCAGCGGAATCCCTGAAGGCGGGATTGGCGGTAGTGCGGGCAGAACGGTGCGATCAGCAGGTGCATGGCAGGGATGTGACGTTGCTGTTTGCTCTCGTGTGCTCAGGCTTCATGGGTTTGGACCTGAGCTAAAGAGAACGCCGCAGCTTCATGGGCCGTGCACACTCCTTTGCGTCACACTGCGTCACGTCACATTGCGTCACATTGCGTCACATTGCGTCAGGTGTCCGTGACCTCAAGAGGTGCGCGCACGCCTCCCTTTGCCTCTTTGTCTTTGTGCGCCGAGGCCTGGACTGCGGCCCGGAGAGCATCGTCCTGAACTCGAACACAATCGCCAAGAGCGCCCCTCAGACGAGCATGCCTCTCAATGGCGCTCGCTCTCTCTCTCTCTCTCTCTCTCTCTCTCTCTCTCTCTCTCTCTCTCTCTCTCTCTCTCTCTCTCTCTCTCTCTCTCTCTCTCTCTCTCTCTCTCGTCTCTCTCTCATCTGCGCGAATGCGGCATACATGGTATACCATCAAATACCCAGCTTAATCTGTTCTTCCCTCGCATTCGACTCGCCTTCGAACGCCAGGAGCAAGACCATCGTCTGGAACGGCCCAATGGGGGTCTTCGAGATGGCCGCGGGCACCTAAGAGGACTTGCACAGGAGAGCACAGCGCTGTGGGTCTTGGGGACATTCTGAGGCCTTTGAGACAGGCACCAAAGGCCTGGAATTCAGAATTGAGAATTGAGAGGAAGACTCTGCACGCTTGCCGCTCGAGACTCGAGAATTTCTCGTTGCCAGCTATGATGGACAAAATCGTCGAGGTCACCAAGTCTGGCGCTGTCACGGTCGGCCCCTCTGAGCGTAGCGTCGCGTAGATTTGATCTCGGAAACAGTCGTGGCCACTACTGCAACGGCCCCCCCATGATCTGTGCAGCAAAACATAGCACGCTTTTCTCCCTCAGAACTGGAGCCTTTCTTCAGTTCGATGTTTTGTCACATGATTGAAGGTCATTGGAGGTGGCGACACTGCAACCGTGCCCATCCTCAGCCGGGGTGGATTTAGGCTCCACATGTTTCATTGTGACACATTGAGCGGCTAATACTTCAGGCCTGCAAGAAGTATGACACCGAGGACAAGGCAGGTCTTGAGTTGAAGCTGTATGAGAACTGCAGTTGCAGACCCAGATCTTCGACGGACCGAACTCTCTGAAATCCTATTGGAGAATTCAAGCGCTCCGCTGCAAAGGAGCCTTGACGGTGCACCTTGCATGCGCCAGGTCACGCACTGCTCCACTGGAGGTGGTGCTTCCCTGGAGCTTCTGGAGGGCAAGGCCTTTCAGCTCGCAGTCATGAGCAGAGTGCAGAGCTTCGTAGCTTTGCTTATCAGTGTCAAGGAGACCACGACAACTTCGGGCTTCATGGGCATAGGGAGACGGAAAAGGGGGAAGTAGGGAAGGAGATAAGCACGACGGCAAGGGGTGTGGGGGGCGGGGAGGGCGAGGATGGGGGCCGGGCAGGGCTCGCCTATGGTCGGCCTGAATGGTCCCCGACTCACCGTCCGCTCCCGGACGCAGTCAACCAGGGGAAGGTGAAGTAGAGGTGGGGTCCTGCTATCTTCTGGACATTTTCATCGTACCAGGCATTTAAAAAAATTCAGAGGTGGTGGAGAGGGGGATGAGAGCATTGACGCATCGTTTATAGGACGGCTGTGTCGCTGCAATGTGTTCTGAACGCAGGTGTTGCCCGGTGTCGCGGCTCTGGACGATGCACCAGCTGGAGGTGCCCTGACGCTGGCAAGCCTTGCGAGCCGCAAAGTGCGTGCGTGCGTGCGTGGGTGGGTTGGTGGGTTGCGAGTGTGCGTGTGTGCGTGTGTGCGTGTGTGCGTGTGTGCGTGTGCGTGTGCGTGTGCGTGTGCGTGTGCGTGTGCGTGCGTGCGTGCGTGCGTGTGCGTGTGCGTGTGCGTGTGCGTGTGCGTGTGCGTGTGCGTGTGCGTGTGCGTGTGCGTGTGCGTGTGCGTGTGCGTGTGCGTGTGCGTGTGCGTGTGCGTGTGTGTGCGTGTGCGTGTGCGTGTGCGTGTGCGTGTGCGTGTGCGTGTGCGTGTGCGTGTGCGTGTGCGTGTGTGCGTGTGCGTGTGCGTGTGCGTGTGCGTGTGCGTGTGCGTGTGCGTGTGCGTGTGCGTGTGCGTGTGCGTGTGCGTGTGCGTGTGCGTGTGCGTGTGCGTGTGCGTGTGCGGTGCGTGTGCGTGTGCGTGTGCGTGTGCGTGTGTGTGTGCGTGTGCGTGTGCGTGTGCGTGTGCGTGTGCGTGTGCGTGTGCGTGTGCGTGTGCGTGTGCGTGTGCGTGTTTGCGTGTGCGTGTGCGTGTGCGTGTGCGTGTGCGTGTGCGTGTGCGTGTGCGTGTGCGTGTGCGTGTGCGTGTGCGTGTGCGTGTGCGTGTGCGTGTGCGTGTGCGTGTGCGTGTGCGTGTGCGTGTGCGTGTGTGTGCGTGTGCGTGTGCGTGCGTGTGCGTGTGCGTGTGCGTGTGAATGTGCGTGTGCGTGTGCGTGTGCGTGTGCGTGTGTGTGTGCGTGTGCGTGTGTGCGTGTGCGTGTGCTGTGTGCGTGTGTGTGTGTGGCGTGTGCGTGTGTGCGTGTGCGTGTGCGTGTGCGGTGCGTGTGCGTGTGCGTGTGCTGTGCGTTGCGTGTGTGTGCGTGTGTGTGTGTGTGTGTGTTGTGTGTGTGTGTGTGTGTGTGTGTGTGTGTGTGTGTGTGTGTGTGTGTGTGTGTGTGTGTGTGTGTGTGTGTGTGTGTGTGTGTGTGTGTGTGTGTGTGTGTGTTCGTGTGTGGGTGTGTGTGTGTGTGTGTCTGTCTGTCTGTATGTCTGTCTGTCTGTCGGTCGAGATGGCCAGCAAGATTGAGCCGAGGTTCTTGCCAAATCCTCCGGGTTCAAGCCCGGGAGATCTTCGACTCACGAGGCAATCCCACCGTGGAGGCAACTGACAGTGCATATCATTGAAGTATCATGTTACTTGGCATCGTAGCAAAAAGGTATTCGGGGTGTTCGTGAAAGGTGGACCTCTGCACCCCAACGGCCCTCTTCCGTGCGGCGGTGCCCAGCGGCGCCTCCACCGGTATCTACGAGGCCTTCCCGCTGTCACTCTTATCGAAGCTTAAGGTTTTTCGGCTGCTTGGTGCCCGTTTGCAGGCGCTGGAGCTGCGAGACGGTGACAAGGGCCGCCTGCTGGGCAAGGGCGTGCTCAAGGCCAGGGTAAATAGGTTGGGGCTCACCAGGTGAGACTTGAGAAGCGGGAGAAGCGGCGGCTGCGCGCTTAAGGCAGTCAAAAACGTCAACGAGATCATCGGCCCGAAGCTGGTGGGCATGGATGTCCGCGAGCAGAAGAAGATCGATGAGGCCATGGTGCAGGAGCTGGATGGCTCCAAGAACGAGTGGGGCCCCACGGCCCCAATATTGCAAATTGAGCAAGAGGCTGTTTTCTTTGACAAGTTTTTGACTGTAGTGTGTTTGAATTCTGAGACTCTTCTCCGAAACCCCCGAGGTTGGTCCAAGTCAAAGCTGGGCCACGGCCTCTGCGCTTTCCAGAATCTGGGGGGGGGTGTTCCTGGAAGCCCTCCCCCCCAATCCTGCTCTCAGAGCTTAGTGACTTAGTGACTTAGTGTTTGAACCATCTGTTTCAAAGCCGAGGTGCCAATGCTATCCTGGCGGTGTCCATGGCCGTTTGCCGGGCCGGGGCGGCTGCGAGCGCGGGGCCCAAAAAAGGGGAGGGCTCGTCCTCAGAAGGGGAGGCGTGAGTCGGATCTTAAAAGTCAATTTGTCTTAAGTTTGTTCGCAAAGAAGTCCCCTTGTTTGTCCATGGGGCAGAGCGTTCCGTTCCGTGGCTTGGAGGCCAGATGCCCCTGTACCAGTACATCGCCAAGATCTCGGGCAAACCCACAGACAAGCCCGGGACCCTGAGAGCGATGAAGAAAGGGAAAGAGGGTTCGAGAATCTGAGTCTGAGAGCAGAAGGGGGGGACGTGAGAAGCGGGATAAATCAAGAAGAACGAAAGGAGCAATAGACAGCAAAGCCGACATTTCAAACAGCTCGCTTGCTCTGAGAAGCGGCTCTTCAGGTGTGCCCCCGTGCCTAAGAGAGCCCCATTGGAAATACACATGGAAGACAGCAGACATGGAACATCTGAACAGAGTGCTGATGCTTCTCGTCGGCCCCCTTGGATCCCTGGACTGCCGGGAAGGAGAACGGGAAGGGCGCACGGAGAGGAGGCGAGCCGCAAAGCGCAGGAAGCGCAGGAAGAGCGCAGGGCATCAGACGGAGGAACGCAACAAGCAAATCAGCGCTCTGCCTGCCGACCACTGGCGACTTGGGTTGTCTTACTTCCAACAGATGGCAAGAGAGAGAGTCCAGTCGGATATCGTTACCTGCAACGCTGTTGTCACGACCTGCCGAAAGGGCGCACAGTGGCGGCACGCGCTTTGGTGGCTTTGCGGCGTATCGCGCTGTCAGCTGCAGAAAAACGAGGTGACTTGCGGCGCCGTCCTGGACTCGTGTGGCCAAGCAAACTGGGCGAACTGGCCGCAGGCATTGTCCTTGCTGTCCAAAGCCCAGCATGCGAGCTTGTCGACTGCCATCTCATGCAACTCGGCGCTCAAAGCCCTGAGCAGGGCGTCGGAGTGGATGCATGCTACCTCATTGCTTCGTGCACTAATGATCCAGTCTTTGAAGCCTGGAGTAATCCTCTACACCTCGACCGTCAATGCCTGTGCACGGGGGCTCGAATCAGAAACGGCGCTGCGACTGCTGTCCGAGCTTGGAAAGGAAAGACTTTGTCCAGATGTCGTGATGTATTCGTCCGTCCTGGCAGCGTGTGGAAGCCTTTGGGCAGTTGCACTATCCTTGCTGGATGAGATGGAGATCAAGCAACTCCAACCGACTGCCGTGCCAATCAACTCTGCGATTTCTTCTTGCGGCAGGAGCGCAAGGTGGAGGGAGGCCATCAAGCTGCTGCAGGATATGGAGCTTAAGCGGATTCAGGCGGATGTGATTGGCTATACGTCGGCTATCCAGGCTTGCGGGTCTTCTGACATGTGGCAGACGGCGATGTTGCTTCTACAAGATGCATCCATGAAGGGTCTGCAGTTGAATCTGGTCTCCTACAACACAGCTTTGGCCGCATGCGGTGAGTGGCGGCAGGCTGCCGCCCTGTTCCAGGATGCGCTGGCGCACCTCCCAGGCGACGTGATCAGCTACAACGCCGCGGCCGCTTCAATGTCGGGACAGGCGGCGCAAGAGACATCAAGCGACATCTTGATGTTGAAAGACGTTGAGAGACAGTAAGCGACATTAACAGACATGAAGAGACATTAGAGACAGCAGTAGTTGAACCAGTAGCAACGCATGGCATTGGGCCAGGGTGAGCCGTACCGTGCCAGGCTTCAAAGGTCTGCTTCTGCCTTCACAGCCCTGCGCTACCTCTCTTGTCGAAGTGATTTACTGGCACATCAGACAAACGACTACGACGCAATGGGGCAATGCGCTGTACGATCCCTCACCCTAAGCCCAAACTCGCCTGGCGATGAAGGGTTAAAGGTTAAAAAAGGAGTTTGGTTACTCAAGCCTCATTTCTCAACCATTGTGCGTGCCTGGACTTGTGAGCAAGTGCGCTCAACACGTCAGCTGCGTGCATCAGGCCCAGTGGCAGCGTGCATTGGTGCTTGGGACCAGGCTTGAGGAGGCCAACCTGGAGGACTCGACGCGATGATTCCCGGAACATATCCCCCTCCCTGCTCATGCTAGGGAGATGGAAGTGAGATGACTACCAGAGTGTCCTTTTTTTCTTGGCACTCCCCCCTGCAACAGGAGGACCGCTACACCTGCACGGCCATGATGCCAGCAGCGGTGTCAGCGGTGTGGCAGCTGGCCCTGGTGCTGCTCCAGGAAGCCCTTGGACGTTTTCCTTGGGGAGTGACCGAGATGAGCTACAGCTCAGCGATGGCGACGGGTGAGAAGGCTTCTGCGTGGCAGACGTCCTTGCGTCTCTTTCACGAGCTCGAGGCGAGGAGGCTGGAGACGGGTTTGGTGGCTTGGCGGCTGCTCCTTCTAAGTCTTTTGTTTATTTTTGGATGTTTTCGGAGGCGCTTCCCAAATGCTCCTTGTAGGCGATGGTTTCTTATTGCTTGCCAGGTGCCCCACAATGTAGCCATCAGCTCTTGTGAGAAGGGCCTTCGTTGGAGGGAAGCCCTCCGCTTGCTGGCAGTGGCCCAGGGACTGGAACCCAGTGCCATCAGCTACGCTGCCGCCATGTCTGCCTGTCTAAATGCGGGGCAGACATCGAGGGCCATGTGGTTGTTGCGGGACTTTGAGTCAAAGCAGCTGCCGTCGACAGACGTGTGGTGTAGCACAGCACTGATGGTGTGTCGGAGGCTTTGACCTGCACATGGTCGCAGCGGTAGCGGCGGTAGCGGGTCATGGGATGAGGAATTCTTTGACTCTCTGGTGCGTGCTTGTGTTGCGAGAGCTAAACACGAATGATAAGGAAAGCTGCCGACTGGAAGCACTGCCTGTGCCTGTTGGAGACGGCACGCACTTCCAGCTTCCAGGCAAGAGCAGCCCTGTTCCATCCGGATTCCATCCTCACTGTGTAGGCTCAACCACATGTTCAGGTAGGCCCGAAACATCCTTCGGTCTCTCACCTTGTCTGGCGCACTTTGCACCCTGGCCAGCTGGACCGGGCAGCGATCAGCGCTGCGGTGGCTGCTTTGGAAACTTTCGAGGGCACCGTGCCGGCCGGGCCGGTCCTGTTCTGATCCGGCCACGTTGGGGGATGTTCAGGGATGCATCGCGCGGCATTCGCGGGGCTTTAGGCTACTGTCGGGGGTGCTTTGTTGGGGGTTGTTGGGGATTCCGACACGATTTGGCTCCAAAGGGCCTCTGTCTCAATGCTACGGTGCCAGCCCGACACAACGAAGCAAAGGAAAACGAGGTCTCTGCCTGGCGAGGATCTGCGATGGACCATAAAGAAGTGGGCCCTAAGACGGCCGAAATATCTTGGGGTTTGAGAGATTTCAAGGCGGTGTCAGCGGTGTCCCCCCCGAGTGTCTTTGTGAGGTTCGTGATGCCGGTGCCTTCCTTCAACGTGATCAACGGCGGGAGCCACGCCGGGAACCGCCTGGCCTGCCAGGCGGGCGAGTGCTCCAAGATATTGGTGGGGGTTGTTTATGTGAGTGCGCTGATCCTTTGCCAGCTAAGTAGGTAGTTGCTGATCCTCCAGTGCGATGCCACACTCAGTTCTGGCGCCCGCACAAATGCGAGAAATGCTTCGCATGTCTGGCCCTCGCCGCATTCGTTGCCGCACATGTTTTGGGGAAGGAGTTCATGATCCTTCCCGTGGGCGCCGCCTCCTTCAAGGAGGCGATGATCATCGGCGCCGCACCTCGGTAGCACCACAAAGTGGGCACAGCCCGACAAAAAGGAGGCTCTGCCTCTTTCTCCTGTCCTGGATTCTCTGTCATTTCTCGAAAGAGAGGAAGTCTACCACAACCTCAAGAGCGTGATCAAGAAGAAGTACGGCCAGGATGCGTGCAACGTGGGCGACGAAGGCCGAACAAGTGCCGAGCATCAGATCAGGAACATGAATTGAGAGCCACTGGAGAAGCGGAGAGAAAATGTAGCTGTTCGTGTACATCCAACTTTATTCGCTTCTTCCGCTTTTTTGCCTGCGAGGCGGTTTTGCACCCAACGTGCAGGACAACAACGAGGCCCATCTCGGCAGATCCGATGCGGCAAGGGCAAACGGGTGAAAAGGGTGCAAATGGAGGGCAAAAAATATTTAGGGGGGGGGGGGGGGCAAAAACTTACAGTGAAAAAGGGTGGGGGGGGGGTGGCTGTGCTTCTGCCCTTTTCTGCACAGCCTGAGGCTTTGGATGTGCTGATGGAGGCCATCAAGAAGTCGGGCCACGAAGGCACCCGTCGCTTGTTGCGAGCATAGGGCCTCTGACTTGTTCCCCTTTTTTTTCGGAGGCAAGGTGAAGATTGGCACGGACGTGGCAGCCTCGGAGTTCTACAAGGCCGAGGAGAAGGTGTGGGACGCTGGTCACGGTGTTGTGAGGATGGGCTTCGTATGGCTTCGCGTTTCCTTTGCGATGTTTTTTCTGGGCAGATCTACGACCTGGACTTCAAGAACGAGGGCGGCGGTGCCGCCGAGATGAAGAAGTCCGTGCCGCAGCTCATCGAGTACTACAAGTCCTGGCTGTCCAAGTACCCCTTCGTCTCCATTGAGGCCGGATGTGTGTGACTTAGGCTCCTTCTACCTCACTCTTTCCCGCTTCGCTCTTTCCCTTCGCTCTCTCGCTTCGCTCGCTCGCTTCGCCAGCTTGGCCCATCTGCGATGTTTCGAAGGATCCCTTCGACCAAGACGACTGGGACGCCTACAAGATGTTCATGGCCGACGTTGGCAAGGCGCATGGCGCATTCTCTGAGCTCCCTGCCCACCTTTCATGCATACGCAAAGTAAACAAGCAACATTGCACCATCACGCTTGAGGACACTCAGATCGTCGGAGACGACCTGCCGCGCCCACTGTTTGCGAGCCAGTGCGGGATTCGCTGCAAGCCGTTTGCTTCCAAGGCTGGTCACGAACCCCACCCGCGTGAAGAAGGCCCTGGAAGTGGGTGCCTGCAATGCCCTGCTGCTGAAGGTGAACCAGCCGCTTGCTGCACACCTAAGCGAAGCAAAACGCGAAGCAAAACGCGAAGCAAAATGCGAAGCAAAATGCGAAGCAAAATGCGAAGCACATTGAAGCAAGCTTTCAAGGAGCCTGTGAAGGGCACCAGCCACGAGAATCAGAGGCGACTTGTGAGCCAAGGATCGGCTCCATTACCGAGGCGATCGAGGCGGCCAACATGTCCATGGATGCTGGCTGGGGCGTGATGGCCTGGAGCTGAGCTGCGGGAGGGTTGGGGGTGAATGATGGCAGGTCTTCGGGAGGTGGGACGGTCGAGAAGCGCAGACCTTGGAGGGGCCGCAGTGCTAGACGCACAGACGAGATCAGACCAGTCGGTTCTTGCGCGAAAATGCACTGAACTCTTAGCCATGGAACGCAGACTGATACAACCCGAATGTCGGGTGTGCGATGTGCACGGGACAGGGGTCACCCGCCCTGACTTCCAAAGCCCACGGAAGAAGAGGAGGGGGAGGGGGAGTGAGCGAGAGAGAGGCAGTGGTGAAAGACAGTGAGAGGGAATGAAAGAGCCGTTCGATTTGCATCGGTCGCGGAGGTGTCCCATCGCTCCGGTGAGACCGAGGACCATATCTCTTCTCTGTGTGCATATTGGACTTTCTGGGGGAGGGAAAGGGGGGTTTGATTCGGGATGATCTCACAGCTTCGTTCACCTGGCAGGACTCCTTCATCGCAGACTTGGTTGTGGGACTTCGTGTCGCGGCAGAAACATCTTTCTCGGGCCTCGATGCCCCCCTGATGCCCCTCCCCCCCTGCGCGCCACAAAGCTTCGTAAGTCCTCACCCCATCGTTCACCGAACTCAGGCACGGGGCAGATCAAGACGGGAGCACCTTGCCGCTCCGAGCGTCTGGCCAAGTACAACCAGCTGACGCTTGGATTCAAGTGGGGGGGCTTGAGAGCCGCTTTGGAGCCGCTTGAGGCTTGAGGATCTCTTTTAAGCTTCCCCCGATGTCTTTTTTTGTTCTGGGCTGTGCTCAAAGAGGTGGGTGGGGGGGGGGGGCATGGGGCTTTCTCTCCAGAGCGCATACGAATGATAAAGAGTTTGGGATACAACAGCTCTCCTCCAGTGCTTTGGTGTGCGGTGTGCTCTGAGGATTCGCATCGAAGAGGAGCTCGGACCTTTGTGCAGCCTCTTTGCCGGCAGTTTGTGGATCCGTCTCCGCCCCTGCCCGCCCTAAACCCTATCACCGGCCCCTATCACCGGACCTCTCCCCTACTGTGCCGCAGCGTTTGAGTTTCCAGATCTCAGGCTTTGCTGGCGTGAATTTTCGGAGGCCCTGAGCCCACTAAAGTTTGAAAGAGTGCCTGTGTCACAGCTGCAAAATGCGGACTCTCACTTTTCACGTGAGTGCCCAATGGCGCGCTCTCGTAATACGCCCCTCCGTGGCCTTGTGTCCAAGCACAAGCTGCGGTTCGGCGCAGCGGCCCCAAAAAGTCGGAATTCGCTTTTGCTGTCCACTTCCGCTGTCTTTTCACAGCTCCTGTGTTGGGTACAAGAAGGACAAAATCCTTCAAAAGTCTACGTCAACCCTATGTTAGCGCATTCCGGTAGACATCGGGTTCTCGTGGTGCTATGGCGTGTGTAATGTTTTTTGTGTTGTGCACAGGACGCTTCGGCCGCAGCCTCCCACAATTGCTTTAAGAGGGATGCTGTCAACGCAGTTCGAGAGGGCAAAGGCCACACAAAGCATGCTGAAGATGCTGAAGAAATGCATTTGCCCCGTGCTCAGACCGAGTGTATTACAGAAGCGACAGAGAAGCGTGAGAAATGAAGAAAAAGCGAGTGGTGCGAATAAAGTGCCAAAAAACTGATCCGTGAAACGCTGCGCCTCAAGCTCTTTGGGCTGCGGGGGTTTCCACCGGGGGCGCTCCTTGCCGGGCGCTCCCGGCGCTGGGGCCTCGGAAGCACTTTCCCCGGCGTTCCGCTCCACAGAACTGGACTATACTCCACTGTGCTCCACTATACGCTTTTCCATGTCAGGCGGCTTCTTTGTTGTTTTAATGACTGTGGGCCAGATTTCTCTCATCATCCGAGGCTGACCCAAGCATGGAGGGCGGCGAGCTCTCGGCGGGAGTCTTGGGATCTCTCTGCGCGTTCCGTGCGCACCCTCGCCATCCCCGTCCTATGACTCCGTTCGTGTTGGCGGATCGCCAACGTCCGAGGTGGCGAGATCCGACAACCTTGGAGCCCGCTATGGTCGCTTGGTGGATGGTCTCTAGCAGTCTCTATAGGCGTACATAAGCATGGGTGCCTGGCGGCGCCTGATTTCTTGAACGCTAGCTATGCTATGTCCTTGTCATTCCTTGCTCAGAAAAGCGGTCCAAAGACAAGAGCCTCTCCGAGAAGGAGCGCGAGGCGCTTTGCACTCTCCGGAGATCTGCGGAGCCACACTTAGGTGGGAAGGTTGTGGTACCACACTCGATGTCCTTGGCACAGGCGGCACTGTACTTCACCTATGCCGAGAAGCATATGCATGAGGAGCAGGTCGCGTCACAGAGAGTGGCCGTGTTCGCCCTCTGACCACTTGCCGTTCCAGGCCGATGAGGCGCTGAAGCACACAGAGGAGGCGCCCTCTCTGCCTTCAAGTTTTCTCTCTAACAGATGCCCTGTCGTCCCAACATCCTCCATGGCAACACACACACACACATGTATGCATGTATGGTTATAGATGTGCATGTATGTTGTGTACATGCGTATATGGTTTTATGTTTATGTGTATATTTGACTAGGCATGTGTGTGTGTGTGTAACTCTGTGTGTGTGTGTGTATGTATGTATATGTACATGTACGTGTACATGTATATGTATATGTATATGTATACGTATACGGATACGGATACGTACATATGTAGACATCTATGTTTGCATGCGGATATATGTATATATATATAGATGTATATATAGATAGTACCCCCCCCATGAACCTACCTTCTGGTTTTCTGTTATCTCAAGGTGTAGGATTTAGGATTCGGCCTGCAATCAAAAGTTCTTTTCTTTACCAATGTTTTCGAAAGGCTGCCTAAGTTTGTTCCACAGACGTCTTAACATGGGGAAAACCAATCTTGTCTGAGCCAAACACCGCCAAAGAAAAACAGTACAAGCCATGATTATCCGAACTATTTTGCTGTGGTGGCCGAGAGTTTCCAAAATCATTTGTTTTAAATTGTTTTTATTGGCACAACATCGGCTGTAGCGCTATTTTCTGAGAGTGGCCTTGCAAAAACATTGGTTGTGCCGATGCTTTTTGAAGGCATGCTTGCGAACGCATGGGTTTCACCGATGTTTCCTGAGGGTGTCCTTAAACATCGGCCTTGGCGATGTTTTCTGAGACTGGCCTTCCCAAACCATTGGCTCTTGCCGATGTTTTTTTTGAAGGCAGGCTTGCGAACACATTGGTTTTACCGATGTTTCCTGAGGGTGGCCGTGCAAAAACATTGGTTTACCGATGGTTTTTGTAGGCATGCCTTCGAAAGCATTGGAAAAGCCAATACAAAACCATAACAAACATGAAAACCATCATCATTCACGAAACTAAATCGCTGGGCAAGAGAATGAAGCACAGCTCCTGGGACAACCGATGCACGAAGTAGTTCCCATAAATCAGAGACTAACTTCCTCCTTTTGTACTTATAGCGAGTAGTTGCGTTCATTCGTTGAATCGACGTAACAAATGGCTGGTAGAAAAACACACCCTCATCTAAACGAATAAACTTAAAAGTGAACCGGGTAGATTAGCAATATTGGAGGCCGACTACAGTTCTTAGAATAAACGAGTACTCGTTCAAGGCCATGGAATTTGGGAAGAATATGAAGGACAGATTTGCACTTTAATTCGCGACTCTACGACTGAAGCCGAAACAGTCTAACAAGTACAAACTGACCTCCAATGGACAATTACGTTCTTTGCAGGTGCATCTCGAGGGAACTGATATGATTGAGTATTGATTGTTGTTAAGCTTTCCTCGTTGGAATAGATGAAACTTATTGTTCTTAGCACGGAGCCATTTGCTTTCAACAGCTAAATTCGAAAAAACGGCCTTGCATGCAAGAAACTCAAGCGCGCACATGCATACATACTAGTTGCACTGCATGTTCGTCTTATGTATATGCATATGCTTATGTTTATGTATATGTATATGTTTTATGTACATGTATGTCAGTTTAGTAGATACCAGTTTGCAGCCCCAGATGTAGAAACCTGAGAGAAGCTCACTGTGCGCGCCTCCGGAGGCCCTGAGCCGCTTTCGGCAGTTGGGGGCCTCGGGGGTTTCTGTGGAGATTCGGAGATTCGGTGAAATCAGCTTGTGAGGCGGTCTTTGGGGAGGTGAGAAGCAGACGTCAGCTGTCCCCCCAACAAAATCGAATGATCGATACGTAACTGCTCGCAGGCTTTTGCTTTTAAGGGTCGCTACTTCATTCAAAGTGGCTTTCTTTGTCCCTTGCGGCCAAGGCTGGGTGATGAAACAGGGATCGCGGATAGCATCCGTTTCCTGGATGCAGCTCAGTCGATCGATGGAGCGTTGTCCACGGACACACTGGGTTCTGGTCGGTTCTTGCCGTTTCCTGTGTGCGCAGAAGGGCTTCAGTCGGCTACGGCTACGGTGCGAAGAGTGGAGCAGCGAAGCAGCGAAGCAGCTGCTACGCGCTGTTACGAATTTGCATCCCATGAACGGCTCTCAGGAATCAAGATCCACGTCCTTTGCTTCAAGGTGCGCCTTTGTATGCTTTTCGACGTTCTCGGTGTTCAGCATATGCGGTCGCTTTCCGTGTTGAAGTACAGATCTCATTGGTGTCAGGACAGGCGGAAAGAGGCCAACCTGGTGGCAAAGGAGGAGCTTTCCAGAATCCGCTCTCAGAAGGCGCCCCCTTCTTGCATGGGAGCACCACTGGGAGCAGAGTGCTGCCGCGAGAGACATGCACACATATGTGAGAGCAATAGAGCAATGCATGCGGGAGAGTCGCAGACGAGCGCTTTTGAGAGCAGGACCGACAAGGGGAGGGCAAAATGTTGTCCGTGGCTCAACCCACAAGCGACCTTTTAAGCGGCAGTGATGGTGCATGCATGCCTTGGGGTGCATTCCGTGGTGCAATGAGCAGTTGCTCTATTCTCTCTCAGGCTTTCCCTGGCAGAGGTCAACACAGAGCGCCAGACACCAAGTGCAAGGATTCCTTGCAATCTTGCGTGTTTTTGACCCACCGATACGGCTCGTCTAGGCCGTGGCTACAAAAACCGCCAGGAAGCACGGATCTGGGCAAACGAGGCAGCTTGAAGCCACAAGTTACTAGCCGTGGTGCGTCGGAAAGTGCATAAAGTGTAGGAAAGTGTGGACGTTTGCAATCCCACGGCAGTGCATGCCAGGCTCTGGACATCTTCCGGATGAGTGGCGACAAGAAGTGGGGGGGCCTAACGGGGCCCAAAACGGGGCCCAAAACGGGGCCCAGCACGGGGGTGAGATGGGAGAGCTCTCCAGTGGAGCGCTCCTCTCGACTCTGAATGTGAGAAGTGAGGATGGAGGCGTACACCCTGATCTGCTTGCTGAACATCAACATGCTCACGCCTCAGAATTTTCGATATGCCAAGGCCTGGCAAGGGCTCACCGCAGAACTGGAGAGCGGTTGCCCGAGGAAGTGGCGAGGGGACAAGAGCATCAGTGCTCCTGGCCATGTGGAGTGTGGAGATGTGGAGATGTGCAGAGTGTGGAGCCACCCGCAGTGAACACGATCACGCTGTGAGTCGTGGAATCGAGTTGCTGCGTTTGCCGCGCCAGGCTGCCAAGAAGGCCTCGACTGTGGCCTGCTGGCCAGGAGACACTCCCATCATACTCCATCATACTCCTCTACCTCTTCGAGTCTCCATTTTGAATATCGGCATGTGTGTTCTACTCTGCTGCATTCGTGCAGGAGTATCTTCCGCAGCATCGGGGACAGGACTCGGCCTTGGCCAATGCACGAAGAGACCTTGCTAATTGCTAGAGACAGGGCGGAATGGTCTGCATGCTGTTTTCCCCACATTCCGAACATCCGGCGTCAGAGCCGGAGAGAAATCCGCCTTTTCGAGGCAACACAATCAACAACAGCAACAGCAATCTCGAAGCAACCGGCTTTGGGGCTCTCCACTTCGACATCTCGTCTTCTGAGAGACATCTCAGTGACATCTCTTTTTTAGTATTCCATGTATTCCTTTCTTCTGAATCGTTTTGGTTTCGGCCGTTTCGGCATCTCTAGGCGAGGCGAGGGCCTGGCCATGCACGGCGTCGCCGTGGCCCACGTCCGCGCCGGGGGGCCCCGGCAGAGTTTTTTTTGGTGGTTTTTCTGACAAAGAAACTTCTTTTTCACGTGACTTTTCCGTGATGCATTTCTTCCCATCGTTTTCTTTCAGAAGCCCATTCATTTCTTTCTCTGTGTGCTCGGATGGCCCTCTCGCTCTCTCGCTCTCTCGCTCTCTCGCTCTCTCGCTCTCTCGCTCTCTCTCCGAGGCGGACATCAACGACGTGGTCCTGCAGGGCGCCACGGGCGGCTGGCCCGCGCAGCCCCTAGCGAAGCATGGCGAAGTCAACCACAGAATCAGATGGAAGCCAAAGAGCCAAAGCTAAAGCCGTCCTTTTCTTTTTTTTCCTGAGGCCGCGGCCGCCGAGGCGGTGCCGGTCCCAGAAACACACTGTGACATCAATCTTCCTATTCGACGAGGTGGCAAGAGGTGACAAGACGTACATCTGCACGAGTATGTGTCCATGCATGCATGTATGTGTGTAATGTCAGAACCTGGAAACCCAACGAACACTCGCTGAACCGTGGCCACCAAGACTGCCCAGTGTCGTGGTCAATCATAACGGTTCCTTCTGCCCCCCTGACAATTCAAGGCCAAGCTTTTTCGAGACAGCGGCTACCTGAAAATGGAAGCCTTTGAGCAGGCCAGGAGCAGCTGCCAGGAGCATGCTCCAGCAGCTGCCAGCAGCATGCTCGACGTGCAGCCTGGTGCGCATGTGACTTGCACCTCGAGGTCTGTGTGGCCCAGTGGACTTTGGGTATCAACCCTCGGAAGGCGGGAGCCTCAACGACTCAAGAATCAGTCAAAACCCCTCCCCCCCCCTTCATAAGCGCTTCCAAGCTGCCGCGGAAAAATCAGACTCCTACTTCTGAGAGCGTTGCAAGACAAGCAAAACGGAAGCCAAAAAGACCTCTCCGCTCCTTGCGCTTGTTCGTTTTTCCGCATGCTTCGTGGGATCTCCCGTTTCGTGAGGCCATGAAGCTGGCCGAGGAGGCCATGAAGCCGGGGCCTTGGAAGCTGCCGCAGGTACAAAAAGACCGCAAGTTCTGCTCAAAATGAGGTCAGCCCATCAATCCAGCCATCCCCAAAGAGAGAGAGCGAGGCGCTGTGCGGAGCTCCGCAGCCGGCAGGAGTCGGCCGCCCTCAGCGCCGGCGGCCTCGGAATGTCCGTGGAAGCGGATGGGCCCCTGAAAGCCCTGAAATAGGAGAGGGCGGGGGCATGGGGGGCATTGGGGGCATGGGGGTGGGGTTTTCGGGCTTTGGAGCTTCGCGGAACTTCGCGGCGTTAGGGGTTTTCGTCCCGGTTTGACTTTCTTAGGCGGCTTTCACAACTGGCGAAGCCCAACATGCCAAGCAGCAGAATTCGAATGCTATCCGGAAGTTCCAGTGCTGAACTCATGTGTCAACGACTTCTCAGGTATTGGTGCAGGCGCACCTGCAGCTGAAGGACCGTAGAGAAGCACATAGAAGCACTCTGGGACAGGATCTTGCAAGGCACTTCGCGGATGCGTGAGTCGTGAAGTGCTTCGTGTGCTTCCCTTCCAGCCCTCGGCATCAGTGCAGGACCGATCAAAGAATTGGATGAACGAAGAAGCTGCGAAAGCTGTGCAGTTGGCCAAGGATGGCCATGACCTCATCGTCACAGCCACCCAAGAGCTTCAAAGCATCCGACTGTCAGCTGAACGCTTCGAATGCTTCCGTCCCTGAGGCTACGACCGCTTTCGAGAGTTGGGCGAAAGGTTTGGACAGGCGCACTTGGACAGATGCGTTCTTGAGCTGGTGCCGCAGCCGCATCCTCCGCACAAGGGGCACCCAACCGTGCAACCGTGCAACTGTGCAACCGTGCATAAACGCACAAGGAGAGTGCCGGAGCAGACATGACATTGGGGGTCGCATCAGGGTTGTGACATTTCTTTCGGGCATTTGGATTTGGATTAGTTGGGAAAGCGTACCTGGTTGCTTGGACTCGGCAGACTCTGTTTCTGAGATTCTGGCCCCCAAGCCAGTGAATGATAAAGCCCCGTGGGTGCGCCAGGCTTCGCCACCGAACCCACCGGAGGGGGGGGAAGGGAGAGCGCGAGTAACCAGGCAAGGCAGCACGAACGTGAGGAGCAGGTATTAGGCAGGTATGCTCTGATGTTTTCTGCTTGTCAGCTTGACTTCGTTTAGGAGGGTACATAGGCAGTTGCTAAAGTAGAGGCCGGCATGGGGCACAAAACAAAGCAAGACCTTCAAAGACCTTCAGACTTATAGGCACAACAAGAAGAGACAAAAACGACACACACGACTGGACCATGGCAGCTGCACAGGGCCATGGCGGATGCAGCGCGGAAGCTGCGGAAGAAGTTTTCCACGGAGCACAAGGTCTGGCATGCGCCAGAACACTTCTTCCAAGATGATGAGGATGATCATTCAAAGAACCTCATCGCAGACAGCACGAAGTCTTGGCAAGAAATGTGGGAGCGATGGGATGCGATCCAGATCATGCCTGCCACAGTGAAGCGCAACCTTATGATAACCATGTTTTACAACGAATGTGCTGTTCTGGTGCGTGACTTGTTGAACGAGCGCCGCGACCATGGATTTGTCATGAACTGGCTTCACTTTGGTGCATGGGCCAGTAACACAGTAGGGTTCGGCATCCGAAGCGGGCTGATGTCTGCCATGGCGGCCCGAAGTCCTTGCGAGTGTCTTCCCGAAGCCGTCGCCGGGCTGGAGAACGCCGTCGGGAAGAGCATATACCTGGCTTTCAAAGGAGCCATGCTGGAGGGAAACCACAAGGTCTTCCAGGACGTCGGGGAGGCATTTTGCAAGTTTGGCTTCCGCTTTGCGGAGGGTATCCGCCAGGGAGAACGGGAAAACGATGAGGATTTCTGGAAATGGGCTCGCAAGGAGTTTGTGGAGTTCGAAACCCCCGAAAAAGCTTTTCGTTTGGACCAGCTAAGTGGCACTTCCAGGGCGGATTTGGAGAAGTTTAGACCTTGGTTGCCATCCGAGAATGTCATGGGTCTGGCCATGAAGGCCTACTATGATGCCGTCTGGGAGGATGATTCCTCCTTGCATCACGAGTACTGCCTTTTGGGCAACATGTACATCGCACTTGTCGAGCAGATGCGCTTGGAGCAGCCCTTGGAATCGCTGCTGACTGGCGGCGGCATGCTCAAGTTCAGCAAGACGCTCTGCAACGCCACCACCTTGGGAGTCTTCTTGCACGGGCCGGCGGGACGAGCGTGGGTATGGAAGGATGTGCCTCCTCACAGCTCCACGGAGCTCTTTGTACCCACGGTGGCAAAGTTGCGCCTTCCGCAGACGCAGTGGCTCTACGCCAACTGGGTGGCTTCGGGTAAGACTTTCGACCAGTTGACAGACACGCTTGACCACACTGGTGCGGTCTTGTCGCATGGTGGTTGGCAGAATATAATTGAGCGCATGAAGTTCATCTATGCACTTTTCCGCACGTGCCTCACAGACAAGGACTTTGAAAAGCCTCTGTTCACGCATGATCAGCGTGAGGCAATCATGCATTTTCGGGATGGCCACGATGGAACACGTGGGACACAATTCTTCCAGTCATCGCTTCCCGTGCATCGTGACCGTTCTGTTTCCAAAGAAAGGACTTAGCAGACTTAGCAGCAGCCTGGAGTAGAAAGCTCGAGTCGTGCAACGCTCGAGTCGTGTCTTGTGTCTGTGTGACCTGGGACGCCCAAGGCGCCAGGCACAAGCCCAGAGGCATCCCGACGGCGAAAAAAAATCACGCCCTGCTCTCTCGGCGGCGGGCGTCGGGCGATCGAGTGCAGCCCTTGTGCAGTTCCCTTGTCTTTGCCCAACTCGGAGGCCTCGGCTTTGCACGCGCTCGTCCTGGCGCACCAAGCACGGGACACCGAAGGGGGCCAACAAATAGGCCAACTTAACAGGGGGCCACCGACGACTTTGTCGATCTCGCATGGTGCGTATGATTGCATATGTCAGCAATGTGACATATGTGCCTCAGGACGAGAAGACTCTGGCTCTGCAGGCTGCGGAGCAGGCCGCTGACATCTACAAGGACAGGGCACAGGGGCTCAAAGGGCCCTCGCGAACTCCCCAAGAGCCCGAACAGCTCGAACACTCGAACTCCGTACAACGCATAGCCGAGCCACAGAAACAGGCCGAATAGTGAAAATTGAGGTGAAGGCAGGAGCAGGTTTTAAGGGGCCTAAGCAATGATCTTTTTGTGGCCATATTTTTGCCCTGCTGGTGGAAGAGAGCTATGCAGGGAAAGGCTGGCCAAAGACTGTACGGGCTGCCAGTTTTTCTGGCCTTCGCGAGATGCATGGCCGGAACTAGCTGCAGCCCGCAGTCCTGCATGAGCTCAAGAGATCTCACGAGTTATGCCCATGTGCCTCAGAGTTTTTTGACGCGTTGAACTCCAAAGTAACCACTTGCATCGCATGCGCAGGAAATCGGCGAGAAGGCTCGGAACTCGCTTACAACATCTTCCGATGCATGACGGTCGTGCTTCAGAGCTCTTCACATGGTGCTTTGCAGGGTGGAGAGACGGCGATGCTGCTCATCCTGTCCCAGCAGGGGCCTTCTTCTGCGATCAGAGCAAAGCAGAGCGCGCGATGATTTCTGATTCCTTCTCCAGTGTAAGAGTCGAGGCTGCATCTGGAGACGGCCCGACCAGAGAAGGCCTTCCAGGTGGCGTCCGCGCCTAAAAGACCTCGTGCTCGCGCAAGCTCCGGCAAGGTTAGCGAAGTTCGCATGAAAAAATGTTCTCCTCTTGTGATATCCTTTTTTGCTCTCTTTGTTTTGATGCTGCCTCGTGGGCCCTTCGGGGGGGCTCTTCGTGTCACCCTGAACCTTCTAAGTGAACCTACGTCGCACCCAGGCAGGAGATTGCCTCCATGGAGGTCTCGCTTCATGAGACCGCGATCGCCCAGGAAACCGTGTACGAGGTGACATGTCGCAAGCTGTAGTCTGATCCGGGGCTGTCGCTTTTTGGCATCTCTTCTGGCGCTTGGTGCATCTTGCAGATCTTGCAGGCTTTCCTTCAGCAGGGTGACCTGGAAGAGGTGGCTGTTGCTCATGTCATGTTCGCTTTTGTGCCAGTCCGTAGTACGTAGCAGCTACAGCGGACAAAGCTGGCCAGCGGTCGTGATAGGAAGACGATGCAACAAGTTTAGTCTAGGGAGGATGCAATACAAGGAAGAATGATGCCAAAACCGCACAACGGATTCCTTCGGCTGTCACAATGTGACATGAGAAATGAGGGGGGAAAGGAAGCAAGGCCCTTTCAGTTCTTTCCATCTTACGTTACAGCAGCCTGCAGACGCATCTTTGGGCCTCCAAGCGGAGCTCTTCATGCAGCAAGATTTGGCTGAGACAATGGAGACCGACCCTTCCACTTGTAACACTTTTGTTGAGAACATGGAACGAACTATGTGAAGTGTCGGCAGCCAGCAGCGAGGCACAGTGAGGGTCTAAAAGAAGGTACAGAGTGACTCTAAGGTTTTCGATGTGTCCAAACAATCCAGCTGTGTGAACCAACTCGACACAACGCCCTGGAAAGCCTTCCCTACTTCTGAGGGTGGCGCGAGGACAGGGCAAAGCCTTCCCTGCTTCTGAGGGTGGCGCGAGGACAAAGCGGCACAAGGGGAGTGCAACACGCAATACAAGCAGACATGCTCATAGGCACCCCCTGACACCAACAAGCGCTGCGTGTGCGCCCTTGCGCAACTCTTCGAGAAAACACCTACACTTATGTGAGTTCGGCTGTGTCGACCTGCCGGCAGAGCACGGCCAGGCCATGAAGACGGCACAGGAGCTTGTGAGTCTTTGCAATGACAAGAACGACAAGAAGCGCGAGGTCCGGACCTGCACTGTGCCTGACCGTGTGAAAGTGCTCCATGATAGTTCCATGATGCTCCACGGGCCCAGGCCATCGCCCGGCTCATGGTGGCCAACATCCACTACACACAGCTTTTGGGCTGCAATGCCAAAGGACGTCTTTCTTCGCCAGGAAGATGTAGGTAACTACTGTTTTTTCCTCGCATGTCCTTTCCGTCTTAAGGAAGGACTTCACGCAGGCGGTGATGGTCTCGCGAGAGGTGGGTCTGCTGCAAACAAGTAGTCGTGATTACGTGGGCCCCTTCAATGCATTGTGGAGATGTCACAGGCCCAAGCGCTTCTGCATGACATCGGTGCTTATGCCGACGAGGAGCCTGTTCAGGGTTCCTAGCTACTTTCTCAGATTCTCTGTTTGTGTACATTGGCTTGAAGAAAGCGCTTTTGAATCACAGAAAGCTGCTCTCCACTCCTGTCGTTTATAGCAGCCATACTAGCAGCAATACCCCCCTAGGGAGGAAGTGAATCTGCTTCGGTTTGCGCTCCTCCTTTCCTCTCCGTACAGAGATCTCTCACCTCTCTTCCCCACTTCCAAGCTCCATCTGGAGTGCGATTTCTTGGAGGCCTCCGCGCTGCGCATTGTGGCCGAGGTGCCGCTGCTCCTGGCGTCCTATCGCTGGGCTTGCGGCAATAAAGTTGCCCTGGGCAGGCTTACCTGGCAAATGGCGAGCTCCCGCAGGCCCGAGAGTCTGGAACATTCGTTGGGCCCGCAAGTCTTCGCTCAAAAAAGTACACGCGCAATCGCAGGCGCTCAAGGCTGCCGAGAGAGCACCGTCCTCAGCTGCCAGTACTTGTCCACGATACGTGCACTTTGGAGCCCTTGCGCTGCCAACCTTCTCATGCTTCTCATGCTTCTCATGCTTTGCTTGCCTCGCCGTCATGGCCAGTCCGTGCGCCTCTTCCGCGGCAAGCAGAAGGACTCCGAGGAGGCAAAAAGGGCTTCCTTGGAAAGGATTCAGACCTATTCAGACCTGTGCAGCACTCTTTTTGTTTGAGAGCCACATGCGGGGGAAGGGTTGTTAGGAGCAGTTCTCACCTGTGGCTTCTTTTGTTCTTTTTGTTGGCTCATTAGCACCAGCTCCGGCTCTCAGGCCCAGTCCCTCCAGGTGGTGTCGACGATCAAGTTGCAGGTCCTGGCACAGGCCGAGAATTCGCGGTTGTTTTTTTAGCAACAGCTCCAAAAGCGTGTCTCAGTGGGTACAGCACGAGTGCCGCAGAGTCAAGGACAAGATCCGGGCCCAGCGCGGGTCCCCGGCCTTCGCGTCGGCACTCAGCGATGCAGAGCAGGCAGTCCGGGCCTCGGAGTGCGGAAGCTCCCCCTAGCTCCCCATAACCCAGCACAAAAGTTTCATGGTTCCGAGAGCCGTGGCGGGGGCAGTGTCGAACTGGGAAAAGCCGGAGAGCTGTGCGGGCCTGCGCTGAAGGCCGAAGCTGCCATTGCCTTTGCGCCCGCTGCTCAGAGACTTCAGAGTCTTCAGAGAGACGGTCAGCTGAGGGTGAGCGGAGGGTCGTGGGCCCGGTCTGGGGGACTCAAGATTCAAGGGCGCTCCTCCTTTTTGAGGGCCTTGTCTGGCATGTTTGCAATGTGCATTCCCTTAGGCGAAGCAAGCGCTTCCATCAGCAGCTGGGGCAGGCGACCTCAGGGTGTGACCTTACCGCACGCTCGCGATCGCGTGAGTGACGTGCGGCGAGTAGCAACTCGGGCAAAGCGCTTGTCTCCTCGGAGGCGCTGCTGATCTACGGCCAGGTGCAGCTCACGGGCCTCCGGTGCCGGACTCGTTGCAGACAAGCGATGAACGGCCACCCCATAAATGCCCGAGGAGATGTGCCTAACGGGTCTAACAGGATCGTGGATGCTTGAAGCGATGTGACTTGAGTTCCAAGGTGCGACGATGCCCTCAAGACAGCCGAGGAGGTTCCGGGTCGGGGGGAACAAAAACAAAAACCGCAAAAAAGGGGGACGGTGGCCTCCATTGGCTTCCCGGCGAGGCCATGGCCATCTTCGAGGAGCTCGGCAGCGAGCGGGACAAGGCCAATGTGATGTGCCTGGAGGCGACTTGCGGGACTTGCGGGGGTCGACCTACACACACATACACACATACACACACACACATACACACACACACACACACACACATACACACACACACACACACACATACACATACACACACACACATAGACATACACATACACACATACACACATATGCACATACACACATACACACATACACACATACACACATACACACATACACACATACACACATACACACATACACACATACACACATACACACATACACATACACACACGCATACACGCATACACACATACACACATACACATACACATACACATACACACATACACACATATGCACACATACACACATACACACATACACGCGCGCGATTTTTGGTTCCCTTTCCTTCAGCGTGCCTGCTCAACTGGCCAAGGCAGACGCTCACTTCACCAACGGCAATGCCAACAAAGCCTTGGTGATTGTCAACAAGGCAGCAGTTTGCGCAGTCTGGGCTTCCTGAGAGTTGCGGGGATGACGCCCTCTCGCTGCCCCTCTGTCTTGAGAGGCCCTGGCCATTTTCCAGGAGTACCGGGACTCGCGAGGCGAGTGGATCGCGTCCCGTTGCCCAGATTGAGTCTGAATCAGTTCCAAGGGGGCCGCGCATGGGAGCAATGCTCAGGATGAATATCCTGGAACAGATCACCGGGCCGCCTGAGGCCACTTGTGATCGGTTATGCAGGTTTAGCACAACAGCTACAGAAAGAAGCGGCGTAGTGTGAGACATGTAAGGCAGAGTGTGGGGCCGTGAAGGCCGTTGTGGGGCTTTCCTGGCTCTGGCAGGAGCAGGCCCTTCCTGGCAACGAGTGGACGCCAGAGCAGTGGGCAGAATGGCAACGTTGGCAGCGCAGCCCCGAGAGATGCGAGAAGCAGCAGCGAGGTTTCATTCAGGCCTCTTATTGGATGTGTGCTCCGCTGCCGAGGCAGCAGCAACAGCAGCAGCAGGGTGGGGCGCAAATGCCTCAAGCTCTGCAGCGGCAGCAGCAGGCCCGTCGGTGCATTAAGTCTCGCAATTCCCAGCCGCCATGGGCTGCACAGCGACGTTGACATGACTTGAGGAGCCGCGGGCAAGAAGGAGAACAGATCCCGGCCAGAAGTGGAAGACCAAGTTTGCAGATTGATTCTTCAGCAGAGTACCGGCATCTCCTCCTCACCTCCTCCTCACTTCCCCTCAAAATCTGTGACGAGGTTGGACATCGCCAACGTCAGCTTGGGCCCTGCCGTGCCAATGCCCTGCCCTGCCCTGCCCCCCCCAAAGGCCTCCGAATGCCTGGCGGCTAAAACGACGGTGAAACAGTGAAACAAGAGGGAACCTGCAAGGGGAGGGGAACCCTGAAGCGCCGTGCAAAGGCACAGACACGGTGCGAAAGCGTGTCGAGGAGATCGTGAGGCCACGGGCTCTCTTCGACAGCACCGTGCCGTGGTGCCTCGCATCTTACTGGCTTACTGGTATTGCTCTTGACAGGTTTACAGCCGACTTAGACGACTCCGAGCAGATCGATCTAGACCAGCCGTTGATGCAGGCCAACAGTTCTGGAGCTTCAAATTGATGAAGTGGTTCCATGCACGCGCCTGTTTGTCGAGGTGGGCGTCACCAGCCGAACAGCTGTAGGCCTGCGCAACATGCTCAGCGAGGAGGCCAGGAAAGTGTCCCAGGAAAGTCTGCTGATTCGAAAAATCAGGGCGGGGTCTTTTGTGACATTGTTCTTCAGCTTTTTTCCGCCTGTCAGATGCCCGGAGTGGACCTGCCCTTCACCCTCATTTTCGACTACCCCTCTGTGGCATCCATTGCTGCTGCCCGCCTGAGAGCTGGAGAGCTAGCGACATGGGGGAAACGGGGGGGAGGGGGGGAAACATGGGAAACATAGGGCGCCACAGATTTTTCAAGCGCCGTGCACTTCGCCAAGCCAGCGATATCTGGAGAGAGCCATCCATGCCATCCATGCCATCCAAGGATCACGTCATGGCCGGGGCCTCTATGGGATGCCGGTTCTCACGCTCCGCACGCGGCGATTTTCAATGTCATAACGAGAATGACCTCTCGATCGCGCTAACACTGAAGGCTCTTGAACCGATCTGAACCGATCTGAACCGATCTGAACCGATCTCTGTTGCCGCAAGACCTGGCTCTGCTCAACCGCGTACCCAAACAGGCTGTGCCTTGCAATACTCCCACAGTTGTCCTGATCAAGACTTGTGTGTTGGGCCACCCCTGCCTTGGACGTGTAGTTTACTCGTGTTGCCCTAGGCGCTTACGATTGCCGGAGTATTAATTAGCAGGCCGTCACCCAAACCATCCCAAACCCCTAAGTGGCCGGAGAGAAGAGGCACCGCAGAGCTGCATGGAAACCTGGTCACGTCACCTTGTTTCCTATATCTGGATATCTCCAACGCGATGACGTAACAAAAAGCCGCCAAAGCCAGCGCCGCCATGGATGTGTTCTCATTGCTGCGGCGCGGGCTCAGCGGTGACGTGTGCGAATCGCTGAGCTTTGCCCCTCTGCGCGAGGCGCCCTTTTTGTGATCGTTCGTTGATCGTTCGTTGATCGTTCGTTGAGCGTTCGTTGATCATTCGTACCTGGGTCGTTGGTAGGCTGGGATGCTAATCTTAGGGGCTTCCGATGTCAGGTGGCGCCCCTGGTACACAGCTTCACAGCCTCCTTGCCGGAAGCACTGCTGGAGAACTGCCGCGCGGAGCACCTCGAGGACACAGCCAGACTTAGCCCAAAATGGTTCCAACATGGCTGCCTCCTCCTCTCAGCTCCTTCTCCCGAAAGGCCCCCATTCACGGCCCCGGCAGGTGGACCTTGTCCGCTTGGGCCAGCTCCTGGCCGCGCGCTTCCTCAATGTCACTCCTCGAAGTGTTTGGGAGTTTGTTTGTTTCATCTCGCTTTCTTTGAGGGGGTGCAGAGGCTGTGGCCCATTTGGGACATTCTCTGGCGGCAAGCATATGGCTGTCGGATTCACCATTCGTGGAGGATCATCGAGCATGTCGAAAACAGGGGCTTAACTCGGCGTTGACCAGCTGAGGAATGCCTCCAGCTGCAGCGTGCTTCAAGCCAAATGCGCGATGCTTTGGAGCTGGCGAGCGAGCTGCTGGGATATGCTTAGGGGCATGTGCTATGGCGTGACAGTTTTGGCGGCTCTTGGTGGCTCTTCCGTGCGAGCGCCGGGATGCCTCGGGCGCCTTAGCCGCCTCAGCCCAGGCGCACGGAGACCTTGCCGGAGGCTGCCGAGCCCGCTGACTCAGAGCATCTCAGTGTCGTACACCAGGATGTTACGGAATGTTATCGATGTTGTACCGGGCTTGACAGCGAGTAGAAGCAATGACGAAGCGGGGGTGTAAAGGCCGCGGTAGGGGTGGAGTAAAGGGCAGTAAGAGTGTCGCCTGAGGCTCGCGAAGCTCCGGGCGCGCTGCCAGGCTTCCCATGTCCTCTTGTCGGTTTGACCCTTACAATGACGAAATCCGATGTTTGATCATGGAGAGGAGCTCGAGCGCGAGTTGGAGGAGCCAGCGACTCGGAGCAACTTCCCCAAGAGACCTCCTCCATGCGAGGAGCGCCCCCGCAGCTCCAGCGACGCGGACGAAGGCACCCTGGACGAGGCCGAGGCCAGGAGACGCCACACGCCGTAGCGCTGCTCTGGCGGATTCAGCGGGGGGAAACACGGGCGCGAGCGGCAGCAGAGGTCTAGCTGCTAGCTAAAACCATGAAGGCCAGCCGCGGCCAAATCCGACTTCTCAGAGATAGGTTTGAAACGGTTATACTGGCTACCACGGCCAGGGGAATCTCACAGGATTCGAGGCAAAAGCAACGGATCTTTTGCAAGAGAGGCACTTCGTGCGGCTCTGGGCGCCCCGCAGCCCTGCACCCGCTGCGAGGCACGGGATGGCTGGCCGCGTGCTGTGGAACATGTGGAAGAGCAAGTGGGCCTTCGTGGACCTGTTTTTAGGAATTCTTATGAATTCTTCCTTCTATTGTTTTTTTCCTTAGCCCCCCGAGTTGCTGGGGAGGTTCCGGTTGCTTTGCTGTTTTGTCCTCGTGCTGCCCTCCGAAGTAGGGAAGGCCGTGCTAACTGCTCGACAGAATTATTCCCTTTTGCCGAGACCTTTCTTAGGCTTTGCCTTTTGGTCGGCCGCTTTGTGTTGTAGAGCCTTTGGGCTGATGGGTTTGTGTGCCTCCGTCGCTGTGCGCTACGCCACCCCAAAGGTGTTTTTGTCTAAAGTGAGGCTAATGTTGATTCGGTGCAGAGGTGTTCAGGGGGCTGCTCAGCCTGTCGCAAGTGCCGCAGGCTCTGGAGGCCAAGCTCCGAGAGCAGGACAAGGGGGCAAAATGTGTCTTTGTGGTCAACTGAGCTGCGCTTGTTGCCTCTTGCCAATGGCCTTGTAGGAAGAGCGGATGCTGGACCACCACTTGGAGGCAGGGAAACGGGCCACACAGCTCTCAGCTGCATCGCTCTCGGAGCACTGCTCTCGGCGCACCGCTTTCCGGAGGCCCCTTCAAACAGAAGCAGTCCGCGGTTCAAGGCCGCACGCTGAGGGGCTTTCGCCGTCCCACTCCAGTCCTAGCGGAGTTGCAGTCTACAATTCAAAAATATTGTGTTTTTACACTTCATGGATATTCTAAGTCTACACATTTTTCCAGTTTGAAAGGAAAGGAGACGTGCACAGCTCTCAGAGCAGGCGGCCCCCGCCGACCCGGACCTGGCCCGGCTCCTCGTTGGCGAGGCAATGTCATGAAGTCCTCCGTGGAGACTCCGAAGTTCTTTGGCCTTTTCTCTGAAGTTCTCCCCGCACCTTTGGGAGGCCCCACCGGTGGTGCGCAAGCGTGCGGCCGTGGTGCTTCAGGCTGACAGAGATCATTTTGCCACTTTGCCACTTTGCCACTGCAGCGGCCGAAAGGCAGCGTGGAGACGGCGAGCTGCAGCTCTACGTGAAAAGCTGAGAGTGCATTCGTGTGTACTGTGGAGTCCGTTCTTTTCCGCTTTGTAGGAGTAGGAGAATGCTCCGCCAACTTTGCATCAGCGAGGCTTTGAGCGTCATTTGGTCGGGCTCGTCTTCCCCACAAGGAGTATCCGACTAACCACGATGAGCTGATGTTGGTACAAGATGCCTGTATCTGCAGCATCCCGTGTTTCCAACAGGCTACAGTAGCCTCCACTGTAAATCTGCAAGCGTTCTCCTCCTGTTTCGCAGGAACGATGGGCGCCGCCCGAGCGGCACTGTCGGATCTGTCCGCTTGGCCCAGGCGACGCGAAAACTAGGGTGGCTAGCAGCTAGGGCGTCGGGAATTGGGAATTGCATGGAATTGCCCGCTTCAACAGCACGACGTAACACGGCTGCATCACCAGGCCCTTGCAGCACGGGTCTTCCGAGGGCTGCAGCGGCATGGTCTGGATTTCGAGGCCCCACCGAGGGAAGAAGACATTGAGCAGATTCCGTTCTTTGGCATGTTTTTCGAGAGTGGGTTCTTCTTGGTGGAGAGAGAGCTCTTGCGGATGGCTCCTGCACTTTAGAAGGGGAAGGTGGATGGAACTTCTCGCAGCTCAATATGCCATCAACAGTTTTGTTGTTATGACCCTCGCTGACTCCAATGAGCGGACGCCTCGCTCGCAGACATGTTAAGGGTTTGGCGCGAGAGCTTTCAGTCTGAGAGCATGTACACCACAGGGCACAAGCGTACCACAGCGAGCAAGTAGCTCTCCTCTACAAGTTGTTGATACAATATGTAATATATAGAAATCTATATATATATATATTTCTATGCATGTATCTGTATACGTAGATCGATCGATCGATCGATCTCTCTCTCTCTCTCTCGCTCTCTCTCTCTCTCTCTCTCTCTCTCTCTCTCTCTCTCTTCGTCGGTCATCAGAGCACAGCCACCTACCACAAGTAGCCGTCACACACATAGAGACATGTGCTCACGCATGTGCTGTGACACTGTGTGTGTGTGTGTGTGTCTGCGCGCGCGAGCGAGCGCGCGCGGGTGTGTGTGTGTGTGTGTGTGTGTGTGTGTGTGTGTGTGTGTGTGTATGTGTGTGTGTGTGTGTCTGTGTCTGTGTCTGTGTCTGTGTCTGTGTCTGTGTCTGTGTCTGTGTCTGTGTCTGTGTCTGTGTCTGTGTCTGTTTCTGTGTCTGTGTCTGTGTCTGTGTCTGTGTCTGTGTCTGTGTCTGTGTCTGTGTCTGTGTCTGTGTGCGCGTGCAAGGCCGCCTTTCGCTGTGCCGACACAGGCGCCTTGACGGTTGTTTTTCGGAATCTTCGCTGTGCTACTGGAACTTGGAGCTGGCGCTGAGGCTACGAAGGAAACCATGAGCCTTCGGGATTGATCCGAGTAGGCACTGGCGGAGATGCTGAGCTGCTGAGAGTGTGAGATAGAAGATGATAGAGTGAACCTCCCGCGAGGCCAATTTCTCCTTTTCCTCTGCCGACAGCAAGGGGTTGCCTTAGCACCTGCAGAATCCGCTGCGTTGTGCCATGGCCACATATTGAGAGTTCTGATTCGCAAGGGTTGCAGTGCTTTGGCTGGTGGTGTGGCTCATCGTCAGGGAGTTGTCCATGAGGTTGCGGCTGCTGAAGAGGCGCGACCGCGGGAATCGGAAGGACCCGCCGAAGCTTCCATCTGGGGCGGCTTGGCAAGCACACACTTGCGAGCACAGTATTGCGCAGGTTTGACAAGTTTGACACATCACGCTGAAAGATGCTAAGCCGACTAAGCCTGTTAAGCCTGTACTTTCTTCACTCTCTTTCTTTTTCTGTTCAGTAAGTCAATCGGGTAAGACTTGACCTCGAGAGCAGCTCGAAGGCTCGCGCTGATCTGCAGGAGGCGACGGGGCTGCTTGGGTAAGAATCTTCCGAGGAGTCCAAGAGACTTAAAGAGACGAGACTGTCCAAACGAGTCCGTGGGAGCTTCCTGGTGAGGCCTGGCAGTGGGAGATGCCCTACGATTTTGCCAGGCAGCTACAGGTGCCAAGATGGTCTCGGTTGCCTTGCGCTGCCTTGCGCTGCCTTACGCTGCCTTACGCTGCCTCGCAGTCTGTCGTGTAGCAAGGAACAAGGCTTGTATTCTCTCAGAAGATCTGGCAGGCAGCCGCATGCGAAGGAGGCGCGTGCTTTGGGAGACGTTGGCAGCCGCAGCGTCCCTCCCAGACCCTGAAGGGAGGGCCGGGTTTGGATGTCCGGTTGCGGATGTCAAATGTGATCTGGAGGGTCTGTACATGCGCAGAACGTCACGCCATGTCATGCTGTCCCACCCATCTGGCTGTGGGGCCACCCCTGCCACCACGTCCCTTAAGCTTGAACATGTTAATGAACGTGCAAGCTTCTGTCCTAACCGGAACGCAAGATTGTGGACTCAAAATCCCAAAGTCAACTCCATCTCTGTTTCAGTTTTTCCAAAATCAGTCTACCTAGTATCAGCCCCCACATGAGGCTGCATGCGCCTCTGGCGATGCAAAGAGAGTGTGAGGTCGTGTTTGGCGCATTCTGATGCCTCGTCACCTGGCCAGGCCCAGCGCCAGCACGCGAGGTGCGGGAGTCAGACGATTGCGACACATTACGTACAGGGAAGCGCCAGAGTCACACAGTAGCCTCAAACTTGCTTTGAAGTCAGTAGCCTTTGAGTCGCTTTCCCTTCTGGCAAGGCTCTGGAAGCAGTGTCGGCACTGCTGCGGGGCCGCCAGTGCCGGTTTCAGTGGGGCGATCAGGGTGCCAGCTGGGATCGGCTTGTGCGGGACGCGCTCTTGCTGCAGCTGCGCGAGGAGCGTGAGCGCCTGCAGGCCGCCACTGCCGCCCAGGATGACAGAAGTTCCTCCTATGCCGATGGCCAGACCAACCGGCCCTTCGCGCCCTTCACTGGCGAGCTCGAGGGTCAACTGGCCGATTGCGAGGCAGAAATGAAGGAGGTGCTGCAGGGGCCGTCCCGACCGGTGTCTGCCACGGCCTTGACGGCGCGGCTGCTGCGGGAGCAGCTGCCGCTGGCGCCGGTGACGCTGCACGCCGCCGCGCGGGCCGCGCCGCCATGGCAGCCAAACAATGGCATTGGAGATGGCGTGCGCCGGGGTCAGGTTATTGACCATCTGTGTGGGCAACAGGATCTGAAGGGCAGCTTGATCGGCGGCTTCGTTCGGTTTCAGCAATCCCTGCCAGCTAGCCCCAGCCTGATCCACATCACAGCCATTCGGCCGGTGTGGACGATTCGCATCAAAGAACTGTCAGAGCGTGGGATGCTGCTTCAGATCCTACCAATGACACCAGGCACAGGCTGGAAGGACGCCGCTCATGCTGACTCATGCTGTTCGCTACCCTTAATGCTGCTCCATGCTGCTGCGCTTGGATGTTGGCTTCGTTATCGTTCGGTTCCGGCCAGGACGACCTCCAGCTCGCTTACTGTGCCGGGTCCGCGGAGGGCGTGCTGCACGTGGGGCCCAGCCAAGGAGGCCGCAGCCTGCAGGCGCGAGCCGCAGAGTCTGGTAGAGTCTGCAGGAATCCGCAGGCTTTTTTGAGTGAGCATCGGCTTTTCTGAAGGCCCTCCCCTGTGCCGCTTTGTTTTTTGTGGAGGTGCGCGAGCACTTCATCCCCCGCCTCACGCGCACGCCAGAGCTGGTGTTCCTCCAGAGCTACGCCCGCACGGCCAAGCCAGAGCCAAAGGCCTTGGAGGAGCCTCGCCCGCCAGAGGCCGTCACGTGCCAGCTAGGCTGGGGAGTGGCTTTCTGGTTGCCTGCCGCTGCTGCTGTTGCTGCTGCATCTGTTGCATCTGTGGCACTTCTTCGGTGCATTGAAAAGGGTTAACCTCCCCTCCAGGAACTTTCGCGGTGGCCGCCAGCCTACCAGGTGACGGCGAGGGCCTCTCCCTGCGTGCCATCCAGACGGCCAAGCATGTGGAGGAGACAGCGGTTCGTGCAGCCCTAGGGCGGGTGACCCTGGCGATCACGGCAGACCAAGATGCTCTGCAGGTCAAGGCGCAATGGAAGGCTTCCGAAGCGAAGCCGGCGAAAGCGGTGGAGGACCACTCAGGCCAGGGCCAAACCTTTCAGGACTTGGTGAGCCGGGTTCGGGTGGTGAGGTCAAGCCCTCGTGGCTTTGCCGTCCTCCTGCACCGGGATGCGAAGATGATCCAGCTCTGGTATGAAGCCATCTCCTCGGAGTCCACGGCCACAGCGGAGGCGCTGCAAACCTTGGCGCCTCTTCCTTTGGACCTCGAGGACTCCCAGGAGGACTCCGCCCTTCGGGCCAAGGGCCTCGCAGCACTGGGGCTAGAGTCGAACGAGCACCCGCTGAATCCGCTGCACGTTCCCGACACGCCGAACGATCCGTGGAATGCCACCTGGCCGCACTCTGCTCTGCGCTTGGCTGCGCTCTGCCACACTCTGCCGCACTCTGCCTCGCACTCGAGGCACGCTTCGCTGCATCACAGAGTGGGCTGTGCCTTGGAGAACACTGCTGTGTGTTTTTTTTTGCAGTTTGCAGTACTTGCAAGTGCAGCGCGTGAGAGCAGCTTCTCAGGTCCCTGCTGGACTCGGAAGGGACGAACTCCCACCAATTCCCGCCACGGCCTGGAGGCGGGAGTCAGGTCAGAGCCCTGCACTGCGCAGTTCCGTTGCAGCGCGCGCAGTGCGTTGCAATGCCTTCTGATGCCCGTGCGAGGGGACTCTCAGGGTCACCGGCCACTGATGGTCGTGGAGCAGCCCATGGCGGCTTGGATACATAGTACATAATGGGGCGTACCATGGCTTTACGGCTTCCGTTGCGGGCTTCTTCTTGGGACCTTGTTGTGTGCAATCTGTTAGAAGAGCTTGACGCAGAATTCTTCCATGGGCACTGGATGCAGACGAGCAAGAGACAAGGATCATCTTGGATTTTTAAGCCTTAAGCCCTACGCCCTAAGGATTCCTGAGGTCAAAGGGTGATAAGAATCCTAAAGCATCCTCAAACCTACGACCGGTGCTGAGGCCCCCCGAGCCAAAAAGTTCTCCAGATGAGATGATGGTGTCAGTCACATTTCAGAAGGCACATTCCTGGAGGCCACCGTTTCAGGCCGCTTCTTGAGTGCAAAGGGGAGCGCAGCTTAGTGGCGTCGGCCTTGGGGCCGGAAAAGAATTCGGAAATGCAAGAAATCCTTTGAAGCCGTAGTCATGTCAGCTCGTAACAGCGAGTGCGGGAGCTGTGTGCTCCGGAAGATGGCAGGCAAAGAGGGAATCCTGCGTATCAAAGCTACAGCCGTGTGTGTAGATTCAAGAAATTTTGTAGGTCCAGTGGAGACGCCCCATCTGGCCAAAGTGTGCCAGGGGCCGTTTGTACAGCGCAGCCTCAGCTACTATGAGCCGATGTTGCGGGTGCACTCAGCGCTTTGAGGGAACAGGAACGGTGCCTAGTTTTTAGGCTCAGCACGTTAGATGAGCTGCAGCATCTTCGGAGCCGTAATGGTGCAAGTGCAGGATCTTTAAACTTTGAAACGGGGAGCACTCAATGCCCCGACAAGCAAGAGAAGAGCATGGCTTTAAGAGAGACGGTCGTTGCCTGCCCAGTTCCCACCGCGTGAACATGTCTGTTGTCCGTTGAGGTGTTGTCCGTTGAGCTGTGAGGGCTTAGGGAGGAGAATCGGGGGATTTGATCGGGAACCTTTGACGCCACACGGAGGGGCGAGCTGCGATGCCATGGGAGCATTGTTTTGTTTTGGACCTAAGGAGAACATGGGCGCTGTCGGCTGAGACGCTTCGATGCTTCGACGCTTCGGGGGCCTCTCCGGTGCCACATCTGCGGCCAAGGAAAACAAAGGCAGAGGACAAAACAGCTACAGCGGATGGTTTTACAAGTTTTACTGATTTTGCTGTTTACGACAGATGTTTTAGAGTCTGCTGCCTGGTCATCTTTGCCCCAGATGCGAAGCCGAGTCTTTAGTGGCAGGTCTTCCCAAAAAGGCGCATCACACTTTGTCGTTTGTTTTGTGGACTGCTGTGGCCTGATGTGGGAGCTGCGCACGTAGCCACCGAGTTGAGGCTTTTCTTCTCACGGGTCTGACACGGGTCTGCCTCGCTGCCTCCAGTTCGGCTAAAGCTTCGCTTTGTTACTCGGGCCTTTTGCGGGAAGCACACTGCCGCTGCCTCAGACGTAGCACTTTGCCTATAGGTGTGTGCAGATGGGGGGGCAGTGGATGCAGTGGGGGGCACACGAATGCAGGCTACCGCGGCAGAATGGGAGGCATCCGACGGCGAGGGCAGAGGCCAGGTGGGTTGACATGGATGATTCTTCTTTTGAGCCTTCTTGAGCATCAGGGGATCCTCAGCCTTATTTTTTGACTTCGAAGGTCGCACAAGCAGGATGAGGCTCGTTGTGGAAGGGCCACAATGGCTGCCTCGACCCTGAACACCGCAAGCTAAGGGACTCGCCTTAGCTCCAGTGATGATCTGCACAAGCCTCTTGTGGGCCTCCTTGGAAGGCTGCCAAATCCGGGGAGACCGCCCCGGTGGGTGAGGCACCAAAGGGAAGATGCAGAGCGTCTCAGGGGGAGCCTTGCGGGATTGGTTGTTGAAGTGTACTTATACAATCCTCGGCCTTGGTCTCCTGCGGTCCCGTTATGCAAACACCTGTGCTTGTTGAGGGACCGTGTTCCTGGCCTGTACGGAGGCTAACAAGCCTGCTCCGAAGCGCTCAGCGCGGAGCGCCCAAGGCGGGGCGGTTCCTGGAAGCAATAGCGAGCGCCCCAAGACAGCGTTGATCGTCGGTCCCTTTCTCTCCCTCCGTCTCCCTGCCTCTCTCTCTCCCTCTCCCTCTCCCTCTCCCTCTCCCTCTCCCTCTCCCTCTCCCTCTCCCTCTCCCTCTCCCTCTCCCTCTCCCTCTCGTTCCCCTCCCTCCCTCCTTCCAGGCATCAAGCCAGATGCGGCGGAGGCCGGAAGACTCTCCCTAAAGATGTTGCGGCTCGTGCCACTACATGCCACTGCAAGTTCGCCTCCGGCAAGATTCCTCGAGATCTGTGTGTGTAGGAAGACCTGCTTATTTCGGCACGGAGCGGTGCAGAAAGGTATTCAAGGGACGGCTGAGTGAAATAGGAGCTCAATGTCGTGTTCGATGGCCAGGTCCTCCAGTGCATAGAGAGCTTGTACGTGGACAAGCTGAAACCGTTTGGCCCGGCCCTTAGATCCAGCTGCACCTTGCACAGTTGACTGACTAGCGGTCACTTCAAGCAACGATGTTGCGGTGTTGTCGGAGATTGTTGCTGGCGCCATGCGACGCGTTGGGGCTGTTTGGGCTGTCGAGGTCGAATACTTCGAAAACGTGTTGCAGGCACAGACTGCACGCATGCATGTATAAGTACAAGTATATCTAGGCGGATGTTTAAATCAATGAGTCGATAAATACGTAAACAAAAAACAGAAACATAAATAGATAAATAGAATAAAAAATGAACATATAGATAAATAAATAGAATATGCAAAATTTTTAAAAATACAAATATAATATAAGTATCACTATATGTAAATAAATAAATAATATATATATATATAATAATAATTATAATACTAATAATAATTATCATACTAATAATAATAAAAATAATCATAAAAATATTAAAAATACAAAAACTAATACTAAATACAAATACAAATATAAATTCAAATACAAATATAAATATAAATATAAATATCAATACAAATATAAATAAAAGAATATAAAGATAAATGTGAACAGCTTGATTATGACTCAGAGTATCCTTGATGCATGGGACGCTGAGATGCGTTCTGCACCAGCGACGGGGCTCGCCGATGAAGAGTGGGGAATCCCAACAAGGGACTGACAGGCATCTGTTCCAGGAAGCAATGCAGCATCTGTGCACAGATATGACCAACATGATCTTACTGAAGATGCAATGCCATGAAGAAATGCAGAGATCTACGACAGCGAGAGCTTGAACAACATAGAAAGAGTTCCTCGACAAACGACTTGCGACATTAAATGCCAAAGAGCAAAAGCTACAAGACAAGGGCGTCGAGCCAATAAGAATCGTGCCGAACCAGAGAAAACGAGTGCGAAGCCACATGCTTCGCCTGGTGAGGGGTCGTCATTCTCGTTTGCACGCGGATCGTCTTCTTGGGCAAAGACGATGTTTGAGGTAGCTTCTCCAGAGAGAAGACAGTGGATGACGTGTCGGAGATCGCCGCCCGTGGCCCGAAATTCTCAGGAGGCTGGTCGCATCTCAAGAAGATCCCGGGATGAAAGGAAACGGGGTGGCGAATTTCATGATGAATGCATCTGAATGCATGAGAAAGAGGCGTCCTCGTTGATGCTTCGCCGGCAAGGGCATGTCCGGTGAGTCTCTATCAGTTCTTTGCAGAGATCCTTGGGATGACCCCTGAACAGCTCTAGCACACCGGGTTTTCCCGGAGATGTGTGCAGCCCAACAGCTTGATCGTACACAGGTGCACGGGTGCCTGGAACAAGATTGGGGCCACCATGGCCTAGAAGCAGCAGTGTGGCCGAGAGAACACGTGCCAGCGTAAACGTCAAGTCTGCGTGTTTTTTGCCCTTTTCGTGCCCCGTTGCAGAACGCCATGTCCAAGTCCATCTCATGCAGCAGCCTTTCTTGCCAGGACGGATGCCCAAGTGCCTTGTTGAAGCTTTCTTGTCATAATGCGCACCACCCGTTTCTGTGTATCGGGAGCCCAAAAGGTCAGGTCATGCTGCAGTCGCAGCCCGATAGTTGCCCCGTTGCCCCAATGGTTTCCAGGATCAGCTGCAGAGCTGCCAGATGTGGACATAAGGCGCGAATCTTGGTTAGCCGCAACATACTTGGAGACAAGCACAGCCATTGCCTGTTTCCTTCTTGCGTGCATCCGTTCAGAACCAGGTAGAATTGGGTTGGGCAGATGAGAAGTATTGAGGGTCTCTGTTGCGATTTCTTTGCTCTGGAGGATTCTGTCAAGTCAGTCAGTTTTGTTTCAGGGTGAATGATGGCATGAAAGCTAGCTTGGATAGCGGTGTCGCTCTGTGCGCATCATTGGTTGCGCGAAGGTGGCTTGCTTGTTAAGGGTGTTGACTACACGGCCCTAAGGTGATGTAGAGAAGCGAAAGACATCATGTAGTCCAGGTAGTCACCGAGAGCCGGATGTTGGAGATTTCAATGCCTTCGCAAGAGAGCTGAGGCATCTGAAAGCAATCTGCGATGAGTCCGACCTGTTGGACATTGCGTCCGCAGCTTTCAAGGTGTGTTCTAAAGTTCAGCCGAGGCTTGAGTTCACAAAAACGATCCGTGAGTCGTGGTTGCCTCTCGCGGTTGGATCTTCAATACGTCAGTCCCTGCTTCATCCTGCTTTGCATTGATTTGCATTGTGTCCATCCTCTTGAGGCCAGAGGAAGGAGGTGACTGGTCAGCCACCTTCCGAGGGCGCGTCCAAGTGTTTGCTGGAGCCCCTGAGCGCGTTCTGGCTTTCGAGGTCGTCTGCGCAGTCTCAGACGCGTGTTTTGAAGCGACTCCAGGTAGATATCTACAGCCCCACGGACGATTTTGCTCTCGAGACCTGGCGGGCTGCCAGAGAGTGCCCTTCATTAGATTCATTAGATGTCTGTTCAGACTGTAGGCCATAGGTTTGAGCCGGGCGGCCAATCCGCTGTTTCACGTGCCTTCGTTGCTTGCATGAGAGGTACTTCCATTCCTTGCCTGAGAGCGAAGCCCTGCTTCCCGGAGGTGCCCCCTTTCGATGGAGTTCTGGGGTTAACTGGCGGGGTGTGTGTGTGTGTGTGTGTGTGTGTGTGTGTGTGTGCACCCTGATTCTAAGCTAAGGGTTTTGGAAAGTTTCTGAGGCTTGGCCGGACATTTCGTATAGAAGACTGACGGTGAATGTGTTTTATGCAGGGGGGCAAGGGCTCCAGTGACTAGCCTTGCCCAACGAAGCCAAGTCATTGGAGTGGATGCAGTGGCTGATCACCACTGCGTACCTGCAATCGAAAGGCCACCCCAAAGTACCCTTAAAGTTGTTTGCTGCCACAGTGGCCGGCAGATGGATGGATCAGGTTTTTCGTGTAAGGCCACAATTTCGTCACCATGCATAAGATCTTCGGACAGGGAAGCCAGTGAGAGTTTACTCTCTTATCTCCGTGTGTGGCCTTGTTGCCAATCGCAGTTATCCCGCGAGGGAGCTGTACGGGTCGTTGTGCGACTCATCATGGTACCATGGAGGCCCAATAACCTGGCAGGTTGGGTCGAGAGGCCTAGTGCCACGCATGGAGCCCACTAGACCGCTCTCGAGCGATGAGTAACTTTCAGGTGGATGGGCAACAGAGGGCTAGTCCCAAGAGCAAGAATGGTGGGTCTTAGCACCCGTGTGGCCCGAGGTGGGGCCTAATGGAGGTCCTCCGGACCGCAATAGAGGCCTTAGCACCAATGGAATTTTATGGATGGATTGGCGATGCTCGGCTCCTTGTTCAGCTTTAACTTTTTTGCTAGGATCTGTGTGACGCCATGTCTTCTTTCACTTTCCCGTAGTCGGAAGTACCGCATGTTTGGGGCTGTCCCCTCTGACAGAGGGGCGTGTGTGTGTGCACCCTGATTCTAAGCTAAGGGTTTTGGAAAGTTTCTGAGGCTTGGCCGGACATTTCGTATAGAAGACTGACGGTGAATGTGTTTTATGCAGGGGGGCAAGGGCTCCAGTGACTAGCCTTGCCCAACGAAGCCAAGTCATTGGAGTGGATGCAGTGGCTGATCACCACTGCGTACCTGCAATCGAAAGGCCACCCCAAAGTACCCTTAAAGTTGTTTGCTGCCACAGTGGCCGGCAGATGGATGGATCAGGTTTTTCGTGTAAGGCCACAATTTCGTCACCATGCATAAGATCTTCGGACAGGGAAGCCAGTGAGAGTTTACTCTCTTATCTCCGTGTGTGTGTGTGTGTGTTTGTGTTTGTGTGTGTGCGTGCCAAAACTGTCACCAAAACTGCGAAGGTCGCTACTCCTGTGCGCAGGCCCTGGTTCAGAGGACGGGTGAGGGAAGATCTCATGGCACCTCCACCCCTCTGTTGCGGTTTTTGTCGGTGCTTTGCTCAAGGGGCAGGGGGATGGCCCAAAGTTGCACCAGGGCGCTTGGGGGATGAGCGTGAGACAGGAGGCTTCTGTCTTGTTGTATCAAAGTGAGAGTCGTTTCTCTTGCGAGAGAGGCTTCTTCCTCTTTGGGTTTTTTTGAGGGAGAGCGCGCGCAGTGCTGGGATGGTCCCGTGGTGAGGCAGCTGCCGTTCCTCAGTGGCTTTTCGCTGGGTGAGGTGCCCCCGAGCCTCCGAGCCGCGCAGCGGCTCTGTGAGCTGCCTTTGTTTCTGTTTTGTATGTATACATATATACATACATGCATGTTTTTTCCCCTCTCTCTCTCTCTCTCGCTCGCTCTCTCTCTCTCTCTCTCTCTCTCTCTCTCTCTCTTACTTTGAGAGAGAAGACATCGACCAACCTCGTTGAACCCGGTTAGAACAAAATGTGCAACAGCTGCGACAGGTCTGCCATCTTGTGCAGCTGGCGATCTCCAAGCACAAGATACTAGGCAGACCGAGCCCATGTCGTACCTCCGCTGAGCATCTCTCTTTTTGTTGTTCTTTGTTTATACTTTATGCTGTTTTTCAAGCTGCTCTGCGCAGGGCTTTTGATGGAATATGTTGGTTTATGAGATGTTCCTGATCGGACCATGCAGCAGAAGTGTCGCAGGGTACTGTAACGGCGCCGTGGTGCCTTACAGCCGATCTCAGCTTGGCCCTCGCCATCCTTGGCCTCAGTTGACCTCACATGACCCCAGCTAACCTCAGTTGACCTGAACTCGAAGTGAATTGCTGTTCCATCTTATCGCAGGTTGCAGAGGTGTTCATGGAATGCCCAGTTAAGAACGCTTGCATCTGGTTATCTGGTTGACGCGCTCTGGCTTCTGCCATTTGGCCGAGGTCGCGCGTGAAGGAGGAGTGCGCGGAGTCGCAGCAGCCGTGCACGTCCCAGCGCTCCCCACATCCCTCGAGAGGGGCAGACGAAGACGAGTTGACAGAACGCAAAAAACACGGAAGACAAAGGACCTAAACACGCCAAAGCTTTGCCCTGAAAAGCCGCTCGTCCCACGCATCCAAGGTGCGTCCATGCGCCGAAAGAGGATCCGGCGCTCACCCTGGCCTTGGCCACCTTGGAAAAGGCGATGCTCGGCTCCCTTCTCCACCCTCGCACTTACGACACAGACTCCCACTGGGGACAAACCTTTGCAATTCCTGCCGTCAGTCTGTCGTCGTTTTTTCTCCACCCTCCCCTTACAAAAGAGGCGCGGGAGCACCTTCGAGAGATCCTGGCCTCGGCAGAGGTGCCCTGCGCCACGGGGCACGGGGGCCCAGACCTCCCAAGCCCCGACGATCTCCAGGGATGTTTAGGGGTTTGGGGGATCAACAGTTCCGGCAGTTTCGGGTCTCTCTCTCTCTCTCTGTGTGTGTGTGTGTGTGTGTGTGTGTGTGTGTGTGTGTGTGTGTGTGTGTGTGTGTGTGTGTGTGTGTGCGTGATACCTCCCTTTGGGTGGTGTCTCGGCTTAAGAGAGACCAGCTTTTGCTGTGCCGAGGCCTTCGATGATACCCCTGAGCAATGTGAAGCGGCTGTTCCGGTCTAGGCCCGGAGCTCGCGGAGTTCCACTGAGCAGAGTTCACAGCGCCGAAAAGTTTTCAATGCACTCGTTGTGTGTGAGAACTTCTCCTCCAAAGGTACCAGATCGAGCTGAGCGAGACAGCTTTGGGGCACTCGAAGCTCTCGGAGCTGCTGCCTGGGAACCTATTTGACGCTAGTTGACTCACTCTGTCAGGGGTCGCTTCTTTGTGACGTGATATCCTTTGCCATCCTTTGCTTGTGGGGGTCTCTTCGCCTCTCATCCACTTTCAGAACCTCCTTGCATCCTCCTTGCAACCTCCTTGCATCCTCCCGGCACAGCGAAGGCAAGACCAGCGCTTTTCCGACATCTGTGAGGCTGGGGTGCTGGGGTGCTGGAGGGCTGGAGGGCTGCTGGGCAGTTCAGCATTCTTGCGTGACTGTGCATACAAAGCACCGTGTTCTCTCTTCAATCTTCCCGCCAGGTGCAACTTCAAGGGCAAGGCCGGGAAGCCAACATTCAACTCTGAGCTTTGCAGCGGTGCACCTGACTCGCTCACCATTTCTCGCGCGCATCCAACGGATGTTGCAGGCTACATCGTGGTGCAAGCGCAGGCCAAAAACGAGCCCATGGAGTTGGTCGGCTTCTCAAATGTTAAAAACTGACCTTAAAATGCCTTAAAATGCCTTATCTTCCCCAGGCGCCGTTGAGGCTCTGTTCATGGATATTTTGCTTCCAGGTCCCGAGCCGCTACGCTGGAGGACCCTCTGGGCATGTCTGACGCAATGCATCTCACCAAAACAGCGTAAAGCGTGGGTTTGAAGAAGGGGAAGCCACAACTTTGCACACGTTGCGGACAGCAGCGTGTAGCCCCTTATTGACCTACAGACTCTCGTCATGAGAGGCCGTGAGATGACCTCACAGGGCTCACGATGCCATCGACCCTCAGACCATCCCTTGGCATCGCGGGCCATCCCGCTTGCGCCCCTCAGCATCCCTTACCTTGCCCCTTTGCCCCTTGCTCTTAGCAGGAGAAAGTCATCTGTCCAAACTCGTAGCAAAAAAGATAAATGAATATAATGAATCTATGTATGTAATTGTTCATTTTGTCCGCCCAAAGAATGTGGGCGGGAACCTAAGCTGTTGCCGACAGGGTTCGATGGAGCAGGACCCATTGGTCCCACACGTGCCGACGACTCCGAGAGCCAAAGCAGCGGATCTCAGAGCATCTCAGCGCCCTCCTGTGTCGGCATGTGTTGCACTGCTCTTAACGAGGCTTCGGTGCCGCGTTGGCTGTGCGGGTTTGGTGTGGGTCATATGGTCTGCAAAGCTTTTACCCATGCTAGGATTTACGTTGGCCATGTCGCCTTGTCGCCTCCTTGCAGAGAATCGCTGGAGTGCCCGAAACCCGCGGAGAGTCCTGCCCAGTATTATTTGGAGAGAAGCCCGCCGAAAGTTCCGCCGAGGATCTCCGGTCAGCAGAGAGTCCCGCCCAGTACCACTGGAGAGCCCACCCTGGGAGAGTCCCGCAGAAAGAGCCGCCGAGTATCCTCGGAGTACCCAAAGAACCCCGAGTCTCGTTGAGTACCTTGGAGTGCCCAGCGTGACCGAGTTCCGCGGAGAGTCCCGCGACAGAAGCACATGAGGTAGCTGTAGGGTGGGGCATGATCGAAGTAAATTATTCGAGGTTGATGGGATGTCTGCTTCGTTGCAATTCTTAGGAACTCTGGGGAACTTGGCCAGCCTGGCCGTCGACTGCGCGCTGACACCGGCATGGGCCACAGCTTACACCCCTTTTAGGACCCTTTGGCCTCGGAGAAAGGAAGCCAGGAAAGGGCATCTGTGCATCGGGTAGAGTGGGTTGCATGACGTTGGATCGTCCGCTGTTTGTCCATTCTAAGGTCATCGACAGCAGCAAGTACGATAGCCTGGACTTGTGCCAGGAACCTTGTCGGCCGCAGAGCCCCCAGAGCTTGGAATGTCGTCTCTGAAACTTCTGTTGGCCATGAGTAGCCTTGGATCCGATTTTTCGCACAGTTTCTTATTGATGAAGCGAAGAGTCGTTGTCTTGCCTTTTGGAATCTGACTGTGCCGAGAGACTGTTATTTACCGTGTTCGATGTTGTGTATAGCCTGTCAGAGCATCTTTTAGAGAGCATTTGGAGGCCATTCTCTTGCAGGGGTTTTGGTGTCTCTGCGCCGCTCTTCGTCTCCAGTTCTTTGTTGCCATTCGAGTCGCTGAGGTTCTGCGTGGGCGAGCCGCTCGCACTTGAGGCCGCCAAAATGGAATCCATGGGCCGCTTTCTTGACTCTCTCTCTCTCTCTCTCTCCCCCTCCCTCTCTCCCTCTCTCTTGCAGGATCTTCCGTTAGGTTCCTCACCAGGGAGGGCCCATACCCCAGACATACTTACAGCGATCCGTGGAGGTACTTCGGATTTGAAGTTGGCACAGTCTCAAACAGCCGCACTCTTGTACTCATTTTGAAAGCCGCGCCATAAACAAAAGTCTCGCCGCGGCAAGAATGCTTATGCTTAAATGCACGCACAATGCTTAACGACCGGTGTGGTAAAGATTTTGCGTGTCGAGCATGCTCGAGAGAACGCTTAGATCATTGCCTGCATGGGGGCCATCACATGCCCAAAAAACAGTACTATAGCAGTGCCAGCAGTACCAAACTGTGAATGGCTCACTATCGAATCTCTTCTGGAGGTTGCAGTGCTACATGTGCTACGTACTGTACGGTGTTGAAACGTGTAAGACGAGATGCTGCACAACTGGTCGGGCAACAATCCGACAATCCTCGTTTGCATGTGAGACCGTGAGACATCTTCCAGGAGGCCGGCTTCTGTGACCGGTTTCCTCCTGGCCTCGCCGGCGGCTTGGTGTGCCAGGTCTTAGAGAACGCGAGTTTTTGCGGGAGTTGTTGCCTCTTTTTTTTTGCTTTCTGTTGGATTTCTGGACTTCTTCTGGAAGATTTTGTGAGGCTGACAGGGAGGTGAAGAACACTTTCATCCACTCAGCAGTGACGCCGCTGGTTGGCCGCCCAAGATTAGATGCCATAGCACAGAAGCCGGAAGCTGTGCTGGGCTGCTTCATGTTGCCACATGTTGCCACATGTTGCCACATGTTGCCACATGTTGCCACATGCTGCCACATGCTGCTACATGCTGCTATGTTCCGACTGTTTTCGAGTCAGCTTGGCCGCTGAGGGAAGTGAGGCTTCATTTGGGTGATGTTTGGTGATGTGCATTCTCGGACATTCGGAGATGTATGCAGAGCTTCTTCAGCTTTCCTGTCTACCAGCAGTTCGTTTTCCTCACTCCAAGCAAAAAATAGCAAAGGCTTAGCTCATGGCCATCTGCGTTGCCAGGTCACACCAGAGCCAGGCTCCTTCCGGCGCTCGCAGTCTGTGCCGAAGGCACCCTGTGGGGGCCTGTGAACCCATGTGGGGCTTCATCAGGCCGCTTGAGTCGCCAGTGTGTATCTTACCCAAAGGAAGCATGTGGCCCTTGCGTTGCCTTGCGTTGCCTTGCCTTGCAGAACTGTCAACATCCAATTGTATGACAGGACGTGGCCTTTGCCTGCGACATGGACAAGGCGCGGGCGGTGGGCATGCTCTCCCGGTCTTTCTCTCGCTCTTGTCTGTCTCGCTCTCTCTCTCTCTCCCTCTCTCCCTTCCTCTTTCGCTCTCTACTCCTATTCTGTCGTTTTCCCTTTGAAGCGAACGATTCCGCACACGTCCTGTGTGCGTGTGTGCCTTTGTGTTGCAGATCCTCACCGCTGGCCGCGACACGGCTTGTAGGCGCGACATGGTCAGAAGTTGCCAAACATGTACAAAGTGCCTAATCGATAGTATCTGCCGTGCACCTTCCTTGCAGCATTCGCTTTAATGAGCCTTCCAGCATGACCATGTGGCACGATGCCTCAGGTCCCCGCCGACTTATAGTGTCGTACCCTCGCCTGCATTTCTGCCGGGCACCCACAGCACAGGGACCTGAAAAGCCACGAAAAGCCCGCGTTGCCTTGGCAAAGCTTTTGATTCAGTGGTGTACACCTGAAGGCCTCCCCCGACGCCGAGCTCCCCACTCTACTCACGTGGCTACGAGGCGCTGCCTTTCCCCTTCGCCCACCGTGTGGGCATTATTGCCATTCAGGGCCTTTTCTCCCCGGGGTCAGATTCTGAGAGTCGAAACGCGGTCGCGGGCACAGCATGGCACAGCATGGCACAGCATGGCACGCAGGCGTTACTTCTGCAAGGACCTGAGCATGCTGGGCATCGAGCTTCGCCAGATTTCGCCAGTATACCCAAGTGACCAGATGACCCAAACCCAAGGTCGCAGATGGAGCAATCTCACCCGTTGAACACAGTGGCTTGGCCTTCGAAGAAATGCTAGAGGGGTCGCTTAGTGACTTAGTGCAGCTCACCTCTGGAAATTTCGGGGTCAGGTATTGAGACCAATGATTGTCAGATGTCTGACAGGTCATTCGCCTGGCAGACCTGATTTGAGTGCCTCGCACCTGGAATTCACGAAGGTTCGAAGCCGCTGTCGAAGCTGCACATGTCGCATCTTGTCACTTTCATGAAGTCAGAAGCAGTTCCCCTCTTTCGAGAAGTGCGCTCCTGCCTCTCCCCCACTGAAACCCAGAGTCTGACGGTAAATGAGATGAACTCAGTGCTCAGCAATACGAGTGCAGTTCGGCCTCTTGAGAGATCTCGTGGTGTACAGGATTCTATGAGCATCTCTCACAGCGGCGGAGCCTGTTTCGCTGTCCTTTCGGGCAACCTGTTTCGGGCTCCGCATGAGTTGGTTTTTTGAATTCCGACCCGCTGCCGACCTAAGCGAAAACCCCAAAGTGACCCAGTGAAGTCCTTCAGAGAGGCCTGCAGCAGGTCTCCACCCATCCGTTTAATGCTCTCAACTTGACCTCCCGACAGTGGAAGTCTGCGCAGTTTGGCGGTCCGCCACGGGACCAACACGGAACATGCTTGCGGGACGCGAAGCTCCGGCCCTCTTTACTCCCCAAAGCCTGAATAAGCTGAACGCCGGCTCGAGCTTTTCACGTCCTGGGGCCATTTCTGGTAGCTCGTGCAGTTGCAGCTTTGAGGGCAGCGACAAGCCTGACAGTTGACCTTCTGCATGTCGCTGCTTGCCCAGGCCGCACGATGTCAGTCGGATTTGTGTTGACGCTGGCATGCCGCCCACCGTACTGCCTTACATCGTGCAGGGTTTCCTTCTTGACTCGAGTGAAAGGCTGGCGTCCTCCGAATCTGTGACCAAAAGCCAGCCGCAGTGTGTGGAAGATTTGGTGCCTTGTCTCCGGCGTAGAGCTCTGAACCTCGAAGAATGTACATCTTGCCATAACCTGGCGTAAGATTTACGCCGTTATGGTGACTTCTGATGACTCCGCACCATATCTTTCCTTCATGCTTGGCTTCGTCTCCACACGTCCTCCCTCCGTGGTCAGGCAACTCGCGAGTCCGGGGTCCCGAAGGGCTCCCCCCCGGTAGCTTCAGCTTCAAACTTACGAGGTGTCGTTTGTGTAGCGTCTGTTGGAGGGGCGAAATTTGAGGAAGAGGGGTGTTCTGAGGTTGTGGTCTGTAAGGCGGTTCGGGAACTCAGAGCAAAGGGTTACGGGCTTAGCGTTTCGGATTGTTTCGGGTTCAGCTGTGAAGACTGGCTGAAGACTGGCTCCCGTACATGAGGAAGCCCCAAAAAAGAGGCCCCCCGAGGGGGAGCCTCGGCCTTTCGACCCGGGAGTTGCAACGGTCGCGACTTTTGCCCCGAGTCCCACCCGGCCGGAAGGGCAGCAAAGGTGGGCTGCCAAGGGCCCACGAAGCAAGGACCGTTGATACCGTTGATAGGTGGTGGGCTCCAAGCTCTTCAACGCTGGAATGCCTAATGGTTTATCGTGGATGTTCGTGGATGCTTCGCGTGGGTGCTTGCCGGGCAGCGTTGCGAGATGGAGAGGCAAGCAGTCCTCGAAAATGCGGCAAAGAGCGAAGTGCCATGAAGTGCCCCCTCCACAGGAAGTTTAGCTTTCCGAGGGCTCCGAAGGCCATGAACTGGAAATCAGCCTTTCAGAAGACAGCCATGTGACACCGTTGATGCCATTGGCTTAAGCTCGCACGCTCGTATGCTAATGTAGCTTTCAATAGTTTGAGTGTTGTAACCTCACAGTCGCGTGCTTCACGTGACCAGCAGAATCATGCTGCTCAACAACTTGAGTTCGGCCAGCCTCAGCCCAGACACAGCAACTGCAAGCCACCTTGAAAGCCCGTTCTTTTTGTTTACACAATCACCAGCCAGAACATGGTAGACATAGATTCATCATGTCAGCTCCATCGACTTTCTGCCCATGAGGCCATGAGGTCCTGGCTGGACTCTTAGAAGGGCAGACTGGTGTGAGATCTGAGGTGTGAGAGGGCTTGGGGCTTCATTGTCCATTTTCAACTTGAGCCTCGCCCGAGATTCTTGAAGTCGCAGCGCTGCGTGAACGCCATGACCTCAATGGTCTCGTACCGGTCGAACGCGCCTCGGTTGCAAACAGAAGCGAACGTGGCGTACGCTCTTGGGAAGGCAGAGGGAGGCAGCCTGTTCTTTGGCTGGTTCTGATGAGTTTATGAGGCGCCGACTGAGGAGATCGGAGGCTCGCAAGGCGCTGGGCTTTGGTAGAGTCGGCACATCCCTAGCTGCCACGCCAAAATGCGCATGAATTCTCAGACTACTGTGACTACAGCTCCGTTTGTTCCGCCAGCTCCGGCCCCGTCGATGCCTTCAGATGTGCCTTCGGAAGCACCGCCCTCGGAGCCTGTGCCTTCGCAACCCTCGGAGCCGTCGCGCGTGGCAGAGGGAAAGGCTACGGAGGCTGCGGAAGAGGCGGAGGAGGCGGACGCGCAACAAGCACCGGAAGCGAGCCAGGCGCGGCACTCGACTCCGGCATTCCTTTCGCGTCCCTTCCTTTCCCTTCCTTTCCCTTCCTTTCCCTTCCTTTCCCTTCCTTTCCCTTCCTTTCCCTTCCTTTCCCTTCCTTTCCCTTCCTTTCCCTTCCTTTCCCTGCCTTTCCTTTTTTTTCATCTCGTTGCTGGGCCGTTTGGAGATTGTGGTCGTTGTCGTTTGCCATCTCTCTTCTTTGATCGAAGAACAATCCAAGGGCCTTGCGATGCCTTACGTGATAATTGCGAATACCATGTTACAGGCATATGTAGGAATATCTGAAGAAGAGGCGTGTTTATTGCCTTTGTCCCCAAAACGCCACACGCCCACTCACCAAAACAACCAGTAACGACCCTACTGTTTGTATACATATATATTCATACATGTAAAAAATGTCTCGCTCTCTTTCTCTCTCCCTCTCTCTCTCTCGCTGTCTGTCTCTCTCGCGCTCTGCCTCTCTCCCTCTGTCTCTCTCTTTCCTGCTAGCTCTCTCTCTCTCTATCCCTCTCTTTTTCCTCTGTCTGCTTTCGGGTTGCGGGCCAAGTGTCCTCTCGTGCAACTCATGTTCGTCCAGTTGTGCGTGCCAGGCATCTGCAGCTGGCAAGTCAGGCAGGCCGACCGTGATGGTAGTGGTAAATCAGTGGTAAAGCCTTGCAGGCAGACATTACTACGAGCCTTCATCAGGTGGCCCGGTGCGGACGACCTCGCGCTCGCGGGGTAGGAGGCGGAAGAAGCGCAGCCGCTGTCCCAGTGCGTGGCCAACAAGAAACAAGAAAGTTCGAGTGCCTCAAAAATTTGAGAGCCTTTTTGAGAGAAGAAGCCGGGGCCGGGGCGCCGACGCATGTCATGTCTTTCGTCTCCGCAGAGCAGGGAGAGCGCCTCCTCGGCTCTCCTCTTCTCCGGCATAAGATGTGTTTTTTTTTTTCACAAGTGGGGGGGGGGGTGTCTTTCTTTGTCCACGTTGAGTGATGCACAAATGCTGCGCATATGGCCCTGCATCCAGGTCCTGTGAAAGACAAGCCTGGCCAGGGGCCCAGGGGCCCAAGGCCCAAGGAAAGGGGGGGGCACCGACCTGCGTGGTCGAGACCTTCTCGTTGACTGTTGGGGGGGGGGGGGGGGGTTCAGCTTTGCATGTTCCGCCCAGGCAGGCGGCGGCGGGAGCGCGAGCGCGAGCGAGAGCAGCGGAAGGGCCGTGTGCTGGGCTCCGAAGGTGGGCAGGAGGGTTTATGGCCGAGTCTTTCGGGTCTACCGCATGAAGGCCTAGACGATCAGGGCTTTTGAGGGCGCAGAGCCCGATTAGGTCGTTTGGTAGTCTGACTTGTCGTCGAACCACATTGTGCAGCAGTTTTCCAAGTAAACGGCAGCCGGAGGTCCAGCACGTGCAGCGGACAGCCAAATCCTGGTGACGGCCCCGATCTGCCGCGTGCGGGCCACAGGATTTGCGTTGGCAAGACGCGGGTGACATGCATCTCGGAAAAAGTGTGGGGAGAGTAGACGCGAGAGGGTGGCCTGAGAGTGCAGCTCGCCCCCTTTCAAATGTTCCGAAGGTGCCTCTCATCCGCTGTTACTTTCGAAGTTGAACTTGCTTGTTGTTGGAGTGCTTGAGGGCTATCTGTCGGGTTTGAGGTGTTGTGGGTGCTGTTCTTGGGATATTGGTTGACATTCGAAGGCATATCTCTCCAGGAAGGGGGTGAGGTGGTTTTCTGATTTCCACATGTTCGGGCCGGCGGCCGTGTACCTGAAGACTATTGAAGACTTGAAGATAGGTCTTTGACACCCAGCCATGAGGAGAACCGGGCACGCTACATGTTCGGCAACTACGACCAGCCAGGTCCCCAGAGGCGACGTCGAGCCAAGAGCCCGCTGTGAAAGGTGAGCGGATGCATCACTTTTAAGCAGAGTAGACTGGGTTGCCCCAAGGTACTACAAGCAGCGTTTCGATCGCTTTGCCGCTGTCGACCCCAGGGTCCAGGCTCGTTCAGCTTTGAATGCCAAACATGTGCAAAGAGGTGCCAACGCCTGAAATGCCAGGGTGTGCTGCTGAAAGCCGGCAACATCTTTGCAGACAAGGCCCCTGCAAGAAAGTGACCAAATAATGCCTCAAGGGAAGACAAAGAGAAGCGGTCCAACTTCTAAAAGCGCGGAAATCTCGATTGCTTCTGGGCAGAGGGCGGTATCCTAGTGGAAGGGTATTGGACGTGCAGCTTGGCGAAGGCGGTGCTGGACATTGGCTGCAACACAGGCTGGGGGTAGCAGTGGGGTAGCTGGTCAGCGCAGCAGAGCAGGGAGCAGATCAAGGGTGGAGGAGGAGAAGGGATCAGGAGGGGTCTGGGAGGGGTCCCGGCAGGCTTCATCACCTTTCTGGTCGCGGCGATGGGCGCTCGACAGGTTGAAGGCACTTCACTTGCTGTGAGACTCTGACGGAGTCGCTTGGAGGTTGTTTCTTACTTGGCGGTGGTCAGTCTGCCAGGTGTGGACATCGACGTGACCTGCATTTCTCGCGCTCTGAGGCGCGTCGGCAAGGTTGGCAGGTCAGGTCCTGGCTCCAACTTTCTCAAGCTCCAACAAAGTTCCAGACAGAAGCGGGAGCTCGCAACGAAGCCCTCATGCCCACGTAGGCACATGTCTGGGCACGACGGGATACATTGGATACATGGGGCACATGAATGTCTTGAGCTCTCCAAAAGTCGGCCTTACATGGGAACAATTTTGGTTGTGAGTTGAGTGTGTCGTTTGCATGCTGAGCTTCATGGTGTATCATGCTTTAGTTGCCAGTTCGTGCGAACTGACCTCAGAAGTCGAGGTACCTGCGGTGGCTCAAGCACAAGGGCTGCAAGACGTTGCCGGGTCCCTGAGCAAGCTGCGCACGAGCCGTCTGCAGTGGGCACATGTGTAGTTCATCATGCTCTTCACATCACAGCAAACTTGGATGGCATTTCCCAACAGTTGTATATTGTCTACATCGGTATACTGTATACCTGCACTGTATGCTGTGTACCCCACGCATACAATCTCACAGAACAGGCGCCCCCATTCCCATCGCACCAAGGCCCGAGGGCCCAAAGACAGAGGCCACCGAAGGCCGGAGCGGAAACGGCGCAACATGGCGCGAAACCCTCTGCAAGTCTCTGATGGGCCGGGTGTGTCAGAGTGTCTGTCTGCAGTGCTGGGAGGTGAGGGCAAAGGCGCCAAAGTGCCGTGGTACACCAAGCAGCGAGTGCCTGAGAAGACTTCGCAGAGTGGGCAGTGCCTCAGCATCCCAAGCATCCCAGCATGCCCCAGCGCATCCCAGCGAGGTATCCCGTCAGCTACGTGCAGGGTCGAGGCCACATCCCGTACCATGCCAAGCCGCTGGAAGAAGGACATCGGAGAGCTGAAATTAAGCAAACATGAGAATGCTGCTCTTCGACTGCGTCGGGATGCGTTCCAGGAGCCTTGCAGGCTGCCCTCTCCCGCGCAAAAGTCCTGGAGAAGGCGTGTGGAGCACAAGATTCGGACCATTCGGAGGTCAAAGACGGTCATGACAAGCGTTTCACCTGGCATCGTCGAGGTTGCAAGATGTTGCAAGCGACAGAGAGCATACTTCCCTTCGGCACAGGCCGTCCCAGTCCCCGTGCCGCCTCCAAGGCAGCGGAAAGAATACAGCAGAGACAGAGCAGGTTCACGTTTGGTCATGACTTCTTGGCATGTCCAGGACGGAAAGTTCACATGTGACATGAGCAACGTTCCGGTCGACATAGACATCAGTCGACGAGAGCTGTGTTTTTGCCATATTTGGAGCTTAGGAGCCACACCTCTGCTACAGGCCGGGCTTCCCCTACAACATCGAGTTTCGATCTGAAAATGTGCTCTTCACACAGGCCTGGAGCGGCTTTGGGACCGTTCCTGTTTATGGCTCTTCTTCCATTGAGGTGGAGGGAAATCGCAACGTCCAGTATGATGTAGCGAAAGCCTCATCTTCTTCTCAACGCTGCGATGCTGCGACGGCTTGGGGCTGGCCCATTACTTAGGTCCTCCTCTTCAGACTGACGAAGTGGATCCACGTCAACTGGGGCGACGATGGCATCAAGGACCTGGCAGTTCCCAAACTGCGTTTCCGTCCAGAGCTAGTGTGTGCTTGAAGCGTGAGAAGCTACGGTGCAGTGACCCTCAGAGAGACCCCGACAAAAGAGAGAGACAGAGAGAGAGTGAGAAAGAAAGAGAGTGAGAAAGAACGAGGGAGAGAGAGAGAGAGAGAGAGAGAGGGGGCTTACCCCCCATGGCCCCAGAAAGAAAGAGAGAGACGCCCGCCTGCAGCGCCTCTTCACCCGCTGCAACGAGTGGCTGCGGCTTGGGGGGCTTTTGGTCCTGGAGGCCCCCCTTGCGAGACAGGATTCCGCAACCCGTTTTGTCTTGTCCTTTCTTTGAGCTTGCGATCCGTGTGTGCAGATCCAGATGCGTGGAGTAGATGCCAGGTAAAGGACCTCGCCGGGCAGCCGTATGCCAAGGAGAAGCATGTCACGGCGCACACCCGCCGATGCCCAAAAACTGATTCAGCTGACACGTGTCGGATAGGCAGAACCGGTCAGCCTCATTGTGTTTCATGTTTTTGCAAGAAGTTCTCCTCGGTCCCGTGAAACCTAATGCGCTAGAATGCTAAAAGCAACAGCAGCAGGTAGCTGACCCTTGCCAATGTCCCCAAGCATCAAGGTGCTGTTCTGGGATGTGCACTAAGCACAATCTAAGCACACTTGCAGTCACTTGCAGTAGTTTCTTTTCATTCCTCCGTCGTTGTTCGTGCCGCAACGCAAAAATCAAAACAAGATTGGCATTGGACAAGTAGCGCAGGCGCAGGCAAGGCGCGTGCCCAAGTGACACTGCGTAGGCAACCAAGCTCCTCCACCTCAGAAAGAAGTTATAGCGACGCGGGCCCTCTGCGTGCGCGCACACGTGCCCGTGTGAATGTCGCAGTCGTAGCTGAAAGGAATAATGAAGCATCGCTTTTCTCACGTCGGTTCGTCCGGCTCACCCTCTCCCGAACCCGGACACGGACTAGACCGGGGCGAACATGCTGCAACTGAGTCCCACTGAGTCCAAAGCGGCACCGAGGTGCCATTCGCGAGGGCTTGCTTTTGCTGCCTGGCGACTTCAATTGGCACTTGGCCCGCCCTTGCACGGTTGAGTGAAGGCTAGGCCCTTAAGGCAGGCTGGGCAGATGCAGGTTGTGGACGTGTTGGCAGGAATGCGTGTCTGCGACTAGGTCACTCCCAAACCCCTAAACACGAAGCCCGAAACCGTAAACCCTAAACCCGAAACCCTAAACCCAAAACCCTAAACAGAAGTTAGCTGACTGTGAGCGAAGAGCGGAGAGAACATGCTTCACAGTGCTGTGTAGATTGTTGCCAGACGAACGTCTATGGATTTGAGAAGCTGAGCCCCTATTACATCTTCGAGCAGGGTATGAGGCAACCTGGACCGCTCTTTGCAATGATTCGCGTGAGTCTACGTGAGTTTACATGAGTTTACATCTGTGTTGCACATGATTGGCAAATCGGCTTTGTTGCGCCGGCGTGCAGTGCCGGTGCGGCCAGGGCTCCTCTCCAGATCTACCGGAAGGTCGCCAAAGCGCAGGCGGCAACCCTAGCTTTGCATAAGTTTGCTTCGCCCTTAGGAGGTTCCGGTCTTGCCACGCATCTGCATCGGTGAATCTTTGCTGTCTTCAATCCAAAGTGATCGGTCTCTCTGACGCGCGTCAGGTCCAGTTGATGTACTTCCAAACCTTTGGTCATGGGTTGTCAGCTAGGGCTCCACGAACCCACAACTTGCGCTCTGGTGTTCATAATGGTGTTCATAAGATTGAAAGGCTGTGGACTTCCAGGCGCGGCCAGCAGAGGCCACCGGTTGCAAAGTGTCACTGGCAGTGTGGTTGAGCTTGTGCTGTTGCCGTGGGCTCGCGCAGGCTTTTAACAGCTCAAACCCCGAGAGACTGGGAGCTAGCGAAAAGACTTGCGAGTCCGCGGCCATGCGTGCGGTCCTCCTGAGCCTCGGTGCATGGGCATCCGCCCAGCAGATTGGAACCCATGAGCAAGAGGAACATCCCGCGATGGCCCTCTGGACCTGTGATGCTGCAGGTTGCTCGAAAGAGATGAAGTCCCTAGTGCTCGATGCGAACTGGCGCTGGCTCCACAATGGCGAGTACACGAACTGCTACAAGGACGGCGACTGGGACAAGACCTTGTGCTCCGACCCCATCACATGCGCCTTGAATTGTCACATGGAGGGCAACTCGGAGGAGTCTTACAAGAGTACCTATGGAATCAAGGCTATTGAGGATGGCGTCGAGCTGGGCTTTGTCACCACCACCAAGTACGGATCTAACTATGGCTCTCGGGTCTACATGCTGGATGACGAGAACAACTATCAGATGTTCAAGCTCAAGAACAGGGAGTTCACGCTGACGGCAGACATGAAAAAGATGCCATGCGGCCTGAATGGCGCAGTGTACTTTGTGGAGATGGACGCAGATGGTGGGAAGGCTCGGAGTGGGGGGACCAACGCAGCCGGGGCCAAGTATGGTACGGGCTACTGTGACGCACAGTGCCCACATGATATGAAGTTCATGAACGGCAAGGCCAATACCATCGGCTGGAACGCTAGCCACGACCCTCCCATCGGATCCTGGGGCATCTGCTGTGCAGAGATGGATATCTGGGAGGCTAACAGCCGTGCCACCGCCTACACACCGCACCCGTGCTCCATCACCGGTCCATACGTCTGTTCGGGCACCGAGTGCGGTGACAACTCCGCGGATGAGCGCTACGACGGTGTTTGCGACAAGGACGGCTGCGACTACAACCACTACCGCCTCGGCGACAAGGAGTACTATGGACGTGGCAGGGGCTTCACCGTCGACTCCAAAAAGAAGGTGACTGTTGTCACGCAGTTCATCACTGAGGGCAACACGGATGATGGAGACCTCATCGACATTCGGCGGTTCTATGTGCAGGATGGGCGGGTCATCCCAAACTCCAACATCTCCATTGCAGGCATGACCGGAGATTCTGTCACAGACGCCACCTGTGCGGCAATGAAGACAGCCTTCGGAGACATCAACGACTTCGCGCGCAAGGGTGGCCTCAAGGCTATGGGGGAAGCCTTGCAGCGAGGCATGGTGCTTGTCATGTCACTCTGGGACGACTCAGACGCCAACATGCTCTGGCTGGACGCGGACTACCCGCTGGACAAGGATCCGAGCTTTCCCGGTGTGAACAGAGGCCCGTGCAGGACGGACACTGGTGTTCCCGCCTACCTTCGTGAAAAGCAGCTTGTGCAGCGGTTCAGCCGTTCGTCTTTGCGTCTCCTTTGTGTGTTTAGGTCTTGAGGTCGTGTAGGCATCTGAGTTCTAATGTGCGTGTGGACGAGATTTGCCGAGGTATCCTCGTGCCCGAGTGCGATACAGCAAAATCAAGGTTGGCACCCTGGGCTCAACCTTCGGGGCAGGGGGCGACGAGGAGGACGAGGACGACGACATCTACGGTGACGACAGGCGGCTGAATGAGGTGCACATCTAATTATGGCTCAATGTGCCATTCTTTTAATGAGGCTGCCACTGACAATCACTGGCAGCCGCGCGCATATGCTAAATGTAGTTTGCATGCGTTGGTCGTGCATAATGCAACGGGTCCGTTAAATCGGCTAGTTTCACAGATAATACGGCCTGGCAAGCTTACGCTGTCGTGGGGAATCACACCCTCGAGCACTGTGGCTGACCTTTGAGGTAATGCATGCACATTGTGCGAGAACGCGATGCTCCCTGGGGCAGCACAGATCTAACCCTGTGCCATCGTGTTGCACACTTTTGATTACATGCTGTTGGACATGCTAAAAGAGCATCAAAGAGCATCCTTTTGCACACAGCGCTTTGTGACACACTCACGGGCCATGTCTTGTCTCTTTGTGGCGAGGTCCGCCTGCAGCAGGTTTTTCAACGTCTCAAACCCCGAGAGACTGGGAGCTAGCGAAAAGACTTGCGAGTCCGCGGCCATGCGTGCGGTCCTCCTGAGCCTCGGTGCATTGGCATCCGCCCAGCAGATTGGAACCCATGAGCAAGAGGAACATCCCGCGATGGCCCTCTGGACCTGTGATGCTGCAGGTTGCTCGAAAGAGATGAAGTCCCTAGTGCTCGATGCGAACTGGCGCTGGCTCCACAATGGCGAGTACACGAACTGCTACAAGGACGGCGACTGGGACAAGACCTTGTGCTCCGACCCCATCACATGCGCCTTGAATTGTCACATGGAGGGCAACTCGGAGGAGTCTTACAAGAGTACCTATGGAATCAAGGCTATTGAGGATGGCGTCGAGCTGGGCTTTGTCACCACCACCAAGTACGGATCTAACTATGGCTCTCGGGTCTACATGCTGGATGACGAGAACAACTATCAGATGTTCAAGCTCAAGAACCGGGAGTTCACGCTGACGGCAGACATGAAAAAGATGCCATGCGGCCTGAATGGCGCAGTGTACTTTGTGGAGATGGACGCAGATGGTGGGAAGGCTCGGAGTGGGGGGACCAACGCAGCCGGGGCCAAGTATGGTACGGGCTACTGTGACGCACAGTGCCCACATGATATGAAGTTCATGAACGGCAAGGCCAATACCATCGGCTGGAACGCCAGCCACGACCCTCCCATCGGATCCTGGGGCATCTGCTGTGCAGAGATGGATATCTGGGAGGCTAACAGCCGTGCCACCGCCTACACACCGCACCCGTGCTCCATCACCGGCCCATACGTCTGTTCGGGCACCGAGTGCGGTGACAACTCCGCGGATGAGCGCTACGACGGTGTTTGCGACAAGGACGGCTGCGACTACAACCACTACCGCCTCGGCGACAAGGAGTACTATGGACGTGGCAGGGGCTTCACCGTCGACTCCAAAAAGAAGGTGACTGTTGTCACGCAGTTCATCACTGAGGGCAACACGGATGATGGAGACCTCATCGACATTCGGCGGTTCTATGTGCAGGATGGGCGGGTCATCCCAAACTCCAACATCTCCATTGCAGGCATGACCGGAGATTCTGTCACAGACGCCACCTGTGCGGCAATGAAGACAGCCTTCGGAGACATCAACGACTTCGCGCGCAAGGGTGGCCTCAAGGCTATGGGGGAAGCCTTGCAGCGAGGCATGGTGCTTGTCATGTCACTCTGGGACGACTCAGACGCCAACATGCTCTGGCTGGACGCGGACTACCCGCTGGACAAGGATCCGAGCTTTCCCGGTGTGAACAGAGGCCCGTGCAGGACGGACACTGGTGTTCCCGCCTACCTTCGTGAGAAGCAGCTTGTGCAGCGGTTCAGCCGTTCGTCTTTGCGTCTCCTTTGTGTGTTTAGGTCTTGAGGTCGTGTAGGCATCTGAGTTCTAATGTGCGTGTGGACGAGATTTGCCGAGGTATCCTCGTGCCCGAGTGCGATACAGCAAAATCAAGGTTGGCACCCTGGGCTCAACCTTCGGGGCAGGGGGCGACGAGGAGGACGAGGACGACGACATCTACGGTGACGACAGGCGGCTGAATGAGGTGCACATCTAATTATGGCTCAATGTGCCATTCTTTAGTACGGCTGCCACTGACAATCACTGGCAGCCAGGCAGATAGGTTACACGGCATTTGCACAGATAGACTTGCATGTTTCAACCAGTCCGCTAGTTGAGATTGGTCACGTTGTTTTGCACAAAAGGGCAGGCTCGACTTCTCTGTCATATTATCTGTCATCAGACATAGCGGATCTTCACAGTGGTGCGAAACCCTCGTGACCCTGCTGCACGTTGCTGGAAAAATTCTTCGACGTGCAGCTCCTGTCTCTTGACGGCATGTTTTTCGACCTGCCGTGCATGATCGGCTTTAGAAGCCAGAATGCCGTGGTCTGAGCTGCGAGACTTCATCCGACAGATCCTTGATTCCATGCAGAAATCGCTGTCTGCTGAGGAGAGTTGCCAGGGCACGTCCACGTCCTTATTGACGCATCTTGGTAGTATGCTTGTGCTGCTCAGATGCGGCCGCCTGCGCCGCCGGTGGTCATTCGTCCTCGGTGCGCCACGGGGTAACCGGGAATTGATGTATTGATGTAATTATTGTTGAGCGCAACATACTTGATATGCTTGGTTTGATTGCCCGCGACTTTTTTTCCGTTCTTAATAGGAAAGTCGGCCAGCTGGTACCGCCGCGACAACCACCCCAAGCACAAGGACGACGGTTTCAAGGGCTCGTTATGTCTTTTTTTTTGAAGGCAAAGAGGTGACAGCAACATCCAAACGACGTCAGGAGAGGTGGCAGAGGTGGCGGAGGCTCCGGGTGAGGCTCCGGAGGCTCCGGCGGAGGCTCCGGCTGCGGCGGCAGAGGCTCCCCACACCACTGCTCCCATGGAATATGGAGTGCATGCTGGAATCACGCTAGCCTTGCAAGCCTTGCGGCAGAATTGAACATGTTGGTGCCGGCCGCACTCAGTGTGTGAGACAAAATGTCAGCTTCCACGCTAAGCCAGCAAGCTCACCCAAGACCGTTCAACCTTTCCACCACGAGCTACTCTTCTCTCCGTGCCAATTCCGATGCGCCATGGGCGCCTCCCCCAGCCGAGCGGGGTGCCAGCGGCGGTCCCGGACCAAAGCCACCGGCAATCCCTGCAGCCCGGGCGACCCAGGCCACCTGGGCCAGCTGGGCCACCGGATGCAATTCTCGTGGTTTCACAGAAAAGTTTTCAGGTAATCCGAGCTTCTGTTTAATTGGGGGGGGCCCCCCCCCCCCCTCCACAATAAGGAATGCAGGGTTCTGCAATAGTTGGACCATGGCCATGTATTGATTCTCTATTAAAAGCAATAGGCTGCAGATCCCTGAGGTGCTGTAGCTTTGCGTCTCCGCAAGCAAAACAAGAAGCCTGCCGACAGATTTTTGAACCCCCCAAAAAAAATTCCTTTAAATGTGGGGGGTTTGTCCCATACGAAATCCACCCTAATGGAAAGTAGTCTTCCGGCGGGCTTCCGGCCAAAAACAATTTCTTTAAATGTGGGGGTATTAATTAAACTGATGCTCGGATTACGGAGCATGGGACGGCGATTATACAGGATGTCAAGGGAATACGCAAGGAGGCATTTCCAAGGATTCTCTTTCTGCTCTCTCTTTCTCTCCCTCTCCTGGAGATTGAAGCACAATGATAGGGAACAAAAGAAGTGTTTGTTGAACGAAGAGTGTTTTTTTTTGTGTTTGTTTTCACGTCGTATTTCTTGCACGTAGAGTGGTGCCTGCAATGCGTTCGTCAACTTGCACTCCCTCCGTCTGAGGTGACGAGCTGTTCCTGAACATCTGCGATGCCGCCCGGTTCAGAGGGGAGCGTCCCCCCTTTATGGTTAGCGGATCCAAGCATGCCCGTTGACTGATCCAAAAGGGGGTGCTGGGCTGCGCGATGAAGCTGCGAATGCAGATTCGCCTGACGGTATCTCCGGTCCCAGGCCCTGGAGGCGTCAGGGCTTGGAGCTCTGAGCAGCACGAGCACGAGCTTGGCCAGGAGGGCGGCTTTGCGGCTTTGTTGTCTGCGTGGGGTTTGCAAGGGTCTGGATTGTGGGAACCTACACGTAGGGCACTTCGACTTCCCAGATCAGAAACACGTAACTGATCGCACCTGCCCTAACTGCTTGAGGGGGCTTTTGTTGGGTAGCCGGAGGCACTTGCGGAGCGAGGCGGCCTGGCGCCAGGCCTCTTGCCCATGCATAGCCCATGCACGCAACTTGTCCATGCGTTCACTACTTTCACTTCAGGCTTGCCATGCTTACGGGGGCATGCACGCGGCCAACGCCAAGACCATGTTGCAAGGTGCCGGGGCACTTGAGATTTAGATTCTGCAAAAGGGCCACTCGTCAACACTGTCAGTCAGACCGTAAGTTGCAAGAATCGATTCTCCTAAAAAAATCGATGATTTCTCTATGCTTCGATATTTGAGCATCTTAAATGTCAAAATGCGCCCAAAACTCAGTTAAGACTCGACGAGTCGTGAGGGATGCTGAGCCTCCGGTTGGCCTGGGAGCCGCTCGGCACCGTGCCAGCGCCACCGGCCAGAGCCTTCCGGGCTGCACAATGGGAGAGGGGCTTTGTTCAATATGAGGGGTTTTACAGGTTTATAATGCATCAGGGGTTTGAAAGGCTTTGGGGGTTTGAAAGCTTTCGAGGTTAGCATATGATGGCTTTCGGGGTGTATACGGTTGATGTTTTTTATTTGGGGGGTCTTCAAAGGGTCGCATCATTTTTTTGGTCCGTTCTTGTCTGCAGCGAGGTTGATTGTGTGAAGGTGTAGGATTGCGTTGAGGTCCAACCGGAGTCCAACCTGTTAGTTTCATATGCTTCAGTCTGCTGTCCGAGGACCACCACGTGACCTTCGCTTCGTCTTCTGGTCTGCTGGTTTTCGGAGGCCCCGACAGCTGCAGACAGTAGCGGATTCAGTGTAAGGGAGAACGCGCTTGCCTCTTCGCTCAGGCAAGCAGCTGCATCAGCGAAGCTTTTTGAGTGATGTGTGGTTCCTGGACGGAGCCTTTCCACTGTGGTGGGCGGTGTTCAAACTGATTTGAGACGTTGTCTTTAATGTCTTTCATTCTGGAGCTAGTGTTGATTTGTTGCCTCTTCTCCATCAAGAAACTTCTGAGAGCCCCGAGCGAATGCACGAAGTCATGCGCAAAGCTTGGTATGCTGGGGGCAGGACGCTGCCACCGGTCGCTGGGCAGAGGCCGCATCGAGCGGCGAGGGCCCTGCGCCTAGGCGGAGCGAGCATGTCTGAGCGTACCCTGGCCGTGCAATGCATTAGTGACGCCTGCAGGGCCTTCAATGCTGATGGCTGGGGCACCGGTGGCGTTCTCCAGGACAATCTCGGCCGCGAGTGGCTTGTGGTTTTCGGTGGTTTGCGAGGCCCAAGCCGAACAGCCTTTGAGACTCTGAGCGTGTCGGATTGCTTTTTGCCTTTCAGTTGGCCTCTTGCGGGCTTCAATGGAGGCGAGGGTTTCCGAGACAACGAGACCTGGGCACTGGGCCCCTTGGTCGGCGGCCTCGAGGCACGGAAGACTCATCGACTTACGGTTCTTTGCAGACTCGCCTTATCTCCTGCTGCAGACTTCTCTGGGTTGGGGCTCAGACCTCACAGGCAGCGGGCAGCTGGCAATGGCAGGAGGTCCAAGGAGGCAGCATGGCAATATTCAAGGGGGGGGGCTTCTTGGCACATCCCCAACACCCTAACCATGTCCTGTCATTCCTTTCTTACGTGTGCCTCGACGCAGGCTCTGGGGCCCAAAGCCGTGAGAGGCCAGGTGGTGCATTTGGGGGTGCATAATGGATCGTGACAGGGATCTTCACAGTTCTTCTCGGCATTCTTCATTGCGTTCTTGACAGCGTTGCTCCGCTCAGGCCCACTCCGCGGTTCCACCACACGCAGACAGTTCTTAGGCACACGAGGGGGAGGGGGAATCTGAAGCCTTTCTCAGGCGCTTTGCATCTGTTTTCTTGTGCTTCTTGTACTCTGTGAAATCCAGGCCGTCGGCCTTGGCGGTTGTGGGCGGCCACAACTTCATGGTCAGGCCGCAGGAATGTCTCTGAACCTCCACGAATCTACACGCATCTGCACGAATTTCCAGAAATGCACTTCATAGTCTCGAGTGACCGCAGTGTTCGTCTGAGCTGCGCAGAATGCGCAGACGGCCTGTGCCAACTGTCAGGCCAATTCTGGAAGCCGCTCTGCTCAGCTTCGAGGGCCTGGAGGATCAAGGACAGGGCCGGGCAGGGATGTTCTTTTTCTTCGACGTCAAATCCCTTGCAGAGCCTTTCTCAAACGAGAGGATTGGACGAGCTGCGGTGGCGTTTCCTGGGGACGGAAGGCGCCCGGGAGGGGGGAGGGAAAGCTCCCCTCTTTTCCGACTCTGGGCCTCCCCTCTCAATACTCAGGTGCCCCGGAGCCCCGGGCGTACCACGCGGCCACCGAGTGGCGCAAGCAGCTGGTGATCTTCGGTGGCGAGGCGCTGCTGGCCGGGGGGGGGGGGGGGTGGCACCCCGCTTTGAGCGATCTGCTGTGAATGTTCTCATGGGCTCATCTGTCATGTGAGTGGCCCCTGACATAAGGTGCGCAGCCCCTTCAGCGGCTTCGAGGCTTTTGCAGCTGCAAAGAACAGGAGAGGAGAGGCCCTTAGATTCTTAGATCCTTAAGGAGCTCATCCACGAGATTCTTGAAGGTTGAGCGAGATACCTGGGTGCTGGATCCGGTGTCTGGGTATCTTGGCTTTACCGGGAAGCTAAGGGGAGTGGCCTTCAAGTCAACTGCTGAGTCACACCACCTGGGTCGAAAACAGAAAAGCCCTGAGTGGACTCCAATCCCCTCTGCACCATCCTGAAACTCAATCCAGGTTTGTAATCTCAGTTGCCAAACGCTGCAGATTCCGGATGGAGGCAGTTGAGCAGGAACCTGGGAGCCCGAAAGCTCCTCGCAGTCTCGGTTCGCCAGAGACAACAAAATCAGTCACTTTCGCTGCGCCGTCGCGCAGGACAGGGGCAGGTCTTTTTCGGGGGAGGGCGCGCATATCTTCAGGTCTTCAGGTTGTGCGGGGGCCACTGCTGTTCACTAAAACTTCCCACAAGTGGGGACCTTTAGTCCAAATATGCCCGAAAAAGGAGAAAGAGTGCCTCATTTGCATTCGTGAGCCCTAGCTTCGGGTGTGACCGGCGAGTCGTGAAAATGAGGCGAAAACGGGGTGGACTGAGTGAGAAAACGGGCCTGCGCGACTCAGAAAACGGCGGCGAACGAGAGTCAGAACACAAGAGAGCACGAGTCAGAAGGCACAGGGGAGCGTACCAAAAAACAAGAAGCGACCGATTCCGTGCTTGGTGGGTCTGCAATGGTCTGCTTGGGATGTAGTTATGCTTTCTGCGCTGGCGGCACAAGTGCAGTCTCCTCCCATAAACCGAGGGTGTTTTCTTATCATGTTGGGATGCTTTAGTGTTCCTCCTGTTTTCGCTCGGTTGTGTCTGGTGTTTGGGCCTCTGGCACTGCAGGTCCTGGAGATGCATCAACGCGGACTTCCCCGTAGGCCTCGCCCCGTCTCTGTCGAGCACGTTGCGTCGTTTGTCGTCGTTTGTCGTCGTTTGTCGTCGTTTGTTTGGTTTTTGTTGTGGTTGTGATTGTTGGCTTTCTCGGAGGCCGCAGTCGGGCTGCTGCTGCCGTGGTGTCCGAGCGGTTCCTGGCCATCAGCGGCGGCTACGAGATGGGCCCCAGCCTTCGACAGCCTTTTTTCAAGGGCCCACCTCGCATGGCCTGCAATGTGCTTCCTGCAATGTGCTTCCTGCCATGTGTGCTGCCTGCAATGTGCCCCCCCCTTCCCCCACGCTTCACTTCCAGAGGCCTCGCTGCACCGATGGTTCAGCTGCGTCGGTCGCAGAAGTGTCATTCTTTGAGAGAGAGAGAGAGAGAGAGAGAGAGAGAGAGAGAGAGAGAGGGAGAGACCTTTTGGGGTTCCTCAAGCCCCGTAGAAGAAGAAGAAGGAGAGAGGGAGAGAGGGAGAGAGGGAGAGAGGGAGAGAGGGAGAGAGGGAGAGAGGGAGAGAGGGAGAGGGAGAGAGGGAGAGAGGGAGAGAGGGAGAGAGGGAGAGAGGGAGAGAGGGAGAGAGGGAGAGAGGGAGAGAGCGAGAGAGGGGGAGGTTGCCCGAGACGGTGCGAATAGACAGCCAACCGCCAACCTGAGGATCACTCGAACAACCCACTTGTCCCCCATGACTCCCACGACCCTGCCGCGAGCAACACAGCCAGGAGCCTTGGAAACCCCGGAGCTCGAGGAAAGCATACGCGCTGCCACACAACCTGTATGGTTGTCCTTGCACGAGGTTCGTTTTGGGAGGTACACATCACCCTGAAAGTTCCGACGTGCATTAGTTTGCTGGGTTGTCCCCACCATAATCACGCGTCGTCACGGGGAGTGGTCTTCACACATTAATGCAGAGCCAATGTCCTCGTGGGAGAACAAAGGTGCAGTTATTACAGATATGAAGGTCGATCGGGGTGAGAAGACGTTCAAGGGCAGCTAGTCCGGGGTGAAACATTGCCGCTTGGGGGCGGATCGGCTGTCTCACGCGCTGATGCCAAACAACCCCTGACAAGCATGGACGAGATGTATTACAGGGTTAGTCGTCCGGCTGTGCGGAATATCTGCAGTCTCCAGCGTGCATTCTCACACAGACTCGGACACCATCTGGGCGCGCCTGCGCCCCTCAGCCCAGGAAGAGGAAGAGGAAGAGGAAGAGGAAGAGGAAGAGGAAGAGGAAGAGGAAGAGGAAGAGGAAGAGGAAGAGGAAGAGGAAGAGGAAGAGGAAGAGGAAGAGGAAGAGGAAGAGGAAGAGGAAGAGGAAGTGGAAGAGGAAGAGGAAGAGGAAGAGGAAGAGGAAGCGGAAGCGGAAGCGGAAGCGGAAGAGGAAGAGGAAGAGGAAGAGGAAGAGGAAGAAGAAGAAGAAAAAGAAGAAGAATAATTATTTTACTTCGAACATCCGCACCCTCTCTTGGTAGAGTTACTTTAGGGTTGGGCACTCCAGGGACACTCTGGTGGGGCACTCCAGGCAGACTTTGGGGTTGGGCACTCCAGGAAGACTCTGGGGTTGGGCACTCCGGGACGCTCTGGGTTGGGCAGAATCTGAGTTTGGGGGTGGGCACTCCGGGGGACACTCTGGGGTTGGGCACTCCAGGACACTGTGGGGTTGGGCACTCCAGGGATGAGCGAGGAGCAGACCGGGCGAGGAGAAGCGTTCCGGGCCAGGAGAAGAGTTGAGTTGAAAATCTAACAGCCCGCGGAAGAGGAAGAAGAAGAAGAAGAAAAAGAAGAAGAAGAAGAAGAAGAAGAAGAAGAAGAAGAAGAAGAAGAAGAAGAAGAAGAAGAAGAAGAAGAAGAAGAAGAAGAGAAGAAGAAGAAGAAGAAGAAGAAGAAGAAGAAGAAGAAGAAGAAGAAGAAGAAGAAGAAGAAGAAGAAGAAGAAGAAGAAGAAGAAGAAGAAGAAGAAGAAGAACAAGAACAAGAAGAATAAGAAGAAGCGGAAGAAGAAAGAATAATAATAATAAGAATAAGAAGAAGAAGAAGAGCAGCCCGGGGTGGTTGTTGGTGAGGGCGGCCGATCAGGGGCGTCCTTCAGGTGCAGGGTGGGTGGCGCTGTGAAGTGACTAAATACCAGCCACCGTTAGGGGCTGTAAAGTTCCTCGAGACGCTCGCTCGGGGCGCCCCTTGGCGCGGGGACTCCTTGCCCCAAGAAAGAAAGAGAAAAGAAAGAAAGAGAAAGAGAGAGAGCAAGAGAGAGGGAGACAGGCGGAGAGACCGAGGGACGGAGAGACAGAGCGACAGGAGACAGAGAGTGGAGAAAGAGAGAGAGAAAGAGAGATGGGTAGTCAGGCTAGAGCTCGGGTACCGGGTAGTTTCACGATGACCGTGAACTTGGGCGCGCCTAGGCGCGAGGGGTCTTCCGGGCCCTCCCATGCCCTGCAGAAGAAGAAGAAGAAAAAAAAGAAGAAGAGAGATAGATAGAGACTAACCAAGTGGAAAGCGGGTCTCGGGGCAACCTTTTCGGGGGTTATGTGCACTGGAAGGAAGGAAGGAAGAGAGAGAGAGAGAGAGAGACAGAGAGAGCGAGAGAGAGACGGAACGAGAGAAAGAGAGAGCGAGAAAGATTCAGCGTTCCCGGCTCCGCCCAAACAAGATCTGCCTTACGTCACATCGAAAGCATAAGCATCTCCGTCGCTTCTTCAGCTCGACACGCTCCTGTTCAGGTTGCAGATTTGTGCAGACCTCTGGATGTTGGACTTGCTGAACCCCGTCTCGCTGGCCTGTGAGCAGGGCATCTTCATGCCGAGTTTCCCCCCCTCCCTCCCCGCCATCGCCCCGAGCCCCTCTTCTTGTTGCGGTCGTCTTGCTGCGTGTTCTGTGCGGATTGTCTGCCAGGACGGCGCCTGGAGCAAGGTTGGTGACACGTTGCGCTCCGGACGGCTGGCGGCACAACAGCATTGGATGTAAACTTTAGCGAGGAAGCATCGGTTTTGCAGCAATGCAGCCAAGCTTCTCGCATTTTGTAGTTGCCGCGCACGGTCGCAGCATGTCGCAGAGCAGAGGACGCAGTGGCTACAGTTCTCCACGGTGGCAAGACGCTGCTGATCTTCGGTGGGCACGATGGCTCACAACTGAATGAGTTTGGAGATCCCGCAGGAGGCGAGTGGGTAAACACAGAACGGCAAGGCGCCGGCAAGACTACGCTGAGTTGGAGTTGTGCCAGATGCTGGAAACTCTTGTAAGTGGTGAACTTGGCTTGGCCAGGCTACGCACCGCCTTCCGACTCCCTGGCTGTGCGCCTGCGTGCCGACGGCAGCGTTGCGGCAGCCAGATACGCTGGCAAGCACGCGGGAAATCAGGCACCTCAGACATCCTTAAAAAGGTGCCCCAGAAGCGTGAGCGTGTGTGGTTTGAGAGGGTTGTTTCTGGGGCGGAGAGTTCTGCCTACCCCCTTCTCCAAAGGATGGGAAAAGATGAGTGCTCAGCGAAGCACAGTGAAACCCTAGAGGATGTTCTGCGCGCTGATGCAACCCCTGTGATTATTACACTGTCTGGGACTGATCGTGTCGAACAAAGATATCCGGCATGGGAAGCGATGCGGAGTGAGGAGGGACGCCAAAGTCATATGTCAGCACCATGCTCTCAAAGGTTTAGGGTGGTCGCAGGAAGGGTTTCAGGTTTCAGGCAAAGTCCTAAGAGGCTTTAAGGAAGGTCAATTCGGGCAAGTCCCAGGCAGGGGGGGGGGTGGGGGGGGGGGGGGAAAGGAGGGAAGGAAGCCAGATCCTTGTCTGCTTGTTCCAGACGCCTCGCGGTGCAGGTGAATATGCCGATGTGACATCTTCGATCGTCACGTTGTGCACTGTGCTGCTTCAAAAGCCCCAAATACCCCCATCACTCCATCACTGAGCCTTGGATCGAATCCTAAATGTGATCACATTGGCCGCTTGGTCTCATCTATTGTCCTGGTTTGGTATCGTTGCCCCTTCCCCCTTGCAATTTTATGCTTGGACCTTTTGGTAGCACAGCACACACATATACACATCCTCACAGTTCGATCTCTTGCCCCTGACAAACGAGAAGCCCAAAGATGCTGCTCAGACCAGCTCCTCATCGCTGATCGTGTTGCGCGACCCCGACCGAGTGCTCGCACTGGGGCCCGGGATGGGTGCCTCGGCGCAGAAATTCAAAACATGGGCTGCAACTTTGCTGTTATTGCTCATTTGCAGCGTTGAAATCGTGAACCAGATGTTCTTGCGAGACATGTTGCATCAGAGCCTAGACGAAGCGGTGGATCGCGCACGGACTCTGACTGCTTTGCGGCTCAGCTGGAAGGCACTTAGGGGTTGGGGGGAATATAATTTCTCACTGCATCAGACCTTTCTTGCCCGAGCTTTGGCAGTCTGCTTGATCTCGTTGTGCCTCTGTACTTTACACATGCTTGCCGTGACCCAGTGCAATCTGCACATCCTATCACATCCTCTCACATCCTTCAGCCCAGCTTCAAGGGTCCTTAGTGGCCTCGTGCAGGAAGGCTCGGAAGAACCCGAAGACTTGGATGCCTTGCAGCTGACCTCTGGCTGATAAGGCCAGGCGCTTTCACTGCTTTGGAAAAACAGAGCCACTTTGTGTCGGATGTGTTGCCTTCGATGTAGGGGGCCCCCCGACTTCGTGGCTTCGTGATCTCGTGTGTACCTCGTGGGCAGCTGAAGCGCCGCGCGGTTCGGCTTTGCACTTCGCCCAGCTCCATCGCATTCCGATCCCGAGGAGTGCAGAGTGCCAACATCTAGCCTGTCTAACATGTCTAACATGTCTAACTCCCCTGAAGGACAGCAGAACTTCGCGACCCCCGCGCCATGCTGCGATTGTGCGAAGAAAAACAACGGGACAGCGAGCTTAAAAGACAGTGCCGTTGAGCTGCTTCAAGCTGATTCCCGAGTGTGGAGGCAGAAGTGCCGGCAGAGACTGAGCCAACTGGGCCAAGTGAGCCAGCCGCAAAGCGATTGCGGACCACGAGTGACGAGAGTGGTGAAGGCCAGTAGGAGATGCGTGTAGGAGCCATGTAACAAGCAAAATACGAGCAAGGCGCAGAGCAGCTTGTATCGAGGTGGCCAAGACGGCCAAAGGCAGCCGAACTACAGAGAGCATTCCACAACATGTCGTCGAACCGGACTTTACTGTGACTTCTCTTGAGAGTTGTACTGTTGGTCTAGAGCTCTGACGAAAAGAATTGCTGTTGTGCCTCCAGGGTAGCGCATGTTTCACAGAGAAGATGAGGTCACACCATGCCAGAAGCAGTTGAAAAAAAGGTGTCTTTGGTGTTCTTGTTCGGCTGAAGCGTCGTAGCTCCTGTGGCTAGTAGTGGTAATCTGTCGACACCTGGCTCGCATCTTCATTTGCGTTCCACAAATGCACAATTGTACAATTCTGTTTGCTTTCTTAGTCGCCGAACATCTACGAACCATGCTTGCCACGAAGATTTCTAGTCCGCATGCGTGGATTGTTGCTGCCGTGCTATCGTACGCACTACGGCCGTCAAGCGAAACGACAAAGGCTGCAATCGGCAGCGCCCTCTGTAGCAGCTGAGACCGGGCCTTTGGGGACACGGCTGCCACCGGCATGCAGCTCTCGCACTTCACACCTTTCCCAGAGCGCGTGCTGCTGCCAGCAGTCGACCCGAGCATAAAGGCATGCCCGTGAGCGGGCGCATGGCTTGTGGCCATGCCCGTAGGCCTGCCGTGACGCTGGCACCTGACCTCATCCCTCTCCCATGGAGCTCGCGAGGGAGATGAGTGTGGGTTCAACCCCCGCAGCAAAACCAGGCGGCCATCCCCAACTCTCCCACCAACACACCCAAACCAAACCACCCCCAACATAGGCACCTAGGACCCCAACCTGGCGGGAAGCTCCTGCGCAAACCACAGCGGCACGCGCCAACGCCTCCCGGCAGTTGGCCAGCTCTGCCACCCGGCTTCGCGAGCCATCCCACACCAAGGCGAAGCGGCAGGCAAGGCTCGGCGCAGCCTCTCAAAACACGAGCGAACTGAGGTGCTTGAGCCAAAAAGCTTTTTCCAGTTGACGCGGATCCAACTAAAGCTAACGCTGATGAGATTTTCTGTTCGCATTGACCGCTACGTGACCATTCCTGGATTTGAAACAATGTCACAGATTGTCCCAACGCACTGCACTTTGGGTGCAGCCTCGCTGGATGTCGCAGGCACTGCTTTCTGGAGCAGGGCGCTTTTCCAGCACAACAGGCGGAGGCAGTGGAACGGCATTGATGCCAGCAGTGGGGATGGAGCAGCACCGGCTCCCAGAACAGGGGAAGTTGGACTTGGTGCTTCTTCCACTTGAACTGGCGATGGCGGTGTAGGAGGAGAGTCATAGCCATATTCTCAGTGCTGTCCGGTGTCATGCCGCGTGGTTGCGGCAACGGGGTTCCAGGAACGATTGCTGGAAAATCGCTGGGGTCTGGCACGCTTGCCTCACAGCCATGATAGCAAAAAATGAGCAGCACATCTTGTGGGACAGCAGGTGGCTCAACGCTCGGAGGCTGTTGATTTACTTCTGACACAGGTGCCACAAGTGGAGCAGGCAATGCCACAACTTGGGAACTCAAGCCGCTGCGCCACAGCGCGCATGGCTTTTGCTCGCCCTCTGAGCGGCGCCTCATCTGCTCCGCAATCTGCCGCCGCCGGCCGTTGCCCCTTCTGCGCGTGCGCACGACGACGTCGGTTGGCACCGGCCACATTCATGTTGGGCGACAACGATCCCCGGCGGAAACCAAAAGCCGCATGTAGGTAAGTTGTGTCATGTTGCTCTGCTAGAGGCAGACGTCTGACCGAGCGCACGGTGATTGCCTTTCATGATGTCCAGCATTCTCTATACAACGTGCCGCGGGCGAGTCATGCATGCACTGGCCCAGATGCGGATGGTGCCCGCTGGCTCTGCTGACGCCGCATGCGCATCAGGGGGCTGATAGGCGCGACCCGCGCAGAGGCGTCGGCACTGTCCGATGCCCTCCCTTTCGCGGCGGCCGCCCGGCTTTTGGTCGTGCCCCCCGACGGTTACTTGCCAGCTGCTGCCCAGTCAACCCTGTAGGAAGCATATGGGGGCGGCCGCGCTGTCACTAGCAGTTCTGATGCGCCTCCAGCACTACGAACAAGGCCTGTGGCCCGCGCTCCTTGCGGCTGCGCGCGCTGCGCGAGCCTCGCCCCGGCCGGCAGCCGATCCCGCCCCGGCCGGCAGCCAATCTCGATGCAGAAGCAGTCGCCGAGCGACGGCGAGAAGCGGCTTGCGCACGCACACGCCAAGGCGAGCTCTCGCGCGCCCGCCAAGTGTTGACCTCAGCCGAACTCGCGCCTGGTGATGAGGCGACCCGGGCAGCTTTGACTGACCCAGCCAAACGGCCGCCGCAGCCACGCGAGCCCATCCCGGCAGAGGTGTTGCAGTTCCAACCGCTGACGCCCGTGCGCCTGACTTCCGCCGCGGTCGCTCGCAGCCTTCGCTTCGGCGCCCGGGCTGTCGGGCGCACGAGCCGATCACTACAAACTGCTGCCAGGCCATGCGTTCGCTGGCCGCCGTGTGGGCGCCAGTGTTCGACCAGGCCACGAGGCCATACCAGTTTGCCCTCCGCACCCGTGCAGGAGTGGATGCGCTGTCGGCTCGACTCCGTGCAACCCTCGAAAACGATGCGCGCGCCACTGTAGTCTCGCTGCACGGGCGCAGTGCGCACGACTGCATCTTCCGCGCCGCGTTTTTGCGCAAACTGTGCGAGGTGGCGCCCGCCCTTGTGCCTGTCGCACGCGTTTGTTACGGCCAGGCATCCGAGTACCAGTGGTGGGACGACGGGGGTCCGCCATGGCATACGCCAGGCAGAAGGATGCGTACAAGGCGACCCCCTTGCCCCGCACTTTTCGCCCTCGGCCAGCATGAGGCACTGCGCAGGGCAGACTCGCAATTACGGCAGAGCGAGTCACTCATGGCCTTCCTTGATGACCTCTACGTTGTCCTGCCCGACCCAAGCCGAGCGCGTACCGCCCTGGATCTGGTGACAGGCGAAATTGCGACACACGCTGGTATATCCGCCAATTTTTGCAAGACGCCTGCCCCCGCAGCAGCGCGGCGTCGTCGCGCTTGGCACCCCCATCGGCGCACCTGAGTACGTCCGGGCCTGGGGCGCCGAAAGGCTCGAAGCCGAAAGCGCGTTGCTCTGCCAGCTCCCCGAGTTGCCTGTCCTGCAGTGCGCGTGGCTCCCCCTCAGCTTCTGCGCCGCACCCCGTGCTAACCATGCGCTGCGGGCGCCATATGCTGAGGCGCGTGATGCGGCCGCATGGGGCACCCTACAAGCTTGTTTGGGCGCCGCTGCGGAGGATGAGGCGTTGCCCGATTGGGACATCGCATTAGGACTGTCGCTGCTTCTGTCGCAGGCCACACGCACCAGCCCCGCGGCGTACTGGGCGGCCGGCGCCGATGCCCTGACTTTGCTCCGTGAACGGTGCCCGGCTTTTAGCGCGGGCTGCTTGCAGTCGAGGCTGGACGGACGTGCCTTCCTGGGAGCATGTAGTGCAAGGAGCCTGCCCTGACCGACCTGAAGGGATCGCCGAGCCCGGTGAATGGGGGCATGGGTGGTAACACCGCGCGTCGCGCACACGGAAACTTTTCTTCCGCGACCACGTGCTGCTGCCTTCTCTGCCGCCTTCCCACCGCGCGCTCTTGCGCTCCCAGGCCGGTCCGCACGCCGCTGCTTGGCGCCAAGTTATCCCCAGTGATCCCCACACCTCCCTCAGCCCCGAAACACTGCAGATCGCAGATCGCGTTGCGCCGCAGGCTCCGACTACCGCTCCCACTCGCGCCTGGCCGATGCGGGTGCAACCTGGGTGTGGCTGCCGCTCTGATGCATTATGTGACCATGCTCGTGTGCCCTTGGATAGGCCTTCTGGCCAGGCGGGCCAAGCTGGTTGAGCGGGCTTGGTGCAAGGTTGCCCGCGAGGCAGTTGGGCCTGAGGGACACGTGGTGCCTCAACAGTGGCGCGTCAACACCACTGCGCCGGGCGTTGCGCCCGACGATCGCAAGCGGCTTGACCTCGTCATCTACGGCGCATGCGACTGGGTGGAGCCCTGTGCTGCGATGCGACCCTCCTGTCGCTTCTCACGCGAGATGGCGAGCCCCACCCCGGCGCAGCCGCACAGGATGCGCAAACCTTCTGCGTGCTCGGCAGCCCTCCGCGCGCACAGAGCTCCGCCAGCAATGCGAGCCCCTGCAAAAGCGGCGTGGGCCCGCCGCTGGTGGAGCGTGCTCTCTGTGGCCGTTCAGCACGCTGTCGGCCACACGGCGCTGGGGCGCGCCCCAGCCATGCCGGGACCGGCACTTGCTGATGCGCCGGCCTTTGACGAGGTCATGGACCTCGCTGGCCCGGAAGGGCCGAGCTGCTTGCCACTGCACTGAACCGGCCCGCCGGACCGCGTTTACCCAGGAACCGGATCTGACTGCTGCTGGCGGAAAAAGTGTGAGGAAAAAAACATTTCTCAGGGTTTCACACTCATTGGTTGAAAGCTCTTTACCCACATGCAGAAGCTTTTCAAGTTCAGCGCGAGCTCTTTGACCAAGTGATTTTCAAAACGTCATGTCTCAGTTGGCGGCGCAGCGCTAATGGTGGGCACGGTCCGGCTCGGTTAGCAGGCAGGATTTGTCTGCCAACTGGAGTGGGGCCAGCAAGTGCTCTTTATGTGTTGCGTAATGGAAATGATGGATCGTGCAATCATCTGTTCAGAGCATAAACCTTTCCTGCACCTGCTTGTGTGCCAACTTGTACGGCTGGGTTTCGGCCAGGACAACCAGGTCGTCCGCGTACAGCAACAAGGTAACTCTGGGAGCAGCAGAGTCACGACCAAGAGCAACCCCTGGGCAGGAAGCTCGCACTGCTGTGGAAATGCCATCGAACAAGATGTTGAACAGCAATGGTCCAAGGACGTTGCCCTGACGGACTCCAGCATTCTCGTCCCAGGATTCAGACATCATCCCGTTGACCAGGACTCGTGCAGACGTGCCACTCAAGAGGTCATCCAGGACTCGCCAAGTGGATCCTGTTACGCCGGCTTCGGCAAGTTTGACCAGGACTGCATCTCTCCAGGCTACGTCGAAAGCCTTCCGCACATCGACAAATGCAAAAAAAGTGCGCTTGCGCGCACGAAGGCGCAGCGTTTCAACGAGTGTGTAAATTTGTTCCTCAGCTCCCCATCTGAAGCCGGCTTGGCTTTCGTCAATGAGAGGGTTCACTCTAGGAAACAACCTTTTGAGGAGCAACCGCTCGAAAACCTTTCGCGCGCAGCACAACAAGCTGATGGGCCGATAGTTGCTAAAATCATCGGCTGGGCTAAAAAAAGGCCTTGGTTCCCGAGGAAAGCTCTCGTTTTCTCGCACCTTCGCGAATTTTCGCGTGGCGCTGAGCTTCAAACACATTAATACTGGCTGTCATGCCCAGCCGAGTTTGGGGAGGATCATCAATGGCAAGCTGCCAACTTCGATGCTGCACAGCACGGGGCGATGCGATGTTGTTTGCACTATTGCCTTTGAAGCGCTTGAACTAGCCGTTGGCTTGTGGACATCAACAGGATACAGGTGCCCAAAGTGACCTGCAACAGGCATTAGATGCGGTAGGCGCTTGGGGTTTTCGGCCCACGCCACAGATTGATGAAATTTGCGAGTGCTTCTCGCAAGCAGCTGCAACTTCCATTTTCTGGAGGCTTGAAAGACCACACCTAAATATCGGTGCTCGGACCCGAAGTCTGGTGCGGAGGTGACAGTGAACCGGCAACTTGCGGCTTTGTTGCATTGGGCGTGCCGATCGGGCATACGGAGTTCGTGCGACGCACCCTCGCGGCAAGGCTTGAGGAAGAGCGCCGCTTGCTGCACGAACTGCCGGAATTGCCTGATATGCAGAGCGCATGGCTGCTCCTGCTCTACTGTGCCAGCCCGCGTGCCCAACATGCTCTGCGCACGGTGCCGCCGCTGGACTCGGCCACCTATGCGGCAGAACACGATCGGGCGATTTGGGCAACGCTCCACCACCTTCTAGCGGAGCAGGATGCGAGCGGGCGGGAGTGGACCGCAGCGCGCCAAATCGCCTTCCTCCCTGCCGCATGTGGTGGCCTCGGTCTCGCGAGCGCGGAGCGACTAGCCCCAGCGGCCTACTGGGCGGCTTGGGCGGACGCGCTCCCGGTGATGCTGCAAAGACGCCCGGAGGTTGCCCGCCGATATGCGCAAGAACTCGCTCTTGGCGGCGGGTCGACTGCGCCGTGCCTGCGGGCAGCTGCGGAAGCGGGTGACCGGCTGCTCGCCGAAGGATGGAGAGCGCGCCCGGAGTGGGATGCCTTGCTCCACGGGGCGCGGCCGCCGCCTACACACGCTGAGCCTTCAGAGCCTGGAAGTTGGCCACATGGCTGGCAGAAACCGGCAGCTTGCGTACTCAACAAATCCTACCGCGAGCGCCTCCTCTGCAGCTTGTCGCCAAGTTCCCGAGCACTGCTGCGCTCCCAGGCGGGCGCGCATGCCGGCGAGTGGTTGCGAGCCATCCCCACGGACGAGGGCACGCAGCTTCTGCCGCTGGACATGCAAGTCGCTCTCCGGCGACGCCTTCGCTTGCCGCTACCCATGGCATCTTCCCGTTGCGGAGGACATGGCGAGCCAGGGTGCCGAGCCGTGGTGGACCAGCTGGGCGACCATCGCGCCGCCTGCGCCCGGAGTGGGCTGCTGGCCCGGCGCGCTCCCATACTCGAGCGAGCGTGGGTCCGAGTAGCGCGGGAGGCCGTCGCCGCCGAAGGGCGGGTGGTCCCCCAACAATGGCTAGCGTGGACCACCGCAGCGGGCGTAGCCCCAGATGACCGGCGCCGACTTGACCTCGTCATTTATGGCGCGTCTCGGCGCGGCGAGGCACTCTGCTGCGATGTGACCCTGGTTTCGCCGCTGCGCGCAGACGGACGCCCGCAGACCGGCTCCTCAGATCGGGATGGGGCTGCCATCGACGTCGCGAGGCGGCGCAAACAACGGCGCTACCCCGAACTAGCCGGTCCGGGCCCGCAACGCCTCGTCGTCCTGGCTGCGGAGGTCGGCGGACGATGGGGGCAAGAGGCGCACGACCTCGTCCGCGACCTCGCGCAACAGCGCTCCCTGCGCGCGCCGAGGGCGCTGCGAGCTGCTGCCCGCTCCGGGTGGGAACGCCGGTGGTGGGGGCAGCTGGGTTGCGCGTTGCAGCGCGCCTTGGCCTCGACGCTGTTGGGCGGTTGCTGGCGCGCGCCGGCGCAGCCAACCGGAGACGAGGGCACGCCGCTTGGTTGGGTCCTGGAGCTCGCCGAGGCTGAGCAGCCGTCCAGGTTGCCCTTGCGTGCTTGACACACTGCGGCCCGAGCAGCCTGCCGATTCCGTGCACAGGGATCGTGAACACTGACGCGAGGAAAAGGTGCGTGGGGAAAAAAAAAATAAAAAATAACGATATTCAGACACCACCGGGACGGCAGAACCCTGAAGTGAAAATTAGAACGTCCAAAGACCTGCAGCCGACCACCATGACTGCAGTTTTTTCAGGACCAATCCCGAAGGAGAACCGCCAGCGCCACCTGCACACCGGATTCCGACGCAGCCTGTTCCAGGCCTACGTATTGCCTGCGATGCAGCACGGGGCTGCTTTTCTTGATGATGCATCTGTGCGTCGCCTTGAGAAGCAGTTTATTGGGGTCGACGTTTGCTTGGCTGGCCGGCAGGCGCCCCAGGCGCGGCTGCGGACGTCAAGAAGGCCCAGGCAAACCTGTTTGGCCGTTTTTGTTCAGCTGACCCGCATGGTGCTCACCGTAGTTTGGCAGGCCGCGTATTTCGCTATGCCCCGAATTGTCCAACGTCATGGGCGCAGCAAGTTCGTGGCATCTTGTGTGTTTCTGACATTCCTTTGCCAGATGCTTTCGGTGTTGGTCCTGGCTGTATGCATCGATCAATGTTACGGCATTTCAGCCAAGAATACTTTGCATGTGCCCACCCTTACCTAGCCGTAGCTGCAGGACTGCGCAGCTACAAGCAAGGTAAGACGCACGCCGGCAAGGCGCCTTGAGGGCTACTGCTTGGAGGGAAACAACACCCAACGCTTGGGTGAGCAACCGCTTGGTTCGCCAACGAGTCCCCGTTTCCCTTCACGACACTAGCAGGATTTTGCCCTCCCGCCACAGGCACTGATGTGGAGCTTTTCCCCGCCACACGGGCCCCAGCTGTTCGGCATGGGCTTTTGCCTCCCCAAGTAAGCACTAAAGGCACCGCAAAGGGCGGAGCACAACCAGTGGCGCCAAGCAGCGCTTTTTCAGCCAGAGCTTCATGGCCTGAGGGTGTGAGCCACCGGACCCTCATGTTAGGCGCTCATGAGCACATGGCTGCCCGTCCAGGTTTTTGACCCCCCGGACTTTTGGGTCACGGTTTCGCAGTCAGCATCGATTTCGAGAGCGATACGGCTGATAACCTAATGTTACGGCATTTCAGCCAAGAATACTTTGCATGTGCCCACCCTTACCTAGCCGTAGCTGCAGGACTGCGCAGCTACAAGCAAGGTAAGACGCACGCCGGCAAGGCGCCTTGAGGGCTACTGCTTGGAGGGAAACAACATCGATCTCTGGAACAGTGGAAGCAGCATTGTGTCCGTCCAGCCTTGGAACGCATTGGTTGGCAGATGCGACGCGGTGAAGTTGACCAACTCCCGTCGCTTTCGCTTTTTAGCCAATGCCATCTGGATCTCCGGTTCTGCCCGGGCACTCATTGCTCAAGGCTACCAGGGTGTGTGTGATAAGGGAGTGGACGCTTGCTAGGTGTGGTCACCATCCTTTCATGGATGGACGTGCAGCTCGGCACCGTGGTCTACGTCACCCTTGCCTTTGCGGCGCAGCAGATTGGAGCTTCATTCATGCCGTGCGTTCTTGCCCCATGTTTCTGCGTTGGAGGAATGCCTGGTCACGCCACCTGCAATCCTTAGGGACATGCCGTTGACCACTTCTCGGATGACGCCCTGTTGCGCTTCTTGTTCTCCCCAAATGGTAGGGGCAACACTCGTGCACTTACTGCCGCGCACATGAGCTTTGTGGCTAGCATTTGCCAAGCTCAACGGTCGCTGCTTGAGGGTTTGGAACCCCGGAGTAGTACTTGACACGTCTTGTGTCCTCTTGTATAGTTATATGAGTTTGGGCACCTTCTTGTGCTTTTCGTTTCACATGTAGATACTGACCGCTGGACGGATGTTTCAGGACCACTGCTGCTTTGGTTGTCACTGCTAGAGCGCAATGCTCTGCATATCTTAGATCGCGCCAAGCTGACTTTTGGGAGGCAAATGAGGACAGGATCTTTTTAAGTGCGTGGCGGGCAGCATGGGCCGACGCGCTCCCGGTCCTGCGCCAGCGGTATCCGGAAGCTGCGGACCGCTTGCTCCATGACCTCACCCAGACCCGGGGTCCGCCGTGTTTGCAGGCTGCCGCTGCCGCGGCGGTGCGGCTCGATGAGGCGGGTTGGGCTGACCGTCCCGGCTGGGAAGCGTGCGCTGGCGGGGCACCCGTGCCACCATCGCAAGGGGAGCTCGGGCTGGGAGGCCTTGGCTGGCACGCTGCTCTCACACTTCACACTTTCTTTCGGAAGCGTGAGCTGCTGCCTGCCATCCCTCCAGCTTCGCGAGCACTCTTACGATCCCAGTCCGGCCCTGCGGCCGGCATGTGGCTCGCAGCCATCCCCACAGACGCAGCAACCACCCTTGACCCCGACCTTATGCACTTGGCATTGCGGCGCCGCCTGCGGCTGCCCCTGCCTTTGACAGAGAGGCAATGCTGTGGGGACGGTCGCCCGGGCTGCCGGGGGAGATCGATGGGCTTGGGGACCACTACCTCGCCTGCCCCGCACAGGCCTGCTGCCTCGCTGTGGCTTCGTCCTTGAGCACGCATGGGTGCAGGTCGTGCGGGAAGCGGTGGGGTCCGAAGGACGCGTGGTGCCACAGCAGTGGCTTGCCCGCACCACTGCCCCACAAGTCCCGCCGGATGACCGCCGTCGCCTCGACTTTGTGGTCTACGGAGCGGCGAGGAATGGAGAGGCGCTGTGCGCAGACGCGACGCTCGTCTCTCCCTTGACCCGCGCCGGTCACCCTGTCCCCGGCGCAGATGCCCGCGATGGGGTTGCGCTCGCTGCAGCACGTCGGCGCAAGGCCGCGCGCTATCCCGAGCGCACACGGGGGGGCCCACAGAAACTGGTCGTCCTGGCCAGGAGTCCTGGCTGCGGAAATTGGCGGTCGCTGGAGTGATGAGTGCCATCAGTTCCTCCGTCAGCTCCTGCGCCTCGGCCCGGCGCGCGCCAGCCCCGTTGAGGACGTCAGCGACGCAGGGATGGGCGCGTCGCTGGTGGGGCGTCCTGTCGGTCGCTCTGCAGCGTGCCGTGGCAAGTTCCGTGCTCGGGGTTGTTTGGACCATGCCACCACTCCCCGGCGTGCCGGACGACGTGCCGCTAGGCGATGTCCTTGACCTCGCTGAGGCGGCCACGCCCAACCGATTGCCTTTGCAGCTGTGACGCGCTGGCACGTCGTGATGTAGTGGACCTCGTCGGGACGAGTTTGCGTGAAAAAAAAAAAGTTTACCCCCCCACCCCCGCAAGAGAGGGCCAGGCACATACCACGGGCCCCAAGGGACGGTTTAGTTTTCCCCCTCAACAGCTTTGTCGACCTCAGTGATCCATCGCCCTCCTTCTTCCTCGTGATGCCCATGCATCACAGAAGGTGTGCAAAAGCCATACTTTCTCGGTGTGTCGTCCCTTCCACCATAGCAGGGCCTCTGATGTATCATTCGGCTTCGTTCATGAAAGGAGTAAGCTGATACATAACCTGTTGTGTATCACTCTGCTGTGTTCATCAAGGGGCCAGACTGATAAATAACAGGGCCTTGTACGTACCACGCTACAGCACTCAACAGGGCCCCCCTACGTAACATCCCGCCGCACCCACGAAAAGGAGTAAGCTGACACATAACAGGGCCACTTGTGTATCACGCGGCCGCAACAGGGCCTCTTTTGTGTCATGCAGCTGTGTTCCTCAAGGGGCTAAGCTGATACATAACATGGCCTCTGATGTATCACGCCGCTGTGTTCATCAAAGGCGTAGCAGGTCCTTTTATGCGTCACTCTGCTGTGGGCCTCTTGTGTGTCAATCGGCTGCTGCAACATCTTGCAGTGCAAATCAAAAAATCTTCTACCCAGCTCTGAACCACTCCCACTTCTGAGGGCGGTGCGCGAGCAAAACAGGAGAGGCTCACAAGCACTCCTACTTCTGAGGGCGTTGCGCGAGCAAAATGCAAAACAGGAGAGGCTCACGAGCACTCCTATGTTGTGTTCATTAAAGCAGTTGTGCTCAGAGAACTGGTTCACAAGAGGGCACCAGAACTTTTAAAGGAATGAAGAGAGAGCACATCTGCACCTTCCATATCTCTTAACAAGGCCCACCAGAGATCCCAGAGCGGAAGTCCTTTACCTTTGGTAGGAATCCACTTGCGCGACAGGAATGACCAAGTGCTACCTCCTAGTCGAATGTTATCAAGTAGTACTAGATGATGATGATGATGATGATGGTGGTGGTGATGATGATGATGATGATGAGGATGATGAGGGTGGTGGTGGTGGTGGTGGTGGTGGTGGTGGTGGTGACGATTGTGGTGGTGGTGACGATTTGTGTTCCATATAGTAGTTCAACATGAAAATGGTATTGACTGAAAGAGGCGAAACGCTGTAAATACCAGTGTTTTGGGCATGGACGCAGTATGAATGACGTTCTTATCCCCCCCCCAGCCCCCCCCGCCCCCCCCCACCCACCCCAATACCTGAAACCTGCAAAAACGCAGGGGCACGTAGAGACGCCGTCACCATTTTTGCGTGCGTACACTTGCCAACTTGACAACTTGTAGTGGCCAACCTTGTATTCATCTGAGCACGACGAAGCTGCGGTGCGCGGCTTGGCTTCCCTTCTTGCGCTCGAGCTCGGCTGCAAGCCACTGCCTCCACTCGATGTCGGTGGTGTTTAGTTTAGCTTGGACGTGGATAGCGACTGCCCAATACAGCGGCGTCGCAAGAAGCTGCACTGAACAACGAGCGACACAAGTGCAACACGGGACCCCACGGTTTACCCTTCCTCGGAGACTTCCCAAAAGCCTACTCGTTACTCCTGTTCATGTGAAGCGATGGGCTCTAACAGAGCCCTCGACTTTGCGAAGTCGGCGGAGTCCGGCGCCAAATGTTTCCTCGACCGGTGCCGTTCTGGAGCGAAGATTCCGTGCCTTCTGGACATCTTTCTGTTGCATGTTCATGATGAGTTTGTTTGTCCTTACCCAAGCATCAGCCAACTTCTTGGGTAGAACGAAGCTGCGAGGCTCTGGGCCCAACAGCGGCCAGCAGAGGCAGCCTTTTTGCTGTCCTCCTCACTGCACTACAGACTTTGCTGACACTGCTGCGAACAGTTGAGCCTGTGCTGCTACCATAGGCTTTTAACCGCTCAAACCCCGAGAGACTGGGAGCTAGCGAAAAGATTTGCGAGTCCGCGGCCATGCGTGCGGTCCTCCTGAGCCTCGGTGCATTGGCATCCGCCCAGCAGATTGGAACCCATGAGCAAGAGGAACATCCCGCGATGGCCCTCTGGACCTGTAATGCTGCAGGTTGCTCGAAGGAGATGAAGTCCCTAGTGCTCGATGCGAACTGGCGCTGGCTCCACAATGGCGAGTACACGAACTGCTACAAGGACGGCGACTGGGACAAGACCTTGTGCTCCGACCCCATCACATGCGCCTTGAATTGTCACATGGAGGGCAACTCGGAGGAGTCTTACAAGAGTACCTATGGAATCAAGGCTATTGAGGATGGCGTCGAGCTGGGCTTTGTGACCACCACCAAGTACGGATCTAACTATGGCTCTCGGGTCTACATGCTGGATGACGAGAACAACTATCAGATGTTCAAGCTCAAGAACAGGGAGTTCACGCTGACGGCAGACATGAAAAAGATGCCATGCGGCCTGAATGGCGCAGTGTACTTTGTGGAGATGGACGCAGACGGTGGGAAGGCTCGGAGTGGGGGGACCAACGCAGCCGGGGCCAAGTATGGTACGGGCTACTGTGACGCACAGTGCCCACATGATATGAAGTTCATGAACGGCAAGGCCAATACCATCGGCTGGAATGCTAGCCACGACCCTCCCATCGGATCCTGGGGCATCTGCTGTGCAGAGATGGATATCTGGGAGGCTAACAGCCGTGCCACCGCCTACACACCGCACCCGTGCTCCATCACCGGCCCATACGTCTGTTCGGGCACCGAGTGCGGTGACAACTCCGAGGATGAACGCTACGACGGTGTTTGCGACAAGGATGGCTGCGACTACAACCACTACCGCCTCGGCGACAAGGAGTACTATGGACGTGGCAGGGGCTTCACCGTCGACTCCAAAAAGAAGGTGACTGTTGTCACGCAGTTCATCACTGAGGGCAACACGGATGATGGAGACCTCATCGACATTCGGCGGTTCTATGTGCAGGATGGGCGGGTCATCCCAAACTCCAACATCTCCATTGCAGGCATGACCGGAGATTCTGTCACAGACGCCACCTGTGCGGCAATGAAGACAGCCTTCGGAGACATCAACGACTTCGCGCGCAAGGGTGGCCTCAAGGCTATGGGGGAAGCCTTGCAGCGAGGCATGGTGCTTGTCATGTCACTCTGGGACGACTCAGACGCCAACATGCTCTGGCTGGACGCGGACTACCCGCTGGACAAGGATCCGAGCTTTCCCGGTGTGAACAGAGGCCCGTGCAGGACGGACACTGGTGTTCCCGCCTACCTTCGTGAAAAGCAGCTTGTGCAGCGGTTCAGCCGTTCGTCTTTGCGTCTCCTTTGTGTGTTTAGGTCTTGAGGTCGTGTAGGCATCTGAGTTCTAATGTGCGTGTGGACGAGATTTGCCGAGGTATCCTCGTGCCCGAGTGCGATACAGCAAAATCAAGGTTGGCACCCTGGGCTCAACCTTCGGGGCAGGGGGCGACGAGGAGGACGAGGACGACGACATCTACGGTGACGACAGGCGGCTGAATGAGGTGCACATCTAATTATGGCTCAATGTGCCATTCTTTTAATGAGGCTGCCACTGACAATCACTGGAAGCCGCGCAGATAGGTTACACGGCATTTGCCGAGATAGACTTGCATGTTTGAACCAGTCCTCGAATCGAGATTGGTCCGATAGCGTTTTGCAGAGGAGGGCGCTGGCTCGTCTTAGGGAGGGAGCAGCATGGTGGCATTAGACCGTCAGTAGAACGATCGGATCTCCAGAGTGATGCGCAATCCGCTAATGTCCTGGCTGCACGTTTCTAGAACACATTCGTCGACGTGCAGCTGCCTCTTGACGGCATGTTTTCGACCTGCCCGTGCATGGCTTTACAAGCCGGAATGCCGTGGTCTGAACTGTGAGACTTCTGCAATGGTGAGAGACAGTGAGAGGCCACTCTTGGCATGCCCACGCATTTGGACAAGTGCTGCCTTCCTCTCAAATGCTGGACTTGCTCAGATGCGAAGGGCCGGCACCGCGCGGCGGTCATCCGTGCGGTGCGCTCACGGCCGGGTACTTGGCTTCAGACTCGAACGCATTCCGGGTCGCTTGCTCACAGCCGCCTCTTGTGCGAAAGTGGGCGTCAACTGACTGACACTGACACGGCTGCATCGCCAAGTCACCAAGCAGAGTTTAGGAAAGTGCTCTAAAGTCGGCTGCCTCAGCAAGTGTTACTGTCGCTGTGTATGCTTGAGCCTGTGCTGCTTGCTACCATAGGCTTTTAACCGCTCAAGCCCCGAGGGCCCAGGCGCTTGCGTAGAGATTTGCGAGTCCGCGGCCATGCGTGCGGTCCTCCTGAGCCTCGGTGCACTGGCATCCGCCCAGCAGATTGGAACCCATGAGCAAGAGGAACATCCCGCGATGGCCCTCTGGACCTGTGATGCTGCAGGTTGCTCGAAGGAGATGAAGTCCCTAGTGCTCGATGCGAACTGGCGCTGGCTCCACAACGGCCAGTACACGAACTGCTACAAGGACGGCGACTGGGACAAGAGCTTGTGTCCCGACCCCATCACATGCGCCAGGAACTGTCACTTGGAGGGCAACTCAGAAAAGCAGTACAAGAGTACCTATGGAATCCAGCCGATTGAGGATGGCGTCGAGCTGGGCTTTGTGACCACCACCAAGTACGGATCTAACTATGGCTCTCGGGTCTACATGCTGGATGACGAGAACAACTATCAGATGTTCAAGCTCAAGAACAGGGAGTTCACGCTGACGGCAGACATGAAAAAGATGCCATGCGGCCTGAATGGCGCAGTGTACTTTGTGGAGATGGACGCAGATGGTGGGAAGGCTCGGAGTGGGGGGACCAACGCAGCCGGGGCCAAGTATGGTACGGGCTACTGTGACGCACAGTGCCCACATGATATGAAGTTCATGAACGGCAAGGCCAATACCATCGGCTGGAACGCCAGCCACGACCCTCCCATCGGATCCTGGGGCATCTGCTGTGCAGAGATGGATATCTGGGAGGCTAACAGCCGTGCCACCGCCTACACACCGCACCCGTGCTCCATCACCGGCCCATACGTCTGTTCGGGCACCGAGTGCGGTGACAACTCCGCGGATGAGCGCTACGACGGTGTCTGCGACAAGGACGGCTGCGACTACAACCACTACCGCCTGGGCGACAAGGAGTACTATGGACGTGGCAGGGGCTTCACCGTCAACTCCAAAAAGAAGTTGACTGTTGTCACGCAGTTCATCACTGAGGGCAACACGGATGATGGAGACCTCATCGACATTCGGCGGTTCTATGTGCAGGATGGGCGGGTCATCCCAAACTCCAACATCTCCATTGCAGGCATGACCGGAGATTCTATCACTGACGCCACCTGTGCGGCAATGAAGACAGCCTTCGGAGACATCAACGACTTCGCGCGCAAGGGTGGCCTCAACGCTATGGGGGAAGCCTTGCAGCGAGGCATGGTGCTTGTCATGTCACTCTGGGACGACTCAGATGCCAACATGCTCTGGCTGGACGCAGACTACCCGTTGGACAAAGATCCGAGCCTGCCTGGTGTGAACAGGGGCCCATGCAGGACGGATACTGGTCTGCCCGCCTACCTTCGTGACAAGCACCTTGTGCAGCAGTTTCAGTTGTTCTTCGTTTTTTCATTGTGTTTAGGCATTTGATGAGTTCTAGTGTGCGTGTGGGCGAGACATGGCGAGACTGTCGAGGTATCCTCGTGCCCGGGTGCGTTACAGCAAAATCAAGGTTGGCACTTTGGGCTCAACCTTCGGAGCAGGGGGCGACGAGGACGATGACGAAGACGACTACTATGGTGACGACAGGCGGCTGAATGAGGTGCACATCTAACCATGGCTTAGCATGCCATTCTTTAGTAACGGCTATGTATGGCTGCCACTGACAACCACTGGGAGCCGCAGGTATATGCTGATTGTAATTCACACAGACTGGATGTGCATGATGCAATGGGCGGGCAAATATTGGTTTCACTCATATGGCCTGGCAAGTTTCATAGTCGTGGGAACTCATACCCTCGAACACTCTGTCAGACCTTTGAGGTGATATGCATGCACATTGTGCGAGAACCGATGCTCTCTGGGTAGGCAGCACAGGATCTATCCCAGCGTCCATCGTGTTGCACACTGTTGGCTGCATGCTCTTGGCCGACCTGACTTGCAGTCGCCCAAAAAATGTTAAGCGTGCATGCTTTGTGAACAGAAGTTTGCGAGAGACTCGCGAGATGCGTCTGGTGTTTTGTAGTTTGCAAGATGCTTGTTTCTTGCGTGCTCTTGGCACGTCCGCGCCCTGCTCTCCTCACTGAAGGGCCACAATGACGGACTGAGTTGAGAATTCACACAGGTGAGCTCTTGAGTGGGGACTCTTCCTGTTGTTGTCAACTGGTCTGAGGATCGGTCCAGCTGTGCTCCAAAAAGGCTAAGTGCTGAGCGCTGGAGGAAAGGAGCCAGCGTTTGCGTGGCGCAGCTTAGGCTGTGCAGTGCGCAATACAGTTCACGCCAGATATTAAGGCATGTGGCTTGTCCATGGCAAGTCCGGGTCAGTAGTGGCATCATGCTTCTCGTGTGGACTTGCGCTGACGCGCCTCGATGGACAGACTGCTGCGTGCTGCACATAAACGGGAAAGGCGCCCACAAGCCCAGTCCAGGCAGGATGTGCCAACCGCATCAACCTCTACAGTACTGTACAATTGGCCGTCTATCTCGGGTCGCATGCAATGCATGGTGTTACAACGGATGTTCGTGCTTCCTCCGACTTCCTCCGACAAAGGTGGATGCGAACCAGGTCTTGGCGCGTTGCAAAAAGAAGAGTTGACAGCTGAAAGCGGCGATGCACCATCCCGGCCCAGTGAGCAGCCATGCGAGTCACACTGTGGCACTGTGGCCCAAGGAAACGGTAGATGTCAAGTCTGTCAAGCTGGCCTGATAAACAACACACGGGGTCCGGTCAAGTGAAGGACAGAACTTCGCAGGAGCATATATCATACCGTATCATGCGCAGGATCTCACCCAGAACAGGAGTTCAAGCGGAACGGATGCCTTCACGAATGTGATGCTGTAGAGCTGTCCAAGCCCATGCATGGGCATGAAAAAGATATTTCTGGCGCTCACCGTTTGCAGCTTCTTCATCATATTCCGAAGGGACTTCTGGCCCCTGCCTCGTGCTGTTCTTTTCAACAACAAAAGTCGCGAGATGCTCTTTCTTTGTCCTTTGTTGTTTCTCTGATCTGGCAGGTCGAGAAGCGGGCAAAGCTTTGAGGTTGACGTCGCTCCTGCCAAGGTGGCCTCTGCAAAGCTTGCAGAGTCATTGAAGGTGGAAGAGCAGCGAAAGAGGACGTATGCCTTTGTCCACCCAGCAAAAGCATCCAGAAGATCCTTTTGCGAAGCGGCCGCCGTGCTAAAGTTGGGGAAAAAAGCAACCATGAACGGCCTCCGTATTTCACATCGATGCCTCGATGCCCTGTCTTCTCCATCTTTTTGAGAGTCTCTTTGACGCTTGGGCCGAGGAGGGGTGGCACCTGGAGTGGTCGGACGAGTTCGACACTGGTTCCTTGAATTTGCACGGGCCTTGGTACCACTTCAGAGAGGAAGAGGGAGGGAGAAACAGACATTTTTTTGGGCGGAAACTTCATGAGTTCCATGGCATGTGCTCAGCCTGGGGGCCCTTGCGCATCTGGGTCAAAAGCTCTCAACGCACATGCTCTCGAGCACCGAATGCGCCGTCTAATGGAAACACCTCGTTTCGACTGGATCGCCGCTTGCAGGTTCAGTTGAGTCACGGGTATTGCTTCGCTCTATGACCGTGCAAGGCATCAGAGCCCACTAAGCGAATACATCCATGAAATGGGAATGGGTGACGTTATTGTCCTGTGCCCTATGGCTCTGGCACCTGCTGTGATGAAGTTCATTGTGTGCCAACAAGCGTACCAGGCTGAAGGCGGCGAACCGCATACTGCAATTTTGCAGGTGTGGGGCAAGCCAAGACCCCCCGAGCGCCCAGTGCACCCGCGCACCCGAAAGGAAACACCAAGAAGACAGAACACGAGTGTTTGTGTTTGTGTGCTTGCTTATTTGTGTGTTTGTCTGTCGTTTCGTGTGGGAGTGCATGCGCATGTGTCTGTCCTCCTGTATGTGCCACCGCGTCCGCCTGCGTCTTGTGAGGACCGCTTGGGAGGTTGTCACCAGTCGCGAGCCTGCAGTGATCTTTCCTTGCGGGCTCGACATGTCCCTACTTGTCCCTACTTGCATGCGAGGCGACGGTGGCTATGACAACACCCAGCTACCGGTTGGAGGCCATCTATTTGGTTCCCGATTTATTATCTCCATTTCCATCTTTAATAGAATGGCTTTGTGGAGGACATTATATTTACAATCCAACATTAAAAGGGTTCTTTGTCTTTCATTTTCTATTTTCATTTCTTCTTTGTGCTTTTCTTCTTTGTCATATTTTTAGTCTACATTTTCTGTCTTTTAATCATCCTTTAAGGAATCCACTAATAATGAAATAGCATTTTTGCCTTTCATTATTAGTAAAGATTTCTATGGAAAGATATTGATTCTCTATCTATATCTTCTTCAGATTCATTCCGGCTTCTCTTCTTTCTCACATCCAGATAATGCATTAGAAGCATGTGGATTGCTTACTCCTTTACATATAGTACCTGAATGGTATTTCTTATGCCAATATGCTATGTTAAAAGCTGTACCGAATAAAAATGCAGCATTCATTATCTTATTTACTTCTATCTTCATCCTATTTTACTTTATGAGAAGTCTTTCAATGTCATTCGATTTTATAATTAAGACGTCCAGTAGATTTCATGGTTTTTATCTGTGCTTTTGGTTTCTTTCACCTTTTTTCTTTTATTTGGATAGGTGGTCAATTTCCTGTAGAGAACTTTCTATCTTATGGTCGTATCTTGACATTACATTATTATCTTCTTATTTTCTGGTGTGTACTTCGTTGTGTTCTTTCGCTCAGTATATTCGCTCTTTCACACACTTCGTACTATTATTCTATTATCTGTACACGCGGCAATAAATTTATTCGTGAAGCCGCGATAATAATAATATTGTAAGGGCTTATAATTTAGTATATTTTATAAGGATTACGCATGAAAATATGGCCACGTTCCAAAGCGCAAAATTGGTTGTTTCGCCTGGGAAAGGAAGCTAAGGTGGAGGGGGGTAAGGGGGGTAGGGGGGGCAAGGGGGGGCGGGCGGGGTCGGAGGGTTAGGGGGGGGGGGGGGCAGTTGGTCACCCACACGCGTTCCACCTGGGGGGGGGGGGGGGGGGGTCGGGAAATGGCTCACAAAACGCGCGGTTCCATCCGCTTGACGACGTTCCAAAACACAAAATTGGTTGTTTTTTCTGGCTAAGGTGGAGGGGAAGGGGGGGGGGGCGCAGGGTTTGGGGGGGGGGGGGGGGGGGGGGGGGGGGGGGGGGGGGGGTGGGAAGGCAAGGGGGTGGGTAGGGGAGCCCGTGTACTTCGTTCTCTCCATTATTGTATTTCGCGCGTCTTAAATTCCTTGCAAATACAATAATTGAGTTCACGCGTCACGCTTTTTATCATACACTTCGGGCGGCCCGTAATCATATTATAATTCACGCATCACAGGTTCTTTGTAATTATAATATTATAACCGCCCTTTCACTTCGTTCATACAATCATTACGGTTTTCATGCTACTGTCATGGTCTTCTATAACGCCTCCAGATGCAAAAGCACGTGTTTCTGAGGCCTGAATGTCACAGCTTGCCGCTGTGCTGCATGCCGCCAAGAGAATGTGGTGGTGGACGACGGCAAATTGCGAATAACTTCAGAGCGTGACAAGGAGGATCCCAACAGGCACACCGCCTGGCAATGAAGTTAAGTCTTTGGGTAGAAAGCCGCTCAATTGCTCAACACTTTAAGTGACTTAGTGGCCTACCAGCCGTGGTGGTGGCATCCGAGTGAAGGTACTACTCCGCGGCGATCTCCACGAAGGCTGGGAGTTTGCTGCAGTTTGATCGGTGCGCCTCATGGCACGTTGTCGCACGACAGGGCCGCTTGTCGTGGTCAACCGACGACGGCCCTTTCCGCCTCTGCGTGCGTGCCAAGTTGCCACTGAACACCCGAGGCCCTTGCTGTAGCAACAAGAAGTGGACCAAGAAGTGGACCTTTTCTTGCACGGTCCGTTCGAGAGCAGGTGTGTGGCCAGCGCACTGGATGCTTCCAGACAACGGCTATTCTGCCACGGGCTTGGCCTCATCTCGCAGCGGCACATACCCTCAGCCCATGGCTGTAACAATGAGGACAGATGCCTCGATGAGGGGGAGATGGACATCATGGAAATGGTGAGCGGGGATGGCAAAGTGCTTGAGCAGCAGGGCAATGCTTCACTGACTTCGCTATCACGGACTTGCTACGCCCGGAAGTCTGCATAGCTGAGGCGTATCATGCCTATCATTGGATGTCCAGCTGGCCTGGGAATCATTGCAGCGATTTCGAGACCTTCCATCGATCAGTTTCCTCTAGTACTATCGTACGGGAATACCACTCAGACTTTCACGAGTATGCGGTGGAGAGGCCGGGGGGGCTCGACAGATCTCATACGTAATCTCACGACCTCACAGGCGCTTTTCTTCTTTGTAGTTGTCTCTCAGCAGCAGGACCCGCGATGGGATTAGGTATGCCGTCGACGGCGTGGTGACTGGTAGTGGCCTTGGATTCTTTGGCACTCCATTCAAAAACAGTTGCGGATCGTGTGCCTGTGTGCCAGTGACCGTCAATGCCAGTTGAACAGGCACTTATCGTGCCATGGAGAGGGGTTTTCAGCTGTCGTCGGCACCCTGGTTCCTCATCCTGAACACAGCGAGACTTGGAATGAAGGGGAACGCTTGGAGACCCCTCGAAGAGCAACGATTCTGAGATTCTGAAGCGCAGAGGCGTCAGGGTGCAGAGTATCAAGTGCTCTCCTTGAAGCGAAAGTGTTGGCCCCCTTAAGTGGTTTTCATAGGAGACAGGCATGCGAATTGTATGCCACTGCAGACCTGCAGAGAACTGTGTGGCTGTGCGGGGTTCAAGGATTGGAGGTGGATGGCCTGGGTATCCGACCCTCGAGGCAACCTCCATGCCCGTCCCAGCCTGAGGCTTCTCTCGTAAAGTGAAGTACTCGTAAGTTGTGTTAGGTTGTGTTGCTCTGTGACTCGAAAATCCCGAAGACCCTCGAAGAGCGAGCATGGGCCCAGGTGGAGCACGAGGTGGACTGGGTCCGCGTTGTGCGGCGCCGTACCTGAAAGAGATATTTCCAATTGTTTCCAGCTGGTTTCAGCATCGGGCCGTTTCACCTCATGGTGTCGGAAGCGGGAAACGGAACTGCGGCGAAAAAACAACAGCCACTTGCCACGAGCCAGTTTCAGAGTGCTTGTTGTTGTGCTCAAAGTCGTGTTCGCTAGCAATTTTCCACCGCACTGTGTTGTCGTTTGGCCTTTTGGCCTGTCTGGAAGAAAAAGGTCACAAGAGCAAGTGACAACTGCTGCTGTTGATTCGTTCTGCGTGCTTCGTTCGTGCATCGGGCGAGGTCCATGTGCGAGTTTGCCTCGACATGGTCGCGAAGACAGTGCCAGAAGGGACATGAGAAGTTGGTCGGGGCAAGTACGAATCAGAGGTGGCTGGAGCCCAAGAATCACAACAGGACGGCCTTGGGCATCTTGATCTTGGTGGGACTTGCACAAACGAAGCCTGGGCGACATGGCCTGGAGAGCAAGAGCTCTTGCAGCTGTGTAGGTGAGTCAACTGAATTGGGCTGTGAGCACAAGCCGCTTCGAAGTCTCCCTCACACAAGGTTTGGGCTCAAAGCTCGCATCAAAGCAGAACGGGCAACTCACGAAAAAGCACCAAAGCGCCATGACGAACTCCGTGCCGGCCGGATTCTTGTTCGACTGGAAGAACAGCCTGGCTTCAGCCTGGGCCCAATGCTCTGATTCCTGCTAAGCTGCCTGAATCTTAAGGGTGCCCGGGGGGATCCGAACCCGGCGGGCCGGAGAGGCGCTTGCCGATCTCGTAAGAGTCCGTAAGTCCTTCAGGATGCTGGGTCCTTTCGCACCCTTTCGCACCCTTTCGCACCACATCTACTTCTGGCCATGCCTGGCCTGCGTGGTGACGGGTGTGTTGTTGGCCGTGAGGTGAAAAACACCTTCATTCACGTGGACGACGGCGAGCTTGTGTCTCGACCCAAATCTCAGCAAATCGCGCGGAACTGCGAAAAAAAGCAGAGGGGTCCTTTTGAAGCTGAGCGCGCAAGCAAGCACCGTGGTGTGCTTGATGAGGAGTGGTGGGATCCCACCCGCCCACTACGACGCAGCACGAGCTGCCCAGGTCGCCTGGAGGCGCGGTGCTGAATGTCAGAAAAACTCAAAAACCAGCACCCCATTGATTGCAAGTTATTGCAAGTTATTACTTCTGTTCCGTTTTGTGGCGCAGCTCCGATTCAGGTCCACGTCCTGGAGAGCCCCAAGAAGAGCCAAGAAGCTTCTAGGCCTGAGCCGGTGCTGCGCTCAGCGCTGCAAAGCACTCGTGCTTCTTACCATTCTCCTGTTGGGGTCTCGCGCTCGCCGCCCCGAAGGAATGTTTCGGGGCTTGGGCATGGATGTTGCCATTCAGCATCCAACAGCTCCGGAGGTGCTGGATTTGAAGCCCTCTGTCTGGGATGACTCTACTGACGTCGAGGCCCTGCCTGCGCTTGGCCCGCAGCCTTTAGAGCCTGCTCAGCACGTGTATGTTTGGCAGGAGGCAGCATCGAAGGCCAGGGGCTGAGTAGGGGGACATCCAGCGCAGGGATGTCTTCACTGGGACGGGTGTGTTTTTTTTTCAGGGCACACGCCGACACGGCCGAGGACTCAACACCGAATGAGGAAGCCTCGAACATGGAACGGAATCTGCTCCTACACCAGCTTGGTGCGCCTGCATTCTTCTCTGCCTTGTCGGAAAGTCGCTGCGCTTTCTCAATCTTCAGAAGTTTGTGTAGGCTTCGTTGCGTGCGCCAATGCCTGTCCGACACCTTGTGAGACAGGCACCTGTCGGCCATGCTCCTACTACTACTTCAAGGAGGCGACGGTTCTTCGAGCTCAGCTCAAGAACTCAAGGTCTTCATGGAGGGTGATTTGCGACCTGGCAGGATGGTTGTCGAAATGGTGATGACTGTGAGTTCTGCCACTTCTGCTCTCCAGCGGCCGTCAAAGAGAGCTGCCTGGCATGAAAGGGCTTGTACCGCGTCTATGGACTCGACTCTATGGCCTGACGGTAAGACCCGGCAAGAAACGCTTTGGCCAATGGCATATCGATGTACATGGCATCGGCGAGGCAAGCGACGTTTTAAGCGCGACGCCCGGCGAGAGCACCTTGGACTGCAAGCTGTTTGGGTAATGGCAAACAGACCGATGCAGGCATGATATTGTGCTCATCCGGTATGGGGATACAAGTTTGAAGTCAGGACAAGGTGTGCTTATTTCTAGTCAAACTTTTGCGCACTGCACACTGGCATCTCCTAGCCGCACGAAAAGCAAAGTTTGCTCAGTTCTATTGCGCGCTTTTAATTTTGGACCTAGTCCCCATATCCTCGCTGGTGCAAAGGAAGCGGGCCGCCCACCTGGAGGCAGCCCGCGAGGCGGCCCAGGAGCAGGCGGAGAGCTCTTTTCAGCGAGCTTGATCGCTCTTGCGTTTACAAAAGGCCAACTTGAGACTTTCATTAAGTGCCGAGCATGTGTTTACGAAGAAGGTGAGCCGACTGGTTACAAGGTGCTTGTAAGGTTTGCAAGTCCGAACGGCCTCAGCAAGGTACGTGCAAGGGAGGCGCCCTCGCTTAAGGTGAGTAGTATGCAGCGATGGCACCCCAAGACATCCAGCAGCTGCGCCCGATTGCGCCTGTGTCCTTTTTTGAAGTTTCGGGCTGGAGTGCAGGGATCTGAGCCGCCGGTCGGCCCACCATACTTGCGGCAGCAGCCTCAGGGAGGCTTTGGCAAACTTGCGGTTGCCGATTTTGCCGTGACGGTGACTCAGGCGGATGCGTGGCAGCCGGGGGAGGCATGGTGGCAGGGTGAAGCCAGACATATGCCCGCCTTAAGCTTGCATTTGGTGCGCAGCTGCTGAGCAGGACGGCTTCCAAGTCAGCCCAGCAGCCGTAGGACTGGGCCCTCTGACATGGCTTCATGTTCACATCTGCCAGCAAGTGTTTGTTCTTCGGAGAGAAAAGCATTTAGCTCTTGCAGCTTGGTGCTGTTGGTGCTGAGAGACAACGACTGGAACTGTGAGGTGCTCCAGATGATGCAGCTTGAGCCAGACAATCGATTCTGACACTTTGTACCCTCCCCACGGCCACACGGCCACTGCGCCTTTGGCCGAGCTATGGTTCTTTTGAATGCGTAGAGAATCGGTATATAGCTAGATATAGCTAGTGATGCATCTTCCATGCTTTTGTGGAGGGTCCACTTGAGAGAAAGTGGCTTGCAATGAAAGCCGTCTGATGGCGACTTGCCTAGTTAGACCTGTTCACGCAGTCTTGAGCACAGGGCAGCTGGCTTCTAAAGGTCTCGAATCTCATTTCGGCTAGCGGGGGTTTTGGAACGTTTTGAGCTCTGTTGTGCCAGCTGCCCAGCTCCTGCGACAGCGCGGGGTAGGAGGGTGGCCTCGGCATTGGGCAAGTATTTGGGAATGACGGGCCATCGCTGGGGTGCTGAGAGTTCTGAAGGCCTTGCGGATCATCGGACTTTCTCGTTTGTGCTGGAGCCCTCTTCTTCCCCGCCGCGAAGAGGTCTTGACATCGACTTCGATGTTGAGCTGCGGAGGTTTCCAACCTCTCGTAGCTTGCGCCAGGATGGCTTTGAATTTGGTCCTTGCTACAGATACTCAGGCCAAGATGCAAATCTACGAGCTAGCCATGAGCTAGCCACGAAAGAAACTCTAAGTCCGCCATGTTCGCCATTGTTGAGGGACAGACTCGACAGACCTAAAGCATTCTTAGGCTGGGCAAGATGCCTGGACTTGTACAAGTCTGCCGGTGTAGCATCAGTAGCATCAACCTTTGGGGTGCAAAACCTCGACTTTTGCATCTTCGCAGCTGCTTGTCTAGACTACCCATGACGCTGGCGAGTCATTGAGATGCCTCTGCCAGCTCGCAGCCGCTGCGATCTGCCCATTTGCGACTCTATGCGAAGCTTAGTCCCGTTTAGTCCGTGTAGGCCTTTCAGGCCTTATAGCCTTAGAGGCTTATAGGCCTTATAGGCTCCGCAAGAGACTCGAACACCTAGACAGTCTATGGAAAGAACGCAGCGCAGTGGCTTGGCGCGACTTGATCCGTTGGGGAGATTTTTTCGGCTTGTCTTGCCTGGCGCCGCCTACAATTCCGCGAAGTGCCGTGGCGTGGCCTTCGCCGAGTCCCCTTGGCCGTAAGCGTGCTCGGGGGGCTCAAGCTGCCCAGCTTGTAGTCGACCAGGCTGCTAGACAAGCAGGATCAAGCGTGACAACATCCTGGCGGGAACGATTCCGAAAGCGTGTCATGAATTTATGAATTTATCCACCTCGTAGCTTGGTAGGAACGTGCTGAGATTCAAGATGCTTGGATGTTGGAACCCCTTCAAGTGGGCAGAGGACCCTCGCCCATTTAGCAGGGGGCTGTCCCATACTGCACAACGCCCTCGCAAGGTCCTTACCTAAGGTTACTTTCGGCGCCGGTTGCCATCCTAGCCCTTTCAATTCTTGGCGCGTGGCCTGGGCAGACCCTTGGCCATGTGCTGATGTGGGGCAGTGGGGCTCAGCGCGCATATGCCGTTTACACATCCAGGCCGCCTGCGGGGAGGTTGCATCGTGAGTCACTGAGCACGCTGAGCGAAGTCCCTCTGGCATCTTGAAAGTGGGTGACAGTGCAATACAGCGCAATATCGTGTTCAGATCCGGAAGAAATAATTACGAAGTGTGCTGTTTTGTTTGGGAGGACTCAGTGGCCGTGGAAGTCCCCCACGTTGAACTTGAGCCTGGTTTGCCGGCCTGTCTCCAATGTGTTTCGAGCTCTCTCCTTCACAAGCCTTAGTCCGCCTTAGAGTCTTTCAACAATTCTCCTTTTTCTTTTGCAATAGAGGAGGCCAATGGCAACACCACATCTTTGCAACGTCAGAAGTGTGCACACGCTAACCAGACAGCCCAGATATGCAGGAACTCTCGGGAAGGAATCTGGGCTGTTGGGATGCCTGGAGGGCAATCTGTGACTGTCGACTCAGATCGGTCAAGAGACGGGGTCGGATGTCAGGATCTTTTGGCCACAATTGGCATCTGCTTGTTTCTGCTTGGCAATCCATGGAGGAACGCCTAGTGAACCCTCTGAAGATTGAATCCTCACCCTGAATAAGTATTGGTCGTGATTTCTGCTCAGGCTCGGGGTAGTACGTTTGGGAGGTTCAGATGCCAAATAAGGGCAATGGCTCAAGAACCATGGTACCAAAACAGTGCACATGCAGCTGGTAGAGTTTTTTTGCATAAGCTGCCATGCTTGCCTATAATAAGAAGCATATGACATGTCGTATGTCAGATGGGTGCAGGCGTGGCGGAGGGAGCGTCATGCCAGCTTCCCTGACCCGCAGCCGACCCTGCTGAGCTGATGCTTCTGATGTTCGCCGAAACGACAGGTCCATGTTACTTGCTTCTGCTCGATTGGGGTGGATTGATGCTCGCCTCCCACGGGAGGCGAAGTTCGAGCAAGCTGCACCCAAACAAAGGGCCTGATGATGCCCACCTGTTAAATGATTTCTGGATTCCTTTGTGCTGCCCCACGTGTTGCCAGAATGATGGGATGCTTGCAGATTGCTCATTTTTTGAGTTCAATGGGTGGTTGGTGCTTCGAAAGTTGCCCATCTGGGGCCTTCGCAGATCGAAGCGCGTGTTCGCATAAATACGACCTTCTGGGTTACTATGTTACTTGGTCCTCTCCAAGAGTGGTTTGCCAAGTCAAGCAGACATGCTGCTCCAGAGGCGGTTTCATCTACTAGGTTCTCTGCTCAAAGAAGGGTTGCGTGACAGAGGCCATATTCAAGCCTTTCATGTTCAGCGTCCCCAAGTTTTCAGAGTGTTGTGCATTACCCTAACCTACGCCCAGTGCTTGCGCAGCTCTTCTTCCCTTTCATGCCCACCACGGGTCAGGCACAGGTCCGAAGACAACGACTGATCCTTTACTGAAAGAGGTGTGGCTTACAGGTGGAAAACCGATACGGATGTGTGCCTTCCATTGGAGCGCTGTGGCTTTCGAGACGGCTCTCGTAAGGAGCGTGGCTCAAGATGCAGCGAAGGGTAGCGAAGGGAAGGTGAAAGTAATGGGATGCGAACAGCAATTTACAGATGTTTGCCATGTTGGTAGCCCACAGTTGCTCAAACTTGTCTTTGGGATACTGCAGAAAAGAGTTAACGTGAAGTAAACTTGATGAACTCGCTGCATCTGCAGTGTGCACCGAAGTGCTCTGTTGCATGCTGACGTGCGAAGCGCGCGCACCTCTGGTTGAAAGCGCTGGCTTGTGCTGCTTTGGAGAAGCACCACGCCAATATCAGGATAGGATAGGAAGAATGAGAGCACCAAAATATACTAAAATGAAAGAGCAGACCATCTCACGAGCCTTTCTGCTGCCTTTCTGCTCGCCTGCTCGGCGCCGCCCCTTGAGACGGCCTGATTACGCGGGCGAGTGCTCGGGAGCGGTCAGAGTGGCTTCTGAGACTTTTTTGTTTCGTTTTTGTGTCGCGTTTGGTTTTTGTAGCGTTTGCACTGGGCTGGCGACCCGACCGGCTCCAGTGCCACGGGGCTCGTGAGTCGCACCACGGTGAGTAACCGAGTACCATGAAGAAGATTTCCGATTGCTGCTGTGCGGCTTCCGCATGCCTTAACACTTTCATCCGGGGGAGGCGCGCCTTTTCCTGTTGCTTGCGCACGCCGCTGTAGACGACGCGCCGTGTGAATCTGAATGCCCTGGCAGATGCCGTCATAGAAGGCCCCTCTCTTCAGCGGCGGCAAGCACAAGCACTGCGCACGAATGCCCGTCTCCATTGAGAGCCTCCCGAGGACAACCTTACAGGGATGGCAGTCATGTGAGGCGAGCGCACGAATTCAGCCGACAGGATTGTTTAAAGAGATCCGACCTTTGCTTTCGACGTTCGATACCTTGCTAGCATTTGGAAGCTCTGCTTGTTGCGCGCCTGTCGATCATTGTTGTGACCTCTGTCATACTCTGTGGATTTCCGTCGGCCCTCGAGGCCAATTGCACCATGGAAAAAAAGGCTCTACCCGACATGTGTCGGCATGTGCATCTGTGTCACGTGCGGGAACTACAATTAACCGCTCTTCCGCAAAAACATGGTTTGTCTTGTTGAGCTCGTGCAGTGTGAGGTTGTTGAGCTCCTGCAGTGTGAGGTTGAACTTTCTGAGTGAAACCTGTCAGCATCTCCTGTTGAAGCCATATTGCTGAATGCTGCATGGGCGTGATGTTGCTTTAGGGGACGTGCTTCCACTGACACTTGGGCCGTAAGAGGTTGCTGGGTGCCTTAGGGGCGGAAGCCTTGAGTTTCGAAGCTAGCTTTTTTTATCCGAAAACTGGCTCACCGCCGTGACTGTTTGTGATGGCGGTGCCCGATGCAAGCTGGTCCAAGCATGGAGTCAATCTGCGCCGGCCCAGTTCTCATCTGTGTTCACACCGCTACGGTTCACTGGATCTGCGTGGGCAGCGCCACACGTGAAGACCGACTTTGCTGTTCTGGTTTGGAGATGTGCAGGCTAGCTCCATGTGCTCCGGACAAGGCGCGGCCTGAGCTTCGAGACTACAGGACTACAGGGTAGTAACGGCACCCTAGCCCGTGGAAGCTTTAGCTTTCGTTCTGAAGGCAGGGAGGAGAGGGCCAGGTGACCGATCCCGCGATATTTGCGGTACTTGGAAAGCCCTAGGGTCCCGATCATATTCGCGATGTTTTCGAAGCCCCATGCTTGTGGTACTTCCGGAGTTCTGGTCGCATGGTCTTGCGATGTTTTCGATGCCCTAGTGTTCCGGTCCCACGATATTTGCGAAGTTTTGCATGTCCCGCAGTTCCGGTCACTCGAAATTTGGGGTTTTCGCTGCTCCAGAGTTCCGGTCCCAGTGTTCCGGTCCGGCGGTTGTCGAGGTTTTCCATGCCCCGGACTTCGGTCACGCGATATTTGTGAGGTTGTCACGCGTCTGCAGTAAAGATCTTGATGAAGTGCTTATGGCTGGCCGGAAGGGCGAGGCCTGATATGAGTTTTCGTTATCTCGAGGTTGGCAACAACAGTTTCCTTGCAAACACTGTGGGACGACTCGGGATGACCGACAACAGCTCCGAGCAATGTCGTATCTGATTATCTCCACCATGGTTCAGACATTTTTTTGCAAGGTAGCTTTGCGCATGGCTCACCAGGTGTCACCAGAAGTAAGAGGCTACACGGACTCCGACTTTGGGTCACGCGTTGGACAGCGAAGTCCACCTGTGACATCGTCATAGCTCTGCACAGCGCCTCTACCCACTTCTGTGGAGAGGAAAATCTATCTATCTGTCATTTTCGAACGGGATAAAAGATCAAGAAGCTCTTCGGAAGGTCTTAGCGTCCGGATATTCGGCCCGATTACACCATTGCAGGCGTGCCCAATTGGATTAACATCGCATCGATGAGCGAACAGATCGACCAGCAACAAGTCACTACTCGATACTGCCATGCACTGCACTCCAGAGCCGACGGGTTGACAAAAGCCATGAGGCCCATGGAGTGGCATACAGCTAGGCATCACCATACTGAGTCGATGAAGGCACTGCGCTAGCATCCCACAACGAATCTCCAAGCAACACATTGTGCAGCGAATCTGCAAGCAAACGCTGTTCCCATCAGGGACCGCCACCGAGGGTCCCAACAATTTAGGTCGAATGTCCTCACAGTTGGGTGCGCTTGCTCGAGGAGAGTCGCCGGTGTCAGGTCCTGGACCAAGGTAGCTGCGCCTAAAGGGGGAGTTAAAAAAGACTCTGCCCCAACCGTGATCTTAGAGTGTGTGTGCTACATGAAATAATTAGGTGACAGTATCCGCGACCGACATGATTTGTTTCAAGGAAAAGACCGTCGTGTTGAGTTCGTACTGTTGTCAAGTGGTGTTTGCCGCTACTTGAACTACTAGTAGCTTAACACACGCGAAGGCCGCGACTAAGAGTAACTACTAGAGTTACTAGACGGATGAGGACTGACAAAGTTCAAAGCTGTCCAGGCGATGTCACAGTAGTTGAGGATGGGTTGATGTTTCAGGCATGTTGTCGGGTGTCGTTTGTAATCGAAGGTGATGGAAAGCACAAAGCAACAGGTCAGCAACGAACTTCGCCGGGCAAGCTGCTGGTGCTGGCAGCCGTGGCGGTAGCGGGCGCAAGCAAAGCCGCTGTCCTGATCTGGCCAGTTGCTGATTGCTCCGCCGGCCTTGCCGCCAAAGATGCGGTTAGACAGGGAAGCTGAGCCGAAATGGAGGATGTGATAGAGAGACCATGGAGTGCTCTTAGGGTCTTCGAGTCTTAGAGTCAGATGCTTCGAGTCTTTGTAGACTTAGAGTCTTCGAGGATGCAGTAAGGGCAGCTGTGGAGTTTGGACTGCTCATGTCGATTTTGAAGAGCAATGCCGGGCAAGGATCTGCACGGGTTTGTGCCAATTGGACAAGTGTAGAGAAGTTCATGCTGAAGGCTCCTTGGTCGTGATTTCGTGTATTGCAGGAAAGCGCAGAACCTTTCTGACAGTGGTGGCGCTTGTTGTGATGAGCTGACGTTGGCTCTGTCATGACGATGCTTTCTTCACATGAACTTGTGCAGCAACTATGGCCGTCTGTCGCGGCTTTGTGCAACTCAATCTTCATATATGCATTGTGTATTGCGCATCAATCTGCACTTGACACACGCGCAGAGATGCAACAATAGAAGACGTTCAACATTCCGAAAAGCCACCTTGGTGTGCCAGGCGTTCGTAGTTGTGGTCTCCGACTTTTCTCTTTTGATAAAGCATGCACACATACTAGCGGCTAGAAATTAGCCGTAGCCGCCACAGCAGCTGGCACAGACGGGGGACGTGCTTCAACCTAAAGGTACTTAAGTTCGTCGCGCGCAGCCCATGTTTCGCCATGGCTGGGCCTGGCCCGGGCAAAGCCGTGACAGAGCTGCAGTCAAGAACAAGCTCTGCTAGACTGGGTGCCAGGCATGTTGTACTTTGCTAGTTGCTACACGAAACCACACGGGCCAACCTCTCACATTTGCAGCCACGTGTTGACATGAACTCACACATAGATTTGTCATCTTGCGAGTGGTGCCATTATGGATCGGTTTTGTGTCAGCTGATGTGAGTTGCTTCGCTTCGTGCTTTCTTTGGCTGCGTTCGCTTGAAGCCCAGCTCCTGGTTCGGGACATCCTCTTGCTGCTGTTGCTCTTCGCAGTGCCGACTGGGGCTTTTGTCTACGCCCTCGACCGACTCCCGACGAGAAATTAACTCCACTACCTGTATCTCAAGCACTTCTCCATCAGAACAGAAGATCGGGCCAGTTTATAATTTATAACATAGCGTCCAGTGTGCCAGGAACTCTGGCGGCGACGCTGGTGGCGAGCAGCCGCTCAACGGCAGAACGCGAGGAAAGTGCTTGAGCTAGTGCCCAAAGCTTCGCTGACTGCTAGGAGGCCCTTGATGCGAAGTTTGACAACCTTCCGCTCCACGTATCGGAAACTGCACGGCCATGGGCAACTGCTGAGGCTTGATCTCGCTTGCCATCGAACTGTATCGGCAGAGGACTCCCTTTGAAGACAGGTGGGGTTGTATAATAACCCCGCGGCTTGCGGTTTAGAAAGGAGTGCGCCCGAGTATCGTTTAGCTTGTAAAACGATACAGAGCAAAAACACCTAACACCCCTTACACCCCTCACACCCCTAATTCTTCATGTCAAAAACGATAACAAAACGACAGCCATAACGATAACTTTTTGTTCACGATGGGGTCTGTTGAAGGATCTGGACCATTCCAGGGTTGAAGATGTGTTCCCTGTGGTGACTCTGGTCTTGGGGTGTCTCTGGGGGCCTGGTGGTTGAACTGTGCAACCGCGCTCAGAAACCTTGCTGTGGCTGGCGTTTCCGCGCAGGTTTGGGTTTGAACCAAGAGCCTTCTTGCGTCTTTAGGATGGGTTGTTCAGGTTTGGGGGCTAGAACCTAAATACGCCGGTTGTTAACCATGAAGATCCAAGGCTTTGGAATGCAGGCCAACCAAGTGCTCCGAAGCATTACCTTTTATAAGCAAACGCTGTAAAACGATAATTCAAGCCAAGAATACTGTGTTTCGTGCGCATACACTGTAAAACGATAAGGAGAAAAAACGATAACATTTTAGGGACCAGCAGGTTTCCATCGGGGGTGTTATACAGCCCCAGGTGACGGCAGCGGCATGGTCACAATGCTTGCGAAAGCTGTCCCAGGAAGCGATGCCTGCCCTACCCCGTGTACTTGGTCTTGGTGTATGCTACTGGGCAGTCCAGTTTTCATTTGGATTCATTTGGCTTGGATTTTCGTGTCCGTTATCCTGAACTGATTTATATTCTGAACGCTTGCACGCGTCCTCGGCAGATCGCTGTTGGCAAGTGTCGTGCAGAACTTGCTCGGTCTGTGGACAAGGGGTTCGACGGTGGTTGTTGGTGATGCTAGCCGGAAATTACCGCCGGACCGAGCACTGAGGCAGTGCAGATTCTTTGCTGCCTCTCATCTCTGCACAGCAGCCTGAGTCTCGCGGCCTGGCCATTTCGTGTGTCTTGTTGACTTTGTGGGGGGTTCTTGTCGATCGAATTCGAATCCTTCTGTTGCCTATTTGCATGCACGGCTCAGGAGGGGCCGACAGGTCAGCATGCGGCTACGACGATTTCTATTGCAACCCGGCCGGATGAAGGACACACCGCCGGGTGGCGGCGGGTGTTTCTAGGGCTGTTTCTTTCGCATGTTGCG